CATTGCTGACTTCTCAACAGACAACAGGGAGGAAGTATATTTCTTCTCCCCAATTTTATTTTCTGTTCTGTTTAGACTGTGAGCTTTGGCCAACTCCTTTGTGTGTGTTCCTCAAGTTAAGAAATTATGGTCATATATTCCTAATACTTCCGTTTGGGACTGCACATATCAATTCGAATTATACAACGTAAAGATGTGAAATCGTAAAGCCATCATCTATACCGTTGATCTAAAATCTTCAAGCCGTCATACCGTTTATGTTATAACAATTCTCCTTGCAATGAAATAAGGTTTAGTTCCTTTAAAAAAAAATACAATGAAATAAGGTTTGGACTTCAACTTTGCTGGTCCTCTTTGTTTCTATTTCGACTTTTTGACCGCGCACATCATGTCAAGATTGTATTTCTAACTGAATTGCTTACACTATTCACCATACAAATGAGATGAACCATCAGGTTCAAATTGTCAAGTTGGTGTATTTGGTGTCACTTAATCCCCTAGTTTACAGATTGAGCTGTTTTTTCTTTTTAAAAAAACTACTGTTTACTCCAGTGCTAAGCCAGACCTCATTTTAATTTAGTTCATCCTCCACTGCTAACCTTTGTGTAATATTTGATCTTTAAAATTTTTTGAGCTAAACAACTATGAAGTTGAGATAGTTCGCAGAGCCCATAATTCGCGGCACGTAAATTAAGTTTTATATCAGTCCATAAAAATTCCTTTTTCAACTATGTATGCAAGTATGCAACACCACTAAAAAAATTACCGAATAAGTATAAGAAAATAAGTATGTTCATCACAAGCAGGGCATGTTTATGCCCTTTGCAGCCTGGCATCCAGTAGCAGTTGTCATGCCTCTCTGTTAGGTTACCTTTGATGCTTTTAAAATGTTGCTGGCTTGACTTTAACATCACAAGTAGACAAGACAATAATTCTGACAGTCCTGACAAAGATCAAAACCAATTTTCCAAAAAAAAAATGCCAGCTACATTTGATCTCTTCTCTCTGCTTGGAGTATTTAGAAATGGAATTTGCCACACGAGCTGATTCATCTCCTTCCTCCTTAGCAAGTACCATAAAGCCATGAAATGTGTACACACACGCAATAGGATTCTAGTGATGCTAGAACAAAATTATATAGAAGTACTTTTGTTTTTGTTTCAGAATAATAGCATTAAGTTATTGTGAACAAAATTAAGTAACATATGTAAATTTTGCATTGAATAATATGCAAGTTGTATGCTAAAATATGTTATAATTTTGTTTACTTTATGATAACTTTGAGTCATATCATTTTGGTAAGTCCTAACTGAAGCTCTAGCTTTCAAAAAACAAGTGCATGTTCTAGTTAACTTCTTTGGTCAGAGTTCAAATGGTCGTACAACTAGCTTAGTCCCACTTCAGGTGTCACATCATTTAAACGTGAGGGTGAGGATGCTTTTACAACAATGTGGAGAAGTGTGACTTCTCGTTTGATCTGTAATGACCGAAACCATTACTTCAAGTTAGAGAGAGAGACAGAGACAGAGACAGAGCAAGAACACCTCCAGTGCACAACCTTCAAGCTATCTACCTTCTCCCACAAACAAAGCATCATACCCTGAGATGGAGCTCATCGTATCATCTATCACAGGTGATCTCACCAGTCGATTAATCTCCTTTCTGATGAACAAGTTTTTAGATAATCTTTACTCCGGGGAAAAGGTAAAAAGGCTGGAGCAACTCCTTCAAAGAGTTCACATGGTTGTCGAGGAGGCAGATGGGCGATACATCACCAACCGTTGTATGCTCACACATCTGAAGACGATAGTCGCAGCGATGTACAGTGGCTACCATGTGCTGGATACCATCAAGTACATGAAGAACAACAAAGGTGCGAATGATCTGGTAAATAACTCATCTGCCTTGTCTTTTGCCACTCCTCTCAAACGATCTCGCACTACTACTATTTGTCCTGAAACAAAGAACAAATTCAGTATGGAGTTACAAGGCGCACTGAAAAATATAGAGACTGTAATTGGTGATATCAATGAGTTTGTCATCCTTCTGACCGGATGTGAGCGCATGTCCCATAGGCCCTATGATACCTATCTTTACATCGACAATTTCATGTTTGGTCGACATGTGGAAAAGCAACATCTAATTAACTTCTTGCTGGAGAACAACAATATTGGTCCTCCACCTGTACTACCAATTATCGGTGGTCGTGGAGTTGGGAAGAAAACACTTGTTACACATGTATGCAACGATGATAGGGTTCGATCTCATTTCTTTTTTATTTTCCATATCAATGGAGAGAACCTTGGGGAAATTACCGAAAATAAAAATATGTCAGAAAGGACATTGGTAATTGTTGAGTTTGTTTCAGATGTAGATGACAACGACTGGGGAACATTTCATTCATCTCTTATGAGCCTTAACAGAGGAAACAAAGTGATAATCTTGACTAGAATTAAGAAATTGGAGAGATTTGGAACTGTCAGGCCCATTACTCTTGACAGAATGGTGCATGAGGAGTACAGATACCTATTGAAGACGCTCACATTTGGAAGCGCAAACCCTATGGACTACCACAACTTATTCCAATAGTGGAAGAATTCGCAGTGCTATTAGGAGGCAGACTCATCCCAGCCAACATACTTGGATATGTATTGAGAAATAATTTGAATGTTCATTTCTGGCTTTCCAGATTGAAAGGGATCCGATTTGTAGTCAAGAAGAACTTGTCTATGTCCGGTAGCCATCCAAACGAACTTTTTGATCAAGGCCATCCAGCACATTTGACAGACTACATATTGTACCCTGCTAGCACCTCAACTGATTCTCCCAAGAACGATTTACCTAAGTTGACATTTGGGGACATGCTAGCAGGTCAAAATTTTCCACCAAAGGGTGATTTTAATCTAGTTTCATGGGAGTCAAGGATACCACCATACACTTCATTTGTTCACATGGCTCGCTTTTTTCCAAGTTTTGCTCAAGATCATCTGGAATCACCGTTGTCCGGGAGGAAGCATGCAAGGCCATTTTCTGTGTCTTATGATGAATAACTTTGAGAAAATTCCTTATGTATGATGGATTTTAGACTTCTTTTATTCAATCCCATCCATGCCCTTAGGCCACAAAAGTGGATCAAAACAACATCTCAGCCTCTCAGGCCATGTAGGAAAGAGAGAAAGAAAATCACTAGCATCACAAAAGCCTTTGGGGACGCAGATAGTTATCTCAACTTTAGGGTGCCATAATGAGATCTCAAAAGCCTTTGGTGTATATTCTAAAACATGTGTTATTATATGTATTGTTGTGTAATATGAACCCTTACATACTGATTATATAATCCTCCCCTGAGCAGTATTTAATTTGTTAAGTGCTTTAAGATAAATAATTATGAAGCTGAGATATTTTGCAGAGCCAAAAAAATTGACAGCTCATATATAATACTAGAAAAATATCCGTGCTTTGCAATGGGTAAAAACGTTTTTGGATTGCTATACATTATACTTCTTCCTTGGTTTTATACCGAAAGTCTATATATCCCTTTCTTTTCAGTCCCTGTTCAGACCGCTACCTCCCTCTGTCAGAACCTTTACCGCGTGCGAAAAAAAAGCGTCTTAAAAAAAGCGGATTAAAAAAACCAGAAAAAAAAGGGAGCAAAAAAGAAAAAGAAGAAAAAAGGGCGTAAAAAGAACAAAACGGATAAAAAAGTATACCCACCGGAAAAACCAGCGAACAAAAAACGGATGAAAAAAAAAGAAAAGAAAACGGCGACCAAAAAAGGAAAAACAGCAAAAAAAAACAAAAAAAGAAAACGGACGAAAAAAAAGTACCCAGAAGCTTTACTAATTTTTTTATTAGGTATAGATATAGATTTTATATGACCATAACTCCATTTACGATTATTTTCAACTGTGACAAAAAAAATAGAAATAAATATTGGGCTCTGCACAAACAAACTTCTGGAAGAACTGCGCTCTTCCAAAATGTAGATTTTCTCATGGCTAATAATTCAAAGCAGTGTGAACGACAGATCGTCTACAGGCCAAACCATCCTTATTGCCTCCTTTGTCATCTCCATCCAGAGTCATCGTCACATCTCCTGTAAACTTGTCAATTTTTAAGACGTACTCCCTCCGTCCCAAAAAAAAAAAGGCAAACCGCGGGTTTGCGTGCCAACGTTTGACTGTCCGTCTTATATGAAATTTTTTTATAATTAGTATTTTCATTGTTATTAGATGATAAAACATGATGAATACTTTATGCGTGACTTATCTTTTTAATTTTTTTCATAATTTTTTCAAATAAGACGGACGGTCAAACATTAGACACGGAAACCAGAGTTTGTCTTTTTTTGGACGGAGGGAGTATGTAGCAAGTCTTCCAGAGCTTCTGAAGTTTCTTGACTTAGGCTGTGTTCGGATTCCAGTGATGGGAACTAATCCCTCCCGCACGGAAAACGGAGCGGTCCATTAGCGCGTGATTAATTAAGAATTAGCTATTTTTTTTTCAAAAATGGATTAATTTGATTTTTTAAAGCAACTTTCGTATAGAAACTTTTTGCAAAAAACGCATCGTTTAGTAGTTTGAAAAGCGTGCACGTGGAAAACGAGGGAGAAGTGTTGGGAACACGGTGATGCAAACACAGCCTTAGTCACCTGTTTAGACCGGCCTCTAAGGGCACTTTGGGCTTGTTTGGGGGATTTTTAAATTCTGAGAAACAGTTGTTTGGTAGCTAGTTTCTAAGAATCTGAAAATCTCTGAAACCCAACTTCTCTAGCTTCTGGCTTCTTAGTTCATTTTTCAGAATCTGTAACTACAGATTCTCAGAAGCTATGGATTATTTAGGGCAGCTTCTAGCAGAAGCAGCTTTTCGCAGCTTTTAGGAAAAGCTGCAGCTGGGAGAAGCTCCTCCAAACAGGCCCTTTGCCCACCTGCACATATCAGCCAGACGTAGTAGTTGCCCTGTCCTTCTCGCAACTCAACGCATAAATGCTTTTCAAAGTCGCCTGCTTGACCTGAAACAACACAAAGAGTTGAAGCCAACAATTCTGACAAACCTAACAAAGATCAAAAAAACCAATTTGAGAAAGCCATCCCCTATGAATTTCCACAAAACATATATACCACCCACATTTGATCTTCTTTTTTCCGCTTGAACAATCAGGACATGGAGCTTGCGGTATCAGCAGTAACCGGTGAAATCGTCAGCCGGTTCATCTCCTTCCTCCTGAGCAAGTACTCGAGCCATGAAATTTCAGAGGAGAAGCAGCTGGAAAGACTGCAGCAGCTGCTCCTACGAGTATCCACGGTCGTCGAGGAGGCGGATGGGCGATACATCACCAACTCCGGGATGCTGATGCAGCTGAAGGGGCTTGCAGATGCCATGTACCGAGGCCACCATGTCCTGGACATGTTCAGGTGCAGGAACAAAATTCAGGAGAATTCCATCAAGGAGGTTAGTAGCCCATTTCCTCCTCTCAAACGTTTTCGCGCAATTGTTGATGCTGCTGGGAACAACAAGGCCAGGTACCTTGAGCTGCATAAAACTTTGAGAATTTTAGAAGCAGCTGTTGATCACATGGCAGAATTTGTGGTGATTTTGGGTGGATGCGATCGCATGTCGCGGAGGCCATATGATGCATACCTGTACACAGATAACTTCATGTTTGGCCGTCATACTGAAAAGCAGAGGCTCCTGAATTTCCTGTTGGAATACAACTCACAAGGTCTGCCTCCTGTTCTTCCAATCATTGGTAGCCTTGCAGTAGGGAAGAAAACTCTGGTTGCACATGTCTGCGCCGATGAGAGGGTTCAATCTCAGTTCTCTTCAATTTTGCATTTGAATGAAGATGATCTTTTGAGATTAGCACACAGTGATACTCTCTTATCAGGGAAGATGTTGGTAGTTGTTGAATTTGTTTCAGATTTGAATGAGAAGAATTGGGAGGAATTCTATACATCTCTGACACAAATGAATCAAGGAAGCAAGGTGATCACCATAAGCAGGTTTAGAAAATCAGAGAAACTTGGTACTGTGAAGCCAATTGCACTTGACATCCATTCATACGAAGAATTGAGCTACCTCTTCAAGACGCTCGCATTTGGGAGTGTGAACCCTAAGGACCATCCACGATTACTGCAAATAGCCGAAGAATTTGCCATGCAATTGCAGTTGAAAAGTTCACTTGTCGCAGCGAATTTTCTTGCAGATGTATTGAGAAGGAATTTGGATGTCAACTTCTGGCTTTGCATGCTGAACAGGTGCATAACAGTGGCTGAAAAGAACTTCTCCTTGTACGGTGAGCATACAAGGTTACTTCTTGAACAAGGTCATCGTGTAGACATCACCAACTTTGATTCATCTCCAGCTGCTCCATTGCACATCGTACCAGGTGTTGGTGCCAATAGTACAGGGAAGGACTTGCCAAGGGTTAAATTTACAGAACTATTACTAGATCCTAGTGTTAGACCAAAAGGTGAGTTTAATCTAGTGTCATGGGAATCAAGGCTACCTCCTTATACATCATTCGTTCACTTTGTTCCAAATTATTCTCAAGATTTTTCTAAAGATACACCCTTGTCAGGAAGGAAGCGTCGTGGAGTTCCTTCCTAATCTTACAAACATTATTTTATTTAATTTGTAGATATGATATTTGTCAAGGATATATGTCTCTTTGTATATGTGTAGTAGACAAGGGTTAGGGTAGCATGGCCTTCTCCCATGTTAAGATTGCCTCTTGTACATCGCAAAAAAAAAAAGATTGCCTCTTGTAGTCAACATATGCCCTTTGGACCTAACTCAATACATCAAGTCTATTCCTCATTTTTCTCTCTTCTCCTAATTGACAATATTGTAATTCGGATATTGGATACTAAAAGGATATAGTGACATAACCATGACATTTTGATTTCTGAGCAGCTGGTATCTGTGTGTTTTTCCATTGCTGAAAAACAAATCTTCTGTATTGCCACCATCTTAGATATCTTACGTTCAGAAGCTCATCATTTAGAGCTTCCTACAATTGAACAAAGAGAGGGAACTCAAAACTGAACTTGTGATTGTTAAGGAATACATGAACCAACCAAGCTCTACTAATGTTGCTATTTTTCCTCCAATGAAAGATTCTGTTGAATAACATCAACACCAGGCCTCGACGCAAAACCGTGCACACCGCCCTGACCTACAAGCTTCATGTACCCCCAGCGACATCCTCGCTCTAGAGCAAGCACACATAGCACGACCAACAACATCGTCAACGACTTCTGCCACCAATCTGTGTTGACCATATGATGACTCATCTCTGTTCTGCAATCCATCGCATGTACGCCGCTAAGTAGCACTCCTCCATGCAGTACCTTGTCATCAACACCTCCAAATCGGCCTCTAGGAACCACCCGCTCTGACTTCCGATTGAATGCCATCAATCTAGTTAAGAGCCAAAGCCGACAAGTCGCATGTCGTCTTCCTAGCCGCCAAACGACCCATGTGCTATGTCCACTTGTCTCCCTGTCAAACGCAGCTCACCGAAAGGCCTAGGTCGGCCCACCCCAAGTGTTCGATCCACCGATCAAGAACGCCAATTGCCTCCAGCTTCAATCAACCCGAGCACGGGGCTCCACATCTCCCTGTTGACAATAGCTCACCGGAAAGTCTGGGCCACCCGTCCAAAGTGTCTGACCCACCGATTGGATCGCCAATCGCTTCCATCACCATCAGCCCGAGCATCATGACTGGTCATCTCCCTGTTGAATGCAGCCATCAAATAGTTCAAGCCGCTGCCTGAAGTGTTCGATTCCACCAATCAAATTCCATTTATCACAACCGTGCTCCACATCTTCCTGTTGACAACAGCTCACCGGAAAGTCTTGGCCACCCACCCAAAGTGTCTGACCCACCGATTGGACCACCAATCGCTTCCACCACCATCAACCTGAGCACCATGACTGGTCATCTCCTTGTTGAATGTAGCCATCAAACAGTTCATGCCGCTGCCTGAAGTGTTTGATTCCACCAATCAAATTCCGTTGATCACAACCGTGCTCCACATCTCCCTGTTGACAATAGCTCACCGGAAAGTCTGGGCCACCCGCCCAAAGTGTCTGGCCCACCGATTGGATCGCCAATCGCTTCCACCACCATCAACCCGAGCACCATGACTGGTCATCTCCTTGTTGAATGCAGTAATCAAACAGTTTATGCCGCTGCCTGAAGTGTTCGATTTCACCAATCAAATTTTTCATTGATCACAACCGTGCTCCACTATAATCGACTTTGTACACATACTCGACACCAACTCTAACATAACCAACTCTAACATATTCATAGAAAAAAAAGATGCCAATCATGCACATATCCTATGGAGTAAATTCCTTGTGTACTCCTGAAAACTCACTCAATCCCTTTCGTACCCTTGAAATTTACTCGATCCTTTCTATACCCCTGAAATTTCAACTTGATCCCTTCCATGCCCCTACAGTTACATTTTCCATCATTTCACTATTACGTTTGATTGCAAATGTCTTTTTTGCCCTTGATGCTTTAGCTTTGAATATAAGCTTAAAAAACGATTGAAAATTTTGTTTGAGTTCACAATATGTGCATTTTATGAAACTAATGAGAGTAAATAATTAGTGCATAAAATTTTGACATAAATTTTGGAAATAAAACTAATGTAATATATTAAAATTTTTATTTGAAATTTTAATAGAACAGTGGATTTTTTTATTGGGAGCATTCATAAAAAAATGTTGTGATCTTTGTATGAATGCTCCTCATTTTTTATGACTTTTTTTTAAATAAATACATAATTTTTATTTCATTATATAATTTTTTTTGGGGATAAATAATGCATCGCACAACAAACTTATAATATAATAGTCTCATGCGAGAAGCTTTTACATTTTTAATAATGTAATTCATAAATTTCTATGTTCATCCAAAGGGTAAAAATTAGACGGTCAACTAACAGTCAACTGACGGAAGGGGTATGGAAGAGATCAAAATCAAATTTTGGGAGCATGCAAGGAAGTAAGCAAAATTCAGGGGTATAGAAGGGATTAGCTAAAATTTCAGAGATATACAAGGGATTTTCTCTAGAAAAAAAAATCCTATATGTTGCATTGGTTGCTGCTCTGTCAAGTACAGACATACATCCTGCATCCAGTAGTAGTTGCCCTGTCCTTATCACAACTCACAACGTGTAAATGCTTTTAAAAGTTGTCTGCTTGAGCTGAACATCACAAAGAGTTGAACCCAACAATTCTGACAGGCCTAACAACGATCAAAAAAACCAATTTGAGAAATCAATCCCCTATGAAATTCCACAAATCATTTTTTTAGATAATGGATTAACAAACCCGGCCTCTACATCCATGAGAGGATGGACACAGCCAACTACACAAATCATATATACCAGCCACATTTTATCTCCTTTTTCTGCTTGAACAATCAGGACATGGAGATTGCAGTATCAGCAGTAACCGGTGAACTCTTCAGCCGGTTCATCTCCTTCCTCCTGAGCAAGTACTCGAGCCATGAAATTTCAGAGGATAAGCAGCTGGAAAGACTGCAGCAGCTGCTCCTACGAATATGCGCGGTCGTCGAGGAGGCGGACGGGCGATACATCACCAACTCTGGGATGCTGATGCAGCTGAAGGGGCTTGCAGATGCCATGTACCGAGGGCACCATGTCCTGGACATGCTCAGGTGCAGGACCTTAACTCAGGAGAATTCCATCAAGGAGGTTCAGGTTGGCAGCCCATTTCCCCCTCTCAAACGTTTTCGCGCAATTGTTGATGCTGCTGGGAAGGACAAGGCCAGGTACTTTGAGATTCATAGAACTTTGGAGATATTAGAAACAGCTGTTGATCACATGCCAGAATTTGTTGTGCTTTTGGGTGGATGCGAGCGAATGTCGCGGAGGCCATATGATGCATATCTTTACATAGACAACTTCATGTTTGGCCGTCATACTGAAAAGCAGAGGCTTCTGAATTTCCTGTTGGAATACAACCCTCCAAGTCTTCCTGCTGTTCTTCCAATCGTGGGAGGTCATGCAGTTGGGAAAAAAACTCTGATTGCACATGTATGCGCTGATGAGCGGGTTCAATCTCAGTTCTCTTCAATTTTGCATTTGAATGAAGATGATCTTTTGAGAATAGCACACAGTGATACTCTCTTGTCAGGGAAGATGTTGGTAGTTGTTGAGTTTGTTTCAGATTTGAATGAGAAAAATTGGGAGGAATTCTATACAAGTCTAGCACAAATGAATGAAGGAAGCAAGGTGATAACCATAAGCAGGTTTAGAAAATCAGAGAAACTTGGAACTGTGAAGCCAATTTTACTTGACATCCATTCACATGAAGAATTGACCTACCTTTTCAAGACACTCGCATTTGGAAGTGCAAACCCTATGGACCATCCACGATTACTGCAAGTAGCCGAAGAATTTGCCATGCAATTGCAGTTGAGAGGGTCACTTATCTCAGTGAATATTTGTGCAGATGTATTAAGATGGAATTTGGATGTCAATTTCTGGATTAGTATACTGAACAGGTGCATAACAGTGGCTGAAAAGAACTTCTCCTTGTACGGTAAGCATGTTAGGTCACTTTTTGAACAAGGTCATCGTCTAGATATCACCAACTTTGCTTCATCTTCAGCTGCTCCATTGCACATCATACCATTTGCTGGTCACAGTAGTGCACTGAAGGACTTACAAAGGGTTACATTAAGAGAACTATTACTAGATCCTAGTGTTAGACCAAAAGGTGACTTCAATCTAGTTTCATGGGAATCAAGGCTACCTCCTTATACTTCATTTATTCACTTTGTTCCAAATTATTCTCAAGATTTTCCTAAAGATAAACCCTTGTCAGGAAGGAAGCGTCGAGGAGATCCTTCCTAATCTTACAGACATTATTTTCATTAATTTGTAGGTATGATATTTGTCAATGATATATGTGTCATTGTATATATGTACAAGTAGACAAGGGTTAGGATAGTATAGTCTTCTCCCATGTCAGGAATGCCTCTTGTACTCAACATATGCCCTTTGGGCCTAACTCAATACATCAAGTCTATTCCTCATTTTTCTCTCTTCTCATAAATTGACAATATTGTAATTCGGATATTGGACACTAAAAGGAGTGACATAACCATGACATTTTGAATTCTGAGCAGCTGGTAGCTGTTTGTTTTCCCCTTGCTGAAAATAGATCTTATGTATTGCCACCATCTTATATATCTTACCTTCAGAAGCTCATCATTCAGAACTTCTTACATTTGGAAAAACAGAAGGAACTCAGAACTGAATTAGTGATTGTTTTTAAGGAATACATGAATTTCCATCATATTCAGGCAATGAACAAAACCGAGCTGTACTAGTTTTTTCTATTTTTCCTCAAATGAAAGATCCTGTTGAATAACATCAACACTAAGATGTGAGCAATGAGGTGTGAAAACCAAAACAGGACAGATCATAAAATTCAATTCAGTTAAAAATCAAACCACCTCTTAAATTCAAAAGCCATGTCAGTATGAGTAACTGAGCTGCAGTTATTGTGTACCTGCGGTAAATATAATTTTTGAAATTTAACAGCGACGTGGTCTCAAAAAGATAAACCAATACAAACTTTATTTTTAAGAAAATGAAATATCTAATAAAATCATAATAATATTTTAAACAAACCTACTCATTGTATATCTTTCTTTGACCTGCTACAATATTATTGGTCAAAATTATAGTTTGACTACATGTATTACGGGTGTCACCTTATTGATGGCCCGCCGGCCTGGATACATTATAGAGCAAATGTAATCATACTTAAGATTAATCATGAAGTTAACAAACATATCTGGCTATCTGCCACCCACTGGTTCAGAGATGGACAAAAAGGAGCTTTAAATATTTAGTCAACGTGTCCTTGTCAAACAAAAAAGAGGAAATTCTACTAACAATAAACAGAATGAATGGAAGTATAGCATCCAGGTACAAGATAGAGTCATTTTTGTCACAGAGAAAAATGCAACTACTACAAACACGGCAGATTGGCAGGAACCAATTTTACGAGATTAAAGATGGAGCTCTCCATACCTGCAGTTGCAAGTGATAAATAGATGGCATAATTAAGCTGATTCATCTCCTTCCACATAAACTGCTCACAGTTAAGCAAGTCATCTTATTGAGGAGGTGGACACATGAGGCAGGCATGACCATCTCAATTATTAGTACATTTGTTGGGAATCTAGTGATAAAAGTAACAATTCTCTAAGACGTTAGGTGATTTGGTCCCCACTCCCCAAAGATTGAAGTAGCAAAGTAGTCCTCCAAAACGTTTCCAAGAAGGCATGAAAAGTGTTAGATATACGGTATTGCTATATCTGTGGCGCATGATTTTTTAAGGAAAAAACAGTCGTTTTTCTGGCGGTAGGATCTCCCTTGATGTTCGTGCTTGGCTTCCCACGCTGATTGCCGATTTTGTCGAGGTGTATATCAAGGATGACTTGATCACTTGATTACTTTGTTATTATTAATACTCAAAGGGATGTGTGATTTTGTGAGTAATTATTTTCTACTTTGCTAGCTTCTTTCTTTTCTCCAAACGGACCTGTGATTTGTGAGCTTCCCTCTTCTTTCTGTTGTGATTACATTGTAAATACATTAAAATTACATATGTAATTTAGACACTTACATATGTGATTTTGGGACTTACATCCTAAATACACTAAAATTACATATGTAATTTAGACACTTACAATGTAAATAAATGCCGACTATTTTTTGGTGAAAAATATGGCACCATAAATATAGCTACTACCTAGATATATAAGGTAGTCTATATCTGTTATAACAACTTGTGATGGAATCTGGCTGGATAGATCCTAGGAGTCCAGATATGTAATAGTATTTGTAGTCTTGAGGTTAGTTAGAGATATGTACAAGCTGGGGTCCTACACCCGCATTGTACATGCCATGATGCCGGCTATTGGCATCTATATCAATTAGTGCGCGTCATCAGACGCGTCATCAGACAGAACTGACCACTTCGGCCCTCTGAACTTTTGACAATTGATACTATCCTTTGTAACTTTTCTAGAGAGGGATATATAACAGCTCATCTTTCTTATGCTAGAGAAATCGCAGATGAACTTTTGTGTCAATTAGCATACTAACAGAAAAAGTGTGCAATCATTTTTTATAAAATTAGCTGTGGTCAATCTCCGCAGATTGACTTGGGGTGCTCCTCACCGATTCTCGAGGTCCTGGATCAGCTTATTACTCAGCTCCTCCAACTCATTGGTTCTTCTTTCCCTCTCTAGCTTGGTGTTGATTTTCTCTAAGTAACTTATATTTCCTGATCTTTGTAAGCTAAAGGAGCTACAGTTATTGGATGGAATGGTTGGAAGGGTTCCTAGTTCTACTCATGTTGGTTTCTTGATTTTATCTAAGAAACATATGTTGGAAGTGTATGACAAGGTCAAGAAAATTTTGATGACAAATTACCATATAGAAGACTGCAAACAGAGTAAATCTACTTGATCAATATATGCAGTATTTATCAACTCAGAAGATTCTACTGATCATGAACCAATAGTCTGCCATCTCCTGCAAATCATCAAAAATAGAAGGTTAGCAGATGGAATTACTTGTCGTCTAACTTGTCATGAGCTTCAAAGCATATTTCAGTCCATCTGAAATCATGAGTTTTATACCTCTATTTTACTTCTGTCAGATACAGGGAATAGATTCTTTTGAATTCAAAATCATTGGAAGATATCAAGACAAATTTGCTTGTACTTTGTAGAATTTGCACTTGAAAAACCTTCACCAGAAAGCAAAATGGCCAAAAATATATACATTGCCGTTCTCACTATTCGAACAGGCGACGTGAAAAAAACAAAGCCTACAGTCTTCCCACCAAAGCAGACTAGGCTTTATGAGATGGTTGTGTCCACTAATCTATATGACATCATAGTTTTATATTCATACCTGCATATCTTAATCCACACTTGGTCTTAGCTTTACACATTATGAATCAATAGCAGATCTCAAGGCAGTGCTGCACTTGGGAAGGTCACTTTTCACAGAATATGTCTGTATGTGGATGTCTACTGAAACAACAAAAACAATCAGTTCTAGACTAGCTGAGAAGTACATGAATTAACTAAACATGGAAAAACTGAAGGCTGTCTAGTAGATTTAGCAATGCAGCAAAGGCTGTCTATAGTAGCTCACCAAAAGCCTCCTCACCAAGTGAATTTCCCAAGAGTGCCATTGACAGTTCTAAATTTTGAAACAAACTATATTTCTAATATGAAAATTAGGTGCATCATTAGATTCATTCTGAAAAATGCTTTCATACTATAACTCCTCAGTATAAGAAATATAATGGTCAAACCTGCGTTGACAAGAACCAAGAAACTAAAAATTATTTAGTGGAAAAGAATGGATGTTAGTAAATTGGTTTTCCCTTGCAGCTAGCAAATTATTACGTGTAGATGAATTATAACAGCATTCACATTCTCCTTGAAAGAAACTCCAAAGAATACATAATTAGCTGTTTAACACAGTTGCCAAATCTAATATTACTTTAAGAATTTCATCAATCCACTAAAAAGAGTTGTACAGTTAAAGAAAACTAAATAGTTTTGCATCCACTAAAAAATATCTACGGTTCTGCTTCTTTCAGCTAGCTAGCCTGGGACAAATGAGCACTCCAAGTAGATGGTTAAAGGTTTCAGAAGATGAATTGGCTGAGTGACGTAGTTTTTTTTTTGCCCATTTATCATGATTGTCATCCAATATCCCAGTTCTTCTAGGACGCGTCTTCTAAAAAAACATTTTATGTGTCATATGATGATTTGTATTGGAAGCAATTTTTCACCCTACCAAATTTTGACAACTTCAATGGTACCACATGGATGTTTTATTTGATGCCAACTTTTACCACACTGGGACTAACTCTGCCTACCAATTTGGTAGTGCCAAAACTTTTCAAGATTCTCACACTACCAAAATATTGGTAGCGCAATAATTGGCTTCAATCTAAAGCAGCCCATAATCTTTTCATATGTTTACCTTCATTATAGTTATTCCAACAGGGCTTTTTGATAGTTCTCCTAAAAAATGGTAAAAGTGAAAAAGTCACGTTAGGAAAATATATATATTATACCTTACTACATATATATGTATAATATTAAATCAATGCAAATTTATCTGGCTTACTAAAAGTACCAGCTTTCTTGTAAAATGTCAAAAGTGAGAGTTTTGTCCTTTCTAAAGATGCTCTTTCGACAAACAAATGTATGGTGGTTGTTTCTTTTTTTTTAAAAATGAAAAGTCTTATGGTGGACAGGTAATCATGTGTCTGCTTTCAATCCGTCTTCTTTGAAAAGGCTATCACAATAGAGAGAGAATTTCTCCTAAATTTCATGAAATAATCAAATGTCTCTTTCATTGTGCTGGCCATTTTGATTAAGTAGGCAGACTTTTTTTATGTCCATTTGACTGAAATAGCATACTGCATCCTATATCTTGTTCATATTAAGCGAACTAAATTGAGTATGAACTCTCTCTCTCTCTCTCTCTCTCTCTCTCTCTCTCTCTCTCTATATATATATATATATATATATATATATATATATATATATATATATATATATATATATATATATATATATATATATATATATATATATATAGGCAACATATCCTATGCACACAGGTCCTCACGTGCACACCAACTAAAAAATATCACCAAAAAATCTACAAAAAATCATACACATACTTTCAATTGTATTACACCTAGGGTTAAAATCTTAACGTCAAATTCATTATATTTTAGCCGTAACAAAAAAAACAAAAAATCTGACAGTTTTAATGTTGCAATTTTATCAGAATTTTATCTTTTTTGTTATTCTCTATGTAGAATGAATTTGAAGATGCGACTTTGCACGTAGATGTAATACTATTGAAAGTACATGTATGAATTTTCCTAGAATTTTTTGTGATAATTTTTAGTTGGTGTACACGGTGTGTACACGCGAGGGCCTGTGTGCATAGGATACGCTCCCATATATATATATATATATATATATATATATATATATATATATATATATATATATATATATATATCAACAAACAAAAGATAAACAAAAGGTGAAAAAAAGCATGCGGTGGAGCCAATTGTATCAGCGGTTGTAGGTGACTTTGTTCATCGATTCATATCCTTCTTGATCAAGAAGTGTGAGAGCCAAGAAAATCTTGAAACAAAGATGGAAAGGCTACATAATCTCTTGCTCAAAGCTCACATGATTGTCGAGGAGGCTGAGGGGCGATACATCACCAACTCCAAGATGCTACTTCAGTTCAAGAAGATTGTAGAGACCATGTACCAAGGCTACCATATCCTAGACATCATCAAGCATAGGACCCTTTGCAGCTCAAGACCCGAAGAGGAGGTTAGCAACTCCAATACTCTGTCAACCCGTACATGTTATGTTGATCCTTTTCATACTTCACAAAGCTATACCATTAGACATGATCAGCTGCAAAGCACATTGGACAGTTTAGAAACAATTGTTTCCAGTATGACAGAGTTTGTCATTCTTCTTGGTGGTTGCGAACGGATGTCTCCTAAGCCCTATGACACATATCTTTACTTTGATAACTTCATGTATGGCCGGCAAGTGGAGAAGCAGCAAGTCATCAGTATCTTACTGCAAGAAAATATTCCACATTTTGCTCCAACTGTTCTCCCCCGATCATTGGCCCTAGTAGAGTTGGTAAGAGAACTCTAGTTGCACACGTGTGCAACAATGAGATAGTCCGATCACACTTCTCGTCAATCTTGCATTTGAATAGTGAAAACAATAGGGAAATGGAGTGTGAAACTTTCACTGAAAGGAGGGATTTGTTTGTGATTGAGTTCACAGCAGATATAGATGATGAGAATTGGAAGAAGTTTTATGTGTCATGCACACATATGGGAAGAGGAAGCAAGATCATAATTATCAGTAGGACTGAGAGGATATCAAGGTTTGGAACAGTAAGGCCAATTCATCTTAACAGTTTGCCACTTGAGGAGTATAGCTACCTCTTCAAGGTTCTCGCATTCGGAAGCACTAACCCAAAGGAGCATCCGCAGTTGTTATCCAGCAAATGAGCTATCAGTGTTGCTTGGTGGCTCATTCGTCACAGCAAATGTGTGTGCAGATATATTCAGAAAGAATCAAAATGTTAACTTATGGCTCCGTGTCTTGGAAAAGTACAGGAATGTAGTGAAGAATAATTTCTCTATGTTCAGAGAACACCCCAAGCTTCTAATGCAGAAAGAACACTAGATAGATATAAGCAATTTGGTGTCATCATCCTCACCACTTCGCCTCATGCCTCCTCATTGTGAAGAAGATTAGTCAAAGAGGTGCTTAACCAAGGTGATGTTCAGTGACTTCATAGCTGACTCTGTTGTTATACCAAAGGAGAACTTTGAGTTAGTCACATGGGAATCACGGATACCCCCTTATAGAAGGTTTGTCAACATTGTTTCAAATTATGATAATGAGATGAATTTTCATCATACAGACTTACCTCACAAGAAGCGTAAAAAAATAGATAAATAACATGATAGCTAATGAAATCAAGCAATCTATAGCTTTCTAAAGGGAAGTCGAAAAAAAAATCTAAAAGTATAGTTGTATTTCTATTTGATAATTAACAAAAGTACCAGTTAGTGTATGCCATCGAAGTAATCATAGAGACTATTGTATCATATACAATGTGGATTTATGAATAAAGCGCTACCACACTTCCTCAGATTTATATATTGTTGACGATCATTTCTCATAGATTATGGTCCGGATAAACTATTCAATATTTTGAATGCATGTTGGAGTACTTTCTGTTGGATAGATCCATCCATAGATATTGAAATGATTGTAACGAGGCATCAGTTGGTCTCAAGTGGTAAGGTGCAGATGCTGAATCATTCAACTTGAGATCATTTTAGTTGTCAATATATGTAGTAACATACTTATGGATTGACAAATGCTACATAGCTATAAAAGGTATGATCAAACTTTGTAAAACTTGATTGCACAGATTCTAGCTAGCTGACAAATAAGAGAGAACCAACTTAGTATCAGTTGATAGTGTGGCCTACCATTCTTAATACCTTGGCCGATGCAATATTAAATTGGCATAAGGCATGTTTAATAATTGAGACAACATATGCTCTAAACATTAGTCCACTAAAATAATCATTTAATATCATTCTCTCAAAAAATAATATTCTATTACTCATCCCTTTCCACAACCACATGCATTAAATTTAATGCCACTGAGCCTCAATTTATATACCCTTCATGCCACTGCAGTCAGCCTGATATGAGATTGTTGTTAAGCCAAAAAAGATGGCATTACTGCCCTTCTGTCTTGCGTTTCCATTGTCTCCAACTTACCCTCCTGCTCATCTCTTTCTTCTTTTTAGCATCATCTTCCATGACCATGAGTTGATTCCTAGATTCGTGTGCATTTCCACACATCCTTGTGTAGACTATGGAAGATCAGAAGATATTGGCAGGGTCATCACCTCCCGCTAACACATTTGCTCACCAAGCAGCCATATTCTCTGATCTTCTTTCCCTCTCTAGCTTGGTGTTGATTTTCTCTAAGTAACATATTCTCTGATCTTTATAAGCTAAAGGAGCTAGAGTTATTGGATGGAATGCTAGGAAGGGTTCCTAGCTAGTTCTACTCTGCCATGTTGGCTTCTTTGGTGGTTGGCTATGATTTTGAATTGTGCTTGGCTTGTGTTGTTTAGCTCCGAACCAGCCACGGGATTTATGTTACCCCTGTTCTATTTCACTCACTCTCAGTATATGATATGGGTAAAATGTTGTTCTATTTTGCCTTACTTGTTGTAATTTCTTCCAATAGCTTATCTATTATATTTACTCAAAACACAAACAAGGAAAGATTAGGAATTTGAGATAGATGGAGTTGGCTCTTTTATCTGTAGTTGCAGCACACCTGGCTAATGACTTATCGGTTTTTCTCTATTTTTATCAACAAGTGTATGACAAAGTCAAGAAAATTATGATGACAAATTACCATAGAGAAGACTGCAAACAGAGTAAATCTACTGTGATCAATATATGCAGTATTTATCAACTCAGAGGATCCTACGGCTCATGAGCCAATAGGCTGCCATCTCCTGCAAATCATCAAAAATAGAAGGTTAGCAGATGGAATTACTTGTCTCCTAACTAGTCATGAGCTTCAAAGCATATTTCAGTCCATCTGAAATCATGGGGTTTATACCTCTATTTTACTTCTGTCAGATACAAGGAATAATTATTTGAATTCAAAATCATTGCAAGATAGCTACACAAATTTGCTTGCAGTTTGTAGAATTTGCACTTGAAAACCTTCACCAGAAAACAAAATGGCCCAAAATATATACATTGGCGTTCTCACTATTCGAACAGGCCACGTGAAAAAAACAAAGCCTACAGTCTTCCCACCAAAGCAGACTAGGCTTTGTTACATGGTTGTGCCCACTATATATGGCATCAGCGGCGGACCTACAGTGTTAGCATTGGTGTCAGGTGACACCAACGACTTTCGGCAAAATCTATGGTTAAACTACTTATCCATATATTATAACACTATAGTCTACTTATCCATAATTATAACACTATAGTCTAAGTATAGTTGGTATGCTATGACACCGATAGACACATTATGACACCAATGAATCATTTTTCTAGATCCGCCACTATATGGCATCATAGTTTTATATTCACAATTGCATATCTTAATCCACACACTTGGTCATATATAGTTTTGCATTGAAATTATAAAACTAGAGACAATCAGTTTTTTCCAGATTAATTCTGCTTGTCGATTCAGAACTACAGACAGCTACCTTCACTTTTAGTAGCAGATCTGAAAGCAGTGCTGCACTTGGGAAGGTCACTTGTCACAGAATATCTCTGTATGTGGATGAGTACTGAAAGAACAAAAACCTTCAGTTGTAGCAGAGAAGTACATGAACTAAACATGGAAAAGTTGAAGGTTGTGGTCAAATAGATTCTACAGTGTTAACATGCATCACGGTCTATTTATAAGCCAAACATGCCGTGGGTGCGGTCTTTCCCCGTCGGTCGAGTTATTTTTTTTAAGCCTCCTCACCAAGTGAATTGCCCAAGATTATGTTTATAGACATGACATTTGCATCTGGTATTCTACCAAAGAACGAGAATCAGGAAACACATCCTTATGCTACCTCAGCTTAAAAATAAATAAATAAAACTTGAGGTCCTGGCATTGACCTTTCTAAATTTTGACTGCTAGTATGTTTGAAACAATCTATATTTTTAATATGAAAGTGTGCCATTAATTTTGACTACTACTTGTGTGTCCTATCAAAGTATCAAACCACTAAAAAAGAAGAGTACAGTTAATGACGCAATAAAAATTGTGGAAATCGCTTGGCAACGTCCCTTGCTCTGTTTTTTCTAACAATATGCACATCCACGGTTCTGTTTCTTGCAGCTAGCCTGGGACAATGGTACATTCCCTAGTAGATGGTTAAAGGTCTGACAAGATGAATTGGCTGAGTGAGGTAGTTTTGTTTTGCCCAGTTATCATGATTGTCAGTATCCGTTTCTTATAGGACGCATCTTTAAAAAGTCAAACCATTTTATGTGTCATAGGGCCGGGAGGCAATTTTCACCCCACCAAATCTTTGACAACTTCAATACTACCACATGGATGTTTGTTTAATGCTAACTTTAAACTTTTGATGTCCAATGTAGCCCATAATATTTTTTATGTGTTTACTCCCTCAATTCTCCTAAAGAAATGGTAAAGGTGAGAAAATCTCATTACAAAACAATATATTATAGCTTTCTATAAATCAATGACAAATTTATCTGGTTCAATCAAAGTGGTTTTCTTGTAAAATGTCAAAATTGGGGGCTTGCTCCTTTCTAAAGATGCTCTTTACAAATTTATGGAGATCATTTTTTTTCTGTTTCAAAGGAAAAATGTTTTGGTGGACAGGTGGTCATGTATCTCCTAAATTTCATGAAAGAACCAAATGTCTCTTTCATTGTGCTGGGCACCAGAGTAACCACGCTAACCATCACGACTAGGTAGGAACACTTTTTTAATGCCCATTTGACTGCAATAGCATACTGCATCATCCTAATATCTTCTTCCTAATAAGCAGACTGATTGCAAGAGTTGAGTAAGATCCTGGATCTCTCCTTCTCGGCTTCTCTGTTTCTCTCTCTTGGCCTGTGATGGAGGCTATTGTATCAGCAATTGCTAGTGACTTTGTTAACCGATTCATATCCTTCTTGATGAAGAAGTGTGGGAGCCAACAAAATCTTGAAACAAAGATGGAAAGGCTGCAGAATCTCTTGCTCAAAGTTCACATGATCGTCGAGGAGGCTGAGGGGCGATACATCACCAACTCCAAGATGCTACTTCAGTTCAAGAAGATTGTAAAGGCCATGTACCAAGGCTACCATGTCATGGATATTATCAAGCATAGGACCCTTTGCGGCTCAAGACATGAAGAGGAGGTTAGCAGCTCCAATATTTTGTCAACCACTACATGTTATGTTAATCCTTTTCGTACTTCACAGAACGCTGCCATTAGACATGATCAGCTTCAAAACACATTGGATAGTTTAGAAACAATTGCTTCTAGTATCACAGAGTTTGTCTTTCTTCTTGGTGGATGTGAACGCATGTCTCCCAAACCTTATGACACATATCTTTACTTTGATAACTTCATGTTTGGTCGTCAAATGGAAAAGCAGCAAGTTATCAATATCTTACTGCAAGAGAATCTTCTGCATTTTTCTCCAACTGTTCTCCCAATCATCGGCCCTACTAGAGTTGGTAAGAGAACTCTAGTTGCATATGTGTGCAACAATGAGATGGTCCGATCACATTTCTCATCAATCTTGCACTTGAATGGTGAAAACATTAGGAAAATGGAGTGTGAAAGTTTTAGTAAAAAGAGGGATTTGGTTGTGGTACAGTTCACAGCAGATACAGATGATGAGAATTGGAAGAAGTTTTATGCATCATGCACACATATGGGAAGAGGAAGCAAGATTATAGTTGTAAGTAGGATTGAGAGGATATCAAGGTTCGGAACCGTAAGGCCAATTCATCTTAACAGTTTGTCACATGAGGAGTATAGCTACCTCTTCAAGGTTCTCGCATTTGGAAGCACTAACCCAGAGGAGCATCCTCAAATGGTGTCTATAGCAAATGAGCTGTCAGTGTTGCTCGGTGGCTCATTCGTCGCAGTGAATGTGTTTGCGGATATATTCAGAAAGAATCATGTTCACTTATGGCTCCATGTCTTGAAAAAATACAGAAAAATGATTCGGAAAAATTTCTCAGAGTTCAAAGAACACCCCAAGCTTCTTTTGGACAAAGAACATCATATAGATATAACCAAACTTGCATCGTCATCCTCTCCACTTCACCTCATGCCTCCTAATTGTGAAGACAATCAGTCAAAGAGGAGCTTAACCAAGGTGATGTTCAGTGACTTCATAGCTGACTCTGTTGTTATACCAAAGGAGAACTTTGAGTTAGTCACATGGGAATCGCGGATACCCCCTTATAGAAAGTTTGTCAACATTGTTTCAAACTATGATGATGAGATGAATTTTCATCATACAGAAGTACCTCACAAAAAGCGTCAAAAATTAGATAAATAACATGATAGCAAATGAAATCAAGCAACCAATAGCTTTCTAAAGGAGAGTCAAACAAAATAGTATAATAATATAGTTGTATTTCTATTTGATAATTAATGAAGGTATCAGTTAGTGATATGCCATCGAAGTAATATATCATAGAGACTATTGTATCATATACATTGTGAATTTGTGAATAAAGTGCTACTCCATTTCCTCATATTTATATATTGTTGACGATCATGTCTCATAGATTATGGTCTGGATAAACTATTCTCATAGATTATTTCTGTTGGATAGATCCATCCATAGATATTGAAATGATTGTACGGGGAATCAGTTGGTCTCAAGTGGTAAGGTGCAGATGCAGAATTATTGAACTTGAGATCATTTTAGTTGTCAATATATATATGTCGTACCTTACTTATGGATTGGCAAATGCTACATAGCTATAAAATGTATATGATCAAAGTTTGTAAAACTTCATTGCACAGATTCTAGCTGATAAATAAGAGAGAACCAACTTAGTATCAATATATTGATAGCGTGGCCTACCATTCTTAATGCCTTGACTGATGCAATGTTAAATTGGCATAAGGTATGTCTAACAGTTGAGACAATACAGGCTCTAAACATTAGGCCACTAAAATAATTATTTATTATAGTTCTCTCAAAAAATAATATTCTATTACTCATCCCTTTCCACAACCACATGCATTAAAATTAATGGCGCCACTGAGCCTCAATTTATATACCCTTCATGCCACTGCAGTCAGCCTGATATAAGATTGTTGTTAAACCAAAATGAAGGAGTTAATGCCCTTCTTTTTTTACTTTCCATTGTCTCCAACTTACCCTCCTGCTCATCTATTTTCTTATTTTTAGCATTATCTTCCATGAGACCATGACCATGAGTTGATTCCTAGATTAATTCGTGTGCATTCCCACACATCCTTGTGTAGACCTGAGGTCGCCGTCATCGTCATCGTCCACCTAAGGTCGCCGTCTCTTCAAGATCGCCGCCGGCCATCTTCCACCGCTGTTCATCGTCGTTCACACCGGGGTAAGCACCGTTGCCTCCTCTCTCTCTCTCTCTCTCTCTCTCTCTCTCTCTCTCCCGGTGCTGTCGCCTTTCGCCGGAGCGCCGCCGTTCGCCATTGCCGCCGGTGATGTCGTGACATGCCACGTGTGTGTCCATGCCCCTGCCACCTAAGCCGCCACCTCACCCTTTCCACTCGCGTGGCAGCCAACTCAAAACTCTCAGTCAAGATTAATTTCAGCCGTCCAAAATCAATATAAATCCTCTCATCTTTTTAGTGACATATTATTCCTTTTTAATATATATCATCTACCAAATATGATCTAATCTATTTTTGGAGGATGCTTTTAATCTTTTATCTCAGTTATAAATTATTTGAAATTGTTTAATTAATTTGGAAGACATCCCGGCCCAGGGCTTAATAGGATTAATTGAATACCCATATCAACAAGTTGCAACTTCTTTTCCAGAAGCCGATCTCGAAAGAACTCTGAGGTTAAGCATGCTTGGCCTAGAGCAATTTCGGGATGGGTGACCAATCGGAAACTTCTTCCTGAGTGCACACGAGTGAGGACAAAGTGTGCAGAAAAGATATGTCTTGGTCTGTGAGGGCAGTCTATGATCTATGAAAGCTACCAGATGTAAGCGGGCCCGGCTTGGGAGAGGCGGGACGTAGTGTTTTCTTTAATAGGTTTAATTGCAATTAAATCTTATAAAATTCGTAATTAATTCATATGAAGTCGGAATGAGGCCGTTCAAGTCTCTAAATTCATCTAAAAGCATGGTCTACATGTTTGTTTACTTTATATATACGGTTTATTTGGATCTACATGTTTGTTTACTTTATATATACGGTTTATTTGGAGTTTCTTAGTGTTTTCCTAGTTTTGTGTGTTAGCTTGTCGTTTTCGTCGTTTCAAAGGTTCGTGAGTGCATCGGAAGTATTCCAGAAGGCTAATTGAAGGCCGATTATTGCAAGGCAAGTCATACAGATTCTAAACACAATTCCTTTGAGCATGTTGATCCTATATTTAAATTTCTATTTATTTTAAATGTGCATTTATTTTTGAATGTTGCTGGGTGGTGTGAGCCTAATCTTTGCTATGGCCAATTTGCATTGATTACCCTATTCTTTGATACCTTGGGTTATAATTTGACTAGTTGGACTTATATAATAGTTCAATTATATATTAGTATAATTGCTTAGCCATGTTTACAAACATTAGCACACTATTGGGATAACTAATGTTTCACTATTGCTTAATGATGGATATTTAATGGTAGCTCACAATGGATGATCATGATTGGTTAATTAATTAATATGTCAATTAAAACTTGATAATGGTGGGTTGTAAGCACATGGTTTTGATGGTCGTGCTCATGACAATTAAGGACCGGTTCGCGAGTTTCGGTTGTGAAACATTAACCGTGTCAACCACAAGCCAGCGTGGGCAAGGGCTTTACCTTTTGCATAGCATGGTTCTTTGCGGGACACCAAACTGAGAAGTGGCAGATATAAGCCCACAGGGGTCGCTAGGGAATCAATGCATTGTTTTATAAGGGGGTGATTATGATCCAGGAACGGTGCACTGTTGTGAATTGTGTTATGCGAGGGGTACTGTCACAGCTCCTTTCCAAGGTACCGTGGTGGTATTGAGGCGTATGGTGATATGTTGTGGGTTGTGTCTTGTGGATACAGTGGTACATCTTTGGCCAGAGTAAAACTATTCGAATAGCCGTGCCCGCGGTTATGGGCGGGCCTAACAATGTTTTTCGTGATTAGTCCAACACTACTCATTAATAATAATCTGATAAGTGATGGTAACTAATTTAACTCCTGGTTTGGAGGTTTGATCTGTACGACCGGGTTTGGTTGTTGGCCTGTGCAGCATTGGTGTGTTGTTCAGTGTTGTTTAATATTGGTAATTAATTACTCTACTATTTTACTATTCTTAAATGTTTGCTAAATGCTGCTTTTGCAAATGAGGCATATATTATGCCATTCTTTGTGTTATCTTGTGCACTTGCATATTTGTTGTGTGGCTTGCGGAGTATTCCATGTACTCATCTTGCAATAATCAATCAAACCTCAATTGAAGAAAAGTTGTGAAGGAGAAGACGTTTGGTTTATACCCCGGTTGAGCTACCTGTGAGAGTGGAGCTGAAGTTTCGCTAGAATTTATTTTCCACTGCAGTTTTCTTCGTGGTGAGGACTAAGTGCCTCTTATATAAGTATTTATTGCTTTAGTTATTTTGATAAATCTGTATATTAAATTGTCAGTTTGTATACCTCGGTTGATTCCTGGACAAGGATTTTATATATAAATTAGTTCAGAAATTACTAGTGGATTTCTGGGCATGACATCTTTTATCTGAAGTTGTAGCCAACCTGGCTATTGACTTGTCAGTTTTTCTCTATTTTTATCAAGAGTACGACAAAGTCAAGAAAATTTTGATGAGAAATTACCATACAGAAGACTGCACACAGAGTAAATCTACTGTGATCAATATATGCAGTATTTATCAACTCAGAAGATCCTACCGCTCATGAACCAATAGGCTTCCATCTCCTGTAAATCATCAAATATAGAAGGTTAGCATATGGAATTATTTCTCCTAACTAGTCATGAGCTTCAAAGCATATTTCAGACCATCTGAGATGATGGGGTTTAATACCTCTATTTTACTTCTGACATATTCAGGGCATAAATTCTTTTGAATTCAAAATCATCATTAGGTATCTTGACAAATTTGCTTGTAGTTTGTAGAATTTGCTGTTGAAAACCTTCACAAGAAAACAAAATGGCCAAGAATACATACATTGGCGTTCTCACTATTTGAGCATGCGACGTGAAAAAAAACAAAGCCTACAGTCTTCCCACCAAAGCAGACTAGGCTTTGTGACATGATTGTGTGTCCACCAATCTATGAAACATCATTCATACTTCCATATCTTATTCCACACTTGGTTGTAGTTTTACATCATAAATAGTTTTATCAACTAATAGCAGATCTGAAAGCATTTGTGAAGGTCACTTGTCACGGAATATGTCTTATGTGGATGTCTACTGAAAGAGCAAAAGAGTGAATATTTCTTTTTTTAAAAGGAAAAATATTATGGTGGACAGGTGGTCATGTGTCTGCTTTCAATCTGTCTTCTATGAAAGGGCCATCACAATAGACAGAATTTCTCCTAAATTTCATGAAAGAACCAAATGTCTCTTTCATTGTGCTGGCCACCGGAGTAACCACTCTAGCCATCTTGACTAGGTAGGCAGACTTTTTTATGTCCACTTAACTGCAATATAGCATAAACCCCATGAAGTAAAATATCTTGTTCATATTAAACGAACTGATTGCAAGAATTCAGTAAGAACTTGGATCTCCTTCTCGTGCTCTCTCTCTCTCTCTCTCTCTCTCTCTCTTTCTCTCTCTCTCTCTCTCACACACACACACAACAACAACAACAACAACAACAAACAAGAGGTGAATAAAAAGTGAAAAAAAAGGCCTGTGATGGAGGTGGTTGTATCGGCTATTGCAGGTGATGTTGTTAATCGATTTATATCCTTCTTGATCAAGAAGTATGAGAGCCAGGAAAATCTTGAAAGAAAGATGGAAAGGCTTCAGAATCTCTTGCTCAAAGTTCACATGATTGTCGAGGAGGCTGAGGGGCGGCACATCACTAACTCCAAGATGCTACTTCAGTTCAAGAAGATTGTAGATGCCATGTACCAAGGCTACCATGTCCTAGACATCATCAAGAATAGCATCCTTTGCAAGTCAAGACCTGAAGAGCAGGTTAGCAGTGCCAATACTATTTCAGCCCCTACATGTTATGTTAATCCTTTCCGTACTTCACAAAGCTCTACCATTAGACATGATCAGCTAAAAAGCACACTGGATAGTTTAGAAACAATTGTTTCTAGTATGACAGAGTTTGTCTATCTTCTTGGTGGATGTGAACGCATGTCTCCTAGACCCTACGACACGTATCTTTACTTTGATAACTTCATGTTTGGCCGGCAAGTGGAAAAGCAGCAAGTCATCAATATCTTACTGCAAGAGAATCTTCCACCTTTTGCTCCAACTGTTCTCCCGATCATTGGCCCTAGTAGAGTCGGTAAGAGAACTCTAGTTGCGCACGTATGCAACAATGAGATAGTTCGATCACACTTCTCGTCAATCTTGCACTTGAATGGTGAAAATATCATGAAAATGGAGTGTGAAACTTTCACTGAAAGGAGGGATTTGGTTGTGGTTGAGTTTACAGCAGATACGGATGATGACAATTGGAAGAAATTTTATGCATCGTGCACAAATATGGGCAGAGGAAGCAAGATTATAATTGTAAGTAGGATTGAGAAGATATCAAGGTTTGGAACAGTACGGCCAATTCATCTAAATAGTTTGTCACATGAGGAGTATAGTTACCTCTTCAAGGTACTCGCATTTGGAAGCACTAACCCAGAGGAGCATCCTCAATTGGTATCTATAGCAAATGAGCTAACAGTATTGCTCGGTGGCTCATTCATCACAGCAAACGTGTTCGCAGATATTTTCAGAAAGAATCAAAATGTTCACTTATGGCTCCATGTCTTAAAAAAATATAGAAATACGGTGCTGAAAAATTTCTCAGAGTTCAGTGAACACCCTAAGCTTCTTTTGGAGAAAGAACATCTTATAGATATAACCAAACTTGCATCGTCATCCTCTCCACTTCGTCTTATGCCTCCTCATTGTGAAGGCTATGGGTCGAAGAGGAGGTTAACCAAGGTGATGTTCAGTGACCTGATAGCTGACTCCATTGTTGTACCAAAGGAGGACTTTGAGTTAGTCGCATGGGAATCACGGATACCCCCTTATAGAAGGTTTGTAAACATTGTTTTGTATTGTGATGATGAGAAGAATTTTCAGCATGCGGACTCACTTCACAAGAAGCGTCAAAAAAATACATAAATAACATGGTAGCAACATTTTATTGTGGCAATGTATAGCTTTCTTAAAGGTAACCAAACAAAATAATATAGTTGTATTTCTATTTATAATCAAAGAAAGTGTTGGTTAGTGATACGCCCTTGAAGTAATCATAGAAATTATCATATCATATACTATGTGAATTCGTGAATAAAGTACATGGTACTCCATTTTCTGAGATAGATATCATTATTATTGATCAATGAGTATATGCTATTAATATGAGATCCTTTATGTGTCGTGTTTACATGAAATGAATATGATTTTGAGATTAGCACATATATATTGTTTGAAGATCATGTCTAACGGATTATGGTACGGAGATATCATTCAATAATTTACATGCATGTTGGAGTATATATTGTTGTTGGATAAATCCATCCAGACGTTGCAATGATTTTAACATGGCATCAATTGGTATCCAGTGGTACGATACTGATGCATAGCTTACCTATAGATGGACAAATGCTAATTGTAGCTATGTGGTCGAACTTTGTAAATTAAAACTTGATTGCACAGATTCTAGCTAACTAATAAGAGAGAACCGACGTAGTAGTTAGTACTAATTGGTAGGTTGTCCTACTATTCTTAATGTCGTGTAATATTAAATTGACATCAGGCATGTTTAACATTTTAGACCATTTCCCTACAATATAGGATCTAAACATTAATCCACCAAAATAATTATTTATTACTCTCCTCCCTTTCAACAACTCTTCTACACCCACCCGCCCAACCCCCTCAGGCGAGGTGTTCTCGACATAAGAAAAAAAATACAACCTGCACCTATATATTGATCGGCACTAATACTCACAGACAACCAGCACCTATAGAGATGCCAGTTATTCACCCACAACCGGCACCTATAGTATTTAAAAAAATAAAAAAAACACCGATGGAGCCGATCCGGCGACTGCGCTGCCACCTCGCCATGCCGTCTTTCGCTCTGCGCCGACAGCCACCCAACGCACTGCTGGGGGCGGGGAGATCTAGGCGGCCCTGGCCTCCACCTCGGGAGCTTCAATTCCACCCCGCCGCCACCTTGTTGTGCCAGCCTCCGCATCGGCCGCCACCTCGCCTGCATAGGTCTTCTCCACCACCGCCTCACTAGATCTGGAGGGGAAGGGGGAGAGCGGCCGAGAGGAGGAGGGAGGGCCCCCAGGAGAGAGAGGGTCGGCAAGCCTCCTCCACCACCACCACCACTACCGCCTCCATTGCCACCTCACCGCTGGCTCGCCAGCCTCCACTTCAGCCACCACTACCTGGGCTGGCCACTACCTCTCGATCACCGCATCGCGCTGGAGGAGAGAAGGGGGGAGGGTGTAACATCCTGAAAATTCCTAACAATAAAAATCACTAAAATTTCGAACTTTTTAAAACTTTTTGCATCATGCTGGATGTTATGGTTGCTTTTACTTGCCAAACTATAAATTGTCACAATGGAAAATTAAACTAAAGTTATACAGCTAAGTAATAATTATAATAATAAGATATTTATTATGAACCCCATAAATATTTACGCACGAGAAAACAAAGCCAGACAAAGGGAAGGTTAATTACCAATTTAATTTATGGATCAAATATTAAATACTTGAACCATGTGATGCGTGCCATGAAATATAAGTACACATGAAATGATGATCACATCAATGGCCCCATCTATAATAGAGCATCTCACTAGAATATATATAATTAATATTTGAAACACCTTATCAAGCTCCTCATAGCATGAAAATCACTCATATAAAATAATGGTCATATAAATAAATTAGGCTTTATACATAAATAAGAATATGTGAGTGTTTAATTAAACAATTAGATAAATATTGTGCCGAGTCTCAATTTACTATTTATAGAATAAATAGATTGAACCTATCCGTGTAAAATATATTGCTATACAACTAAACTTGACCAATCTGCTAATGTATTAATCATGACAAGTCGTTATATTAAATTTAATAGTACCCCAAAGTCTTCAAAAATATATAAGTTCACCTTAGGGCCAATAACTCAAATTAATCTAAAAAGAATTCATTTGTGCGATAAATAAATAAATATGGGTAATATTAATCTAGGGTGAATTCATTAGTTAAGATAACACAAATATTGAGTAAAATGCATATATGTAAAATTAGGAATTGTGGAATCAAATTTATATGGAAAATACACTAAAATCGGGATAAATAGGAAAAGTCACTGTTCATTGCGCCTAAGGTGTTCGATGTGGTCCCCTAACCCAGCCCTCCTCTTTTCCCCTCTCTCTGTCGCCGCCCCGCGCCGCGCGCTGCCGCTGTCACCTGCCGCGCCGCGCGCCGCTCGGCCGTCGCCGTCGCGCCTCGCGCCTCGTACCACCGCGCGCCATCGCCGTTGCTGCCGCGTCGTCGTCGCCGTTGTTGTCGCGTCATCGCACCCCGCGCCGCGCCGCCCGCTGTCGCGTCGCCGCTGCCACCCGTCGCGTCGCCTTGCGCCCCGTGCCGCCGCTGCCGCGCTGTCGCCGTCACCGTCGCATCCCGCCTCGTGCCGCGCGCCACCGCTGCCGCCCCGTCATCGCCCGCCCGTCGCGCGCGCCGTCACCGTCGCGTCGCCGTCGGCCTCGCGCCTTGAGCCGCCGCGCGCCCGTCCCCTCGCGCCTGCGCCCCGCCGCGCGGCCGTCCCCTCGCCGTCGCCCTGCGCCACTGCCGCGCCGCCCGTTCCATCGCGCCGAGCCCCGTGACGCCGTGCGCGTCGCGTCGCCTCGCCTGTCACGCCGCTCGCTCGCCACCCGCCGCGTCGCCGTCCCATCGCCGCGCGCCGTCACCATCGCCGCGTCGGAGCCCCACGCCACCCGTCACGTCGCCCGTCTCGAGCCCCGCACCGCCGCCCGTCGCATCGCCGCTCCGAGCCCCGCGCCGCCATCGCGAAGCCGCCCGCGCGTCGCCATCGTCCCGCCCCGAGCGCCGCCATTACGCCGCCGCCCCTCCCCTCTCCTTCTCCCCTCTCTACAAATACCCCCCCTCTCTCAATTTTCCCCCACCCCATCTCACCCTTCCTCCCCTCTTCCCTCTCCACTGCGCTGCCACTCTCGTACCACCGCGCCGCCGTTCCCGTGCCGCCGCGCCGCCGCTCTCGTGCCGCCGCGCCGCCGTTCCCGTGCTGCCGTGCGCCACCGTCGCCGTTCTTGCGCCGCCGTGCGCCACCGTCGCCGCCGCCGTCGTCGCCGCTGCCGCCGCCGGTAAGCCGTCCTCCTTCCCCCTCGCGTCCACTGCCGCCGCCGCTCGGGTGGGAGAGAGAGCCGAGAGAGAGAGGGAGAGGAGAAGAGAGGCCGACAGAGAGAAAAGAAAGAAAAAGGGGGAGAGAGAGAAAAGGAAAGAGAGGAGAGGAAAAAGGGAGAGAAAGAAAAAAGAAAGGAAAAGGGAAAAGAGAAAAGAAAAGAAAAGAAAGAGGGAGAGAAAGGAAAGGAAAAATTTTGGGGGAATTTTAAAATATTTAAAAATATTAGAATTCAATCATAGGCTTAATGACAATATAGCTAGATGAATTCTTGCTATTTAAATACCTAGAATACTAGCATTTAATTATAGGATCAATTATTTAAGAACTAAACAATTAGATGAATTCTTATAGACTATTATAGATTATTTTGGGTAATCTCTATAAGTAATTGATTCACGATAGAAATTCGGATTTAATTTCTAGGAATCTTAGCCGTGTATTATATTTAATCGTTTAGTCATAGACTAAATTAAATTGTATAATATTTCTAGGATTTCGTCCAATATTTAGCTTGTAATAGAAATTTCTAACCTATTATATACAATGCTCGGGGAGAGTAAATTATTGACAACGAAATAATTATACCCGCAAAATAGTTTAAATCGAAATTGGGTTTGCCGTAGTTCGCAGATAGTAAAGTTAATAAAAAGGAATCGACTGTCGCATTCGACTTATTAGTTATTTAAATAGAGTTAGCCTTATAATTATTAGGTAAGTAAAATATAGATACACATAGATCGGTCCTAAGCTTGTTTATGGCAAATAATAACAGAGCTAGTGTGATTAAATCACCTATATGAAATTAATCAACGACATATCCCATATAATAGCATATATTAGGAGAGGTGAGCAACCCTTAGTTAACCAAGCAGTAAATAGAAACTATTCAAATAAATGATTCAATATTGTGCACACGTATATTGTACATCCCATTATAGATATATGGTATCGTATTAATTTGCTTGTTGCATATATTAATTTAGAGGGAGTATAAGACAAACATGAATATTAGATAAATACTAGCAATACATCTTGTCCTCGTATAATTACAGATCAACTGTAAATTTGGATTATTCATTGTAAAATTATGTGATGGGATAATCCGTAACCATAATATGATTAACCTAAACAATTCTAACATACAAAGCAGGGGTAATTGTTAACCTTTTATAATTTATTTTGACAAGTGAAATATGTACATAATTAAAATAAAGCCTCCATTAATAAAATAATAATACAAATGATTCACAGTAATTATTTGACCGATCCAAAATCCATCCGGCAACAGAACCTCTAGTGTATAACCGTGCTATGTAGATAAATGCATGCCTAGCCATAATCCTTCCATAGCCATTTGATAGACTAAACCACCGATTAGCCAAATATATATGTATCCTATAAATGTTATGTTGGTTAACTCCTAAATAGGCCACGTTGACAATAGAAAGATTAAGAAACCTTAGCCCCTAGCGAGATTGGAATCCATTAGCAGACATGAATAGTATATTTTGTTGTGCATATTTGGTTGTTATTTGAATATTGGTTTTTCTTGCGTATTATAGAATTTATGTATCGGTTAGTCGTGAGGCAACGTCAGCAACTTCCAGGAGGTGAAGGTTGATCAAGAATTATATCAAGAATAAGGACTATCCTGAGCAAGGCAAGTCATCACTATTCCTTGAACATGTTGATCCCAATTGCGAAATTGTTTTGTTTATAAATAAAATTGCATGCAATGATGAACATCCTACTTGTGATTATGCCATGCCTTGATTATTGTTTACCCTTAAATCTTTGTAACCATGTTTACGTATGAGTCCCTAGTCAATTATGACAATTGCTTAGAAATGCTATTCTAGAATCATGCATACTCATATTTATCAAATGCTATATGCTTGGGCAATTACCTTTGGGAAGGTAATTGAGATGCGGCATGTGGAGACATGAGCGCCACATTGCCATGATGTTGATGACATGATTTGTGAAAGGAGAAATAAAATTAAACAATTGTTTTCGACTGGGGCGGACGAAGGATTTGGGTGGTATCTGGAAAAGGCTAGTACCGTCCCCGGTCAATTAAGGACCGAGCCATGAAGTTAAGCATGAAACGACCCCCGTACAACCGTACTTCTCGAATGGGTATAGACCTAGCGGATTAGATAGCCGAGCGGAGGCAGTATCCCTGCATAGATGGTTCACCCCTGAGTGAGGCAGGTGCGCTACAATGGGACAGCCGTTGAGGTAGGGCCGAGAGACGTTCCCTACATCGGTGTCGCCATTGGTAGGACTGCCATGAGTGTGTGAGAGAGAGAACTTAAATTGAACCATAATTTAATATGCGTGTGAGACTTCTCTTTCCCGGGAGCGCCAGAACTCCTCTCACTGCTAGAAACATGGACGCCTAGAGTGCATGAGGATTTAAGTTCATGGAGCGGGTACTGCCAATGCGAGGTTATCGAAAAGCTTTGCCGTGACGCGTCTCATGTGTTGGGACGAGGCTCATGTGTTGGGCAGTCGCGGAGTGCGGGTAAAGTGTACATCCACTGCAGTGTGAGTAAACCAAACCTATTGGAATAGCCGTGCTCGCGGTTATTGAGCACCGGGACATGTATTACACTTGGCTAGACTCTAAATTCTTAACTTGTGGGGGTTGGGATATTGCATGATGAATTTTATGCTGATGAAGCCACTTCCCGAGAGGAGGGAAGGTGGACATCCTCAGAAAACCATGACGATTCAATGGCGGGAAGCTATCCTTGGGATCACAATGGATGGTGGATAGAACCGTCGTTGTTTAAAGTGAACACTGGTACTAAAATTTGATCAGTCTATGCTAGATTTTAGGCTTGTGAAAAGAATTGTAAAATTAGCTTTATGCAAAAGAACCTGAAGCCATTCCTTGAAATACCCTCTATCATACGCATTGTTGTTGTGGTGGCTTGCTGAGTACGGTTGGTACTCACCCTTGCTATTTATATATCTTTTAGGAGAGTGTTGAAGAGAAGCCCTTGTTGGTACGCTTGCGTATCCCACAAGATGATCGGAGTGCGGTCTTGTTCTAGATCTCGTTCCCAGTCGACTGCCTGTGGCATGTTAACCGGGCCCTTATATTATTTTGTCTTCCGCTGTTGTTCTCTGATAGTTGTTGGCCTACCTGGCCCTAATGTAAGTATTTAACTCCTTTAGCCTAAATTCATTCGTGATATGTTGTGATCCAACTATGTATGTGTGTACCAACTACTGATCCAGGGATTGGTACGGATAAACACAAAAGATTTCCGATTTCCAAAATCGGGGGTCTACAGAGGGCCACCGGGCCAGGAGAGGGCCGCGGCCGCCGCTTCCTCCATCAGCCGCCGCCGCTCCACCAAAGATAGAGGAAGGCAAAGGGAGAGGAGAGGGGTGAGAGAGAGATTATAGAGTTCATTATAGCAACCAGTACTAATATAATTGGTGCCAGTTTTTATCTAGATCTGGCACCTATAATATAAATAAAAGGCACCGGTATTTTTAAAGAGATAATCCAAGAAATGCTATTGACACACATCTAAATCTAAGAAATGTCATCAACAAAGTGTGAGTTCCAAAAAATGCCATCGTACAAACGACTTTGTCTCAAAAATGTAATCGCTGTTAGGGTTCCGTCCATTCCACGCCGTTAAATACAGTGTTCATCCTATAGCACTTAACGGCACGAGATGGACGGAACCCTAACGGCGTTGGCATTTTTGGAACAAAATCATTTGTACGATGGCATTTCTTAGAACTCACACTTATCGATGGTATTTCTTAGATTTGGACACTTGTTAATTGCATTTATTTGATTATCTATTTTTAAAAAACCGGCACATATAGGTTTTTATCTATATTTTTCAAACAGTAATAGGTACCAGTTTTAAATAAACCGACACCTATAAGCAGATACCTATGAAGTGTTTTATAGAAGTACAATTAATTGATTCTCTACCAACATTCCATATCATCTACTCTTCCGTTTCAAATTATAAGTCTTCTTTGAATTTTTTTAAAAAAATTAAAGTTCTTCAAGTTTTTAACAACACTAATTTAGTTTCGTTATATCTAACATATTTTGATATTTTCTTTGTTTTGTGTTAAGTATGTTACTATATTTAAATCTAAAAAAAAGTTTGTCTAAAAAAATTAAAACAACATATGTACTCTCTCCATCTAAAAAAACTCAACCTACGAGAAGATGTGACCCCCTCCTAGGACAACGAATCTAGATAAAGTGTAGGCCAGATTTGTTGTCCTAGAAAGGGTCCTTCTAGATTGAGATTTTTTTTTTTTTAAGGATGGAGGGAGTATTATTTAGCTACGTGACTACGTGAGTGGCTTGCTGGCTGTAGTAGCTAACCACATAACCTACGAATATGTGATGTTGGTAGACTTGGAGGTCAGCGGGTTTAGCTACAGACGTGCATGTGAATATGTGATGTTGGTGGCATGTGTGATTTGTACTGCCAGCGAGGCGGTGCGATTTTTTCTGATTTGGTCAATGTAATATTAACATTGTTCTTAATCTTAATGCAATTTGGCCCGGTGAAAAAAAAAACTGTGGGTTGTTTGTGGGGAGGAGCATATCCAGATGCGTATAGGGAGAGAGTAACTGAGTGGCACAATGGGAATTTTCTCTTCCCCAAACCAAAATATCTTTAGATTATACTCCCTCCGTTTCACAATATAAGTCATTCTAGCATTTCTCACATTCATATTGATGCTAATAAATCTAGACATATCAATATGAATGTGAGAAATGCTAGAATGACTTACATTGTGAAACGAAGGAATCTCAATATAAATGTGGGAAATGCTAGAATGACTTACATTGTGAAACGGAGAAAGTACCTCCCAAACAAAATTTACAAGGGATGAACACATTTGAACTTTGAAGACCGAACACAGTACTGACAAACAACGTTGATTTGCAGCCCAGAAATCGCCCTTACAGATGACTTTTGAGGGAGTTGGCAAGAACTCAGCTTGATCGAAAATGATAAATCGGTGTTACACTGACAACAGCACACACTCCGGCCACCCTAAATGCTTCTATTAATTAATTTATAAACATGTGTGATCTTCATTACAAAACACAATTCAACAATATAGAAGATATAAAAGAATTGATCATTAGTGGTATGCCAAGATGAGGACAATCAAAAAGAGCACCTCGACTACATGCACATTTCAAGGCAAGACAGGTGAGCATATCAGGATTACACAAAGTGGGATCAAGTAAAATACCATAGCAGCATGAGATTTTTCACATTGGAAGTGGTAATGCATGCGAGCTCTTGGATCATATATTGATATCTGCTCGGTTCGTTCTACTACTGCTTGCGTCAGGAATTGCCGATGAGGAGAACCTGTGATATCTGTAGTTCTCTGAAGACGATGACATTGGTTGCTGCGGGTAGAGAGTGGGTGGTGGAGTTAGATTCCGCTGAGCAGGCAATGGCGTAACGCCACTGTATTTGTAACTCTGGCCAGCGTAGCTGCCAAAATAAATGAAATAAAGTGTGTTAAAAGGATGTTGCAAATCAAACACAGGTGATGGAACAACTGTGTTTGTTCCTCATGTATCTCCAAGTAGAACCCAAGAGTTACAAATGGAGAAATCATGTGCGCATGCACGTGTGCATGTTGTCGGCACTAAGCACTATAGAAGGGCACTCACCTTTTCCTTTGAAACAGGTCATCATCATTCGTTGTTTCTACAGGAAGAATGGTATCCTCTCTGGGAGTGAGGGACCATGGGCTAGGAGCAGGAAGCTCGTTTGAAAAATATCTTCTCCTTATCAACTGAAATATGCATGTTATCAGCATTAACAACTAATAATGCATTGTAAGGATCACCATTTGTTAGTCAAATTGGCAAAGATTCAGTTGTACGAACCATGCGGAAGAACTTAACCAAAGCTTCTTTGTCATATCTTGCCACTTTAGCAGCCTGTATTCAAATGTCAACATGTCATTCCAAAATTTCTAAAAATTTAACATGTGGATGGTGAGAAAATAGAGAAATATTAATAACTCCTACCCCAAGTTAGACTGCCTACCATCCACCACAGTATAGAAAGACAATAAAAATTACAGATAAAGGAGTAAGGTGTTGAATAGCCAATAATGCAACATGTTTGAATAGCAAACAATGCAAGATGTTGAAAGAACCTTGTTGATCAAAAAGAAAACAATTACCGTGAGCAAACCAGAATTGCCAGGGAAGCTTTCTGCAAGTGGAAGTTCTTCACTGGATGGAAGTAGGCCTTGCTTCTCAACCCATTGACGAGCAACATCAACAAGATTTCCACTGCTAACTCTTTTACCATCTCTTGGAGCAATATCCACCTTGTTCGCAATCACTAAGTAAGGAACCGGAAGGCCTCCTGGACCACCAGACCCAAGAGGAGCTGAAAAGGTCCCTGATTCAGCAACCTCCACTGCCCACTTGTTCAAATTTGTCTTTGTTTTCCTCTGAGAGAGGTCATAAACAAATATGACACCTGGTGAATAATTTTAAGAGGAGGTGAATACAGGGAATGTAATATATTTAATCAGTAACGAAAGCACAAAATATATATATGAGATCCCTTAGACAAGACAGAATAGAGCAAGCATAGGTTGTTAATTTAAGAAATCTAAAAGGTATATATTAATATGTTGATTCATATAAGTTTGTATTAAGTGGTACAAAATGTGCAGAAGTCTTGATAATACAGGTCAAGAGAAAAATAACAATTGAAACACGTGGTGTACACTACAGATTGCAGAATGAATTAGTTGGGGGTTAAAACAACAAAAATAGTATGTTGGTCAAAAAGGGCATAAAGTGCCTACCATTAATTTGAGAATAAAAAAGTGATCGGCACTCTTTGTAGCGCTCGTGTCCTGAAACGTCCCAGAGCTCAACAAAAAAGTTTCTTTCAGCATCACCCTTAATGCTATTAATGCTATTAGAAGAACTTCCAGGACTTCCATAAGTAATATGCTGAAATTGAGGGAAGACTTCAATAAAAATATACTGCCAACAAATTATAAATAAGGCAAATATCGCACTGCATTACATACTTTAACATCAACTGCGCATCCAATCGTTTGGGGTGGTCGAGCAATTGCAGAGCCTTTCAGAATGAGATGAACCAATGATGATTTCCCCACACCTAAAAATTGAACAGGGGAAAAGTATCATGTACCGCGCAATTGAACAATTAAAGGAAAACTGGTAGAAACATACTTGAGCATCCATATGAGTTACTCCAAGATACAAAATCTAATATCTCTTGGTCATTTCAACTAATACTTCCCCAAAATTATGTCAAATTTAGCAGTTCACAGCATGTATGTGATGGGCAACTGAAGATCCATACAGAGATTACAGGGCCATATTTGAGAGGTTCTTCAATTTCTCCCAGAGAATAAATTTTGATGAGAAGAAATGCATCAGCACGCACGGATTTATTTCAGACAATGACTAAGCAGTATCCACTCTTTAATTTTCTTAGACCAACTTCATATATGTTAGTGCAGGACATCATTAACAGAAGAATGAGCCATCATCAACAATTTATAACAGTTGGACTAATGTTCATGAGCTCATGGCAATGACATCTGCACCATGACATGTGCAACAGAAGCAGCCATTTATGTGTGGCTGCACCCAGCAAGCTAGCACATCACAAGGCAGAACACCAGATGGCACATCTGGATTCTAGACACTGGTGCATAGGGCAGCACCAACAGAAGATAACATCTCAAACATCAGTTTATTTTTATTTGTCTTTTGGTTGTGAAACGCATGCTGGCTATTAGTGGCATCTCATCCTGTCGTCCGTTAGTAAGAATAAGTTTGTTCAGCGAAGGCCCTATATTAGATGGCACAGATGGTTCGTGTGAGTTCAGGAAAGATAAATAAACAAGTTCCTAAAGCCATGACGTAGTATTCCCTTGGCTGGCTATTCTAACAGATTTGCTTGAAGTCAACGCTGTCCAACCACCTCCAAACAGATAACTTTACAGCCCCGATGCACCAGCATACATCACAGACAAGATGACAAAAATGCGCAATTTGGATTCAGAAGAGAAAAGATGGTACTTATGATTAAACAATCATGGTTTAGATTGTGCAGTACTATGATTGGGCGTTTGTGTCAATATAATTCAGCAATTAAAAGAAAAGTTTGTGGCGACATAGTATGTCCTACATATTTTAAAAATTTTATGGTCATTTGGGACATCGTTTGGCACAATCACATATCTCATAAAAAGGAAATTTTGTTAACATATTTTTACGTGTATATGTTAAAGTGTCCAATATCCATTATATTTTGTGTAATTTTGGGACATTCTAACACGCTAACATAACTATAAGCAGCTATTCATATTCGAACCAATGCAATTACTTACTTGACACAAACAAAAGGGAATTCTTAAGGAAACAATATGTCATCACAAGGGCTTCCTTTTTGAGTTTATGGTTTTAATCTGAGGGCAGCTAATTTACATAAATTTTCATATTTGTTCATAATTTGAGCACATAGCTAAACTGGAGTGTGTTTTAACCGGTGTTAAATCAGACGGATGCGTGCATATATTGTACAGCTTGGAACTTGGAAGGGCGATGAAGAAAATTCAGTAGTGCAAAAAATGCATGGTTCAGGTCCTAAGTAAAATAGCTGTAATTTGCTATGTAGTCGATGCATATAAGTACAATAACTAGTCATTTGGAATATGAAAGATGATGTTCTTTGCAAGTAGAAAAATAGACGCTGCTGAATTGGTCGGTGATCAAATTTAGCCAATAACTGAACACTCTCGTCACGATTCAGAGTTTGAGACGAAACCTCGCTCACCAATTCACCATCCCTGATCTAAAGCAAATAAAAGGCATCACCTTATACTTGTATCGCGACGCAACCATGAAGAGGAGGACTTGCTGACCTGAGTCGCCGACGACGAGCACGCGCACCTGGCCGCAGGGGGTGCCGCCGCCGTTGAGGTCCCGGCCTCCGCCGCTGCCGCCCCCGCCGCTGTCCCTCCAGAACCTCATCTACCTCCTCCTCCTCCTCCTCCTCCTCCTCGCCGGAGGCGCCCCCCCAAGAAAGAACCAGACAGCAGCAGCAAGCAGTTGCAGCGACGGGGGCAGCTAGATCGCCGGATCCTGAGGCGGCGACGCTGGCCGCATCGAGGGAAGGGGGAGGAGGAGGGATCCGGGGTTGTGGGAGGTGGGGGGAAGAGATCCTGTGGTTGGTGGTGGTGGGGGATCCCCGGTGGCGGCGCTGCGGGTGGTGGTGAGTTGGTCGGATCGGCTGCCGCCTTGCTGCGCTGCTGTTGTTCTTCTTGGCTTCCTTGATGAGAGGTTGGTTGCTGTTGAGTGTTGTTTGGATTTTGTTTTTCATTGAATTGTATTAAAAACTTTTGTGAAATATGTAAAACTATATATATAAAAAAAGTATATTTAACAATAAATCAAATGGTAGGAAAATAATTAATAATTACTTAAATTTTTTGAATAAACGAACAGTCAAACATGTTTTAAAAAGTCAACGGCGTCAAATATTTAGATATGGAGGGAGTATAATTTTGAAGAAACTTGCTTGTTTACCTCTGAATTTTATTCGTTCTTTTTGTACTCTCGAATTTTAGTTTAAATCTCTTTCGTACCCCGTACCTTTTATGTTAGGTGACTGTTAAATTCTTAAAAAAAAATCAGGTTACCCTTTGATACGAAGAAAAGTATAGAAATTGTTCCATGAGACTTTTATATTTATTTAGATTAAAAAATCATATTTATTTTTTACTTGTATAAGTAGCATATTTTTTTATTTTAGTACAACATGTTTGTTGTATAAGAAAAATCTATTTATATTTATATGGTACATAAACAAATTTTAATAATTAATAAATAAACATTATTTTTAAGTCGTATCTACAAATGATTTTTGTCATAAATAATATCCCACATAACAAACGCATAATTATAATATTCTCATACAACAAATTTCTACCCTCCAACCATCTCTATAAATAAATACGTGTTTCTTTATACGCAAAGGCAAAATAAATTTTTTGATAGAAATTTAACGGCCAACTAACAAAAAAAAAAGTATAGAAGGCATTCAAACTAAATTTGGAGATACATAAAGCAGTGAGCAAAATTTAAGAGCATAAAATTGATTGGATAAAATTTCAGAAATACATAAGGAATTTTCTATATCTTTATTCAAGTTTTACTTTAGACAACTTTTAGGTAATATTTTTACTTTACACTAAGTCATATCGTCTTTGTTATACTTTAGAGCACCCTAAGTTAATTCTCTAGCGATATTTATCCCCTCATTTGGGGAAATAGTGTACGTCTAAATCAGGAAGATCGTCGGTCTACTGATGTTGATGTGTTCAAGGTCATTGATGTGCTCCAAAAATATTTTTGGGTGATCCAAAGTAAAACAAATACTCCCTCCGTCCTAAAATATAATAACTTTTATCCCTCAGAATTTGTCCCAAAATATAACAACTTCTCCACAACATTCTCTTCCCAACCAATCACAACTCTCCACTATTCACTTTTCCCACCTACCTCTACTACTTATCCAATCACAACCCCCACCACTCATTTTTACCTACTTTTCTTAATAACTGTGTCCAGACCTTAAAACTTCTTATATTCTGGCAAAGAAAATCAATGATGGCGCGGTGGACCGACAATGTTCTAGCGGAGGTGATCGGTAGCGGCGCAGAGGCGGTTGAGGGTGGAACGGCTTGCCGCCCAAGCCGGCGGCGGGCGCCCAGGCGCGGTTCTGATGTGGCTACGGTTGAGGGAGGTAGGACAGTAGCGGTGGAAGGAGGCAGCTAGGAAGGAGGAGAAAAGCTCCCGGAAGCGGTGGGCGTAATTGAGGGTGTGAGCAGTTGTGGGAAGGAGACAAGGAAGGCGTAGAAAATATACGCGTGATTGATGTGGTGAGGCCATGAGGGAGGTGGGAGTAACATGGGGTGTTGGATCTGTGAGAGACGATTCTGACCGATCCATAAAGATGAGGAATGTAACACTGTGTTGGTGAATGAATTATAGGGTAGATGAAAATAGTGGTTTAAAAATTACTATGGGAGTTAATTGACAAGTAGTAGTTGTCGTTTATGTGCTTGAAAAGATGGTCAGGGTGATCCGAAGTGAAAATTACTCAGTCAAAATGGTAACATAGGTTAAATGATGGAGGGTTGATATAAAACGGGATCCCGTTGCAACGGGATAGACATATTAACTATTCTCTTGCACGAGTATCACATGTATCAGGTGCTAGGTATCACAGGTACCAGATAAAAGACATCACAGGTATCAGATACCATGTAGCTGGTATCACGACAGGTATCAAGTACTCTCATAGAAGAAGAGTATCCTGTTCCGTTGTCTAGGTTTTCTCTTTGGATGATGATCCAAATTGAAACATTGCCCAAACTGAAATTTATTGTATTGGGCCGGCACGGGGCGGCCCGTTTAGCCACCCCAACTCACCCGCCGTGCCGTCCGCCGTCGCCGACGCAAATCGCCGTCGCTGTCGCTTGGCTCGGAGTTCACCATCGCCGAGCGTGGAGGTCCACGCCGCTGGTAGCCATCGCCCGCCCAGATCTGGCGGCTGTCGCTCTCCGCGGGCGGCGGCTGCGTCCACCGCGAATCGAGTCCGCCTGAACTGAATCCATTCCCCACCGCCGGCAGCCAGGATGAGTTCCCGGCGGCCGAGGCGGCTGCTGCTGACTCTCCCCGACGAGGTGCTGGAGGAGATCTTCCTCCGCCTCGACGCCCTCCCCGACCTCGCCCGCGCCTCCGCCGCCTGCGCCACGTTCCGCCGCCTCATCACCGCCCGCGCCTTCCTCCGCCGCCTCCACAGCCTCCACCCGCGTCCCCTCCTCGGCTTCTTCAAACGGGAAGGCCCATCGTGCGAGTTCTTCCCCGCCGCGCCGCCCCACTCCTCCTCCGCCGCCGCCAGTGCCGTCGCGCGGGGGGCAGCCGACCTCACCTTCTCCTTCCTCCCCGCCACGCCCGGCGGGTGGCGGCTCCGCAACATCCGCCGCGGCCTCGCCCTCCTATCAACCCGCGACGGCGGCGGCGGATGCTTCTTCCCCGACGTCGTGGTCTGCGACCCCTTGCACCGGCGGTACGCTCAGATTCCCCAAATCCCCGACGACCTAGCGGCCCCCATCCGCCGGAGCGGCAGTTTGCCCAAGGGTTTCGATTACTTGCTCGCTCCAGCCCGCAGGGAGGAAGAGGAGGAGGAGGAGGAGGATTCATCATTCAAAGTGGTGTGCAGACCCAGGTTGACAGAAGAGTGCGATATCACCGTCTTCGTCTTCTCCTCCGGCGCCGGGATCTGGCGCGCCGCCACATTGGGCTCCTCCCTCGCAACAGCTATCTCTGTCACCTCCCGCCCCCGGTGCGTGCACCGCTGCGTCTACTGGCTGACCAGATTCTTGGACAGATTGCTCATCCTGGACACCGACGAGATGGAATTGTCCATGTTTGATAACTTCCCCCCATCCACAGGATTTGTACTGAATCACACCACTGCGGCCATTGCGGAGGCAGGGGAAGACAGGCTTGGGGTGTTTAACCTTGATGTTCACAATGTCAATCTCCTCTCTAGGGCGATCAGGGGCAGCGCCGACGAACAGTGGCGGCATGACAAGACTATCCCATTGCTCCCTGGCTACAGTATTTGGAGATTTGTAAATCACGCTGATGTTGACGGCTACATACTCCTAGGAGGAGTTTTGGGCAGCGGTTTGCAGTCTGATCCCATTACTGATGGATTACAGTATTTCTCACTGGACCTCAAGACATTTCGGCTTGAGAGGCTGTGTCCCATGACAATCTACCAAGCAAGGAACTCTCCAACTGAGTTATATACAAGCTTTCCGCCACCATTATCGCTTTCAAGCATATGAAAACAGTAAGAGCTTTCCATCGTTTCTTCAGTCATCGGGTTATTTCATATTCAGTTATCGGGGAATCATGTTGCACGGGTTATTTCATATTCAGTTATCGGGGAATCATGTTACACGGGCTATTTCATTATGTAACAGTCTCGGTACTTTTGGATTATTATCGTGTCATATGTGGCCATGTATGCACCCATTCTTTCCTTTGAATCGGATGGAGCCAGCGAATGAGATAGTTGCATATTTCACCACACCCTCACTCATAAAATAAACCCAAGAGAACCTCAGTTGTAATGATCAAGTTATATTAATATTTATATTTGTATCTAAATGCATGTGTTTTTCTTTGGTGTAGTTAGTGACGCAAGCTTACTGTTGGCTTGGACATATGAGGCATTTGTATTTTTTTTTTAGATAATGATACGAGGCATTTGTATAATTCCATAATAATTACAAGCTTTTTTTTATTAGGGATGCAATTGGCACGGGAGTTGGACAGGCCCGCCCCACTCATTTCTACAGGCTATAGTGTCCAACGGGTTGGCGAGTTGACCAACCAAGCAATGAAGCAAGTAACCTAACAAACTTCTTAGTTGTACCCATACCAAGTAAATTTCTGAACTAATCTACTTATCCTTGTTACTGCTGCTCTATAGCATCGCATGAAATCAAATAGGAATGAATAATTATGGTCATTTTCTGAAAACAAACGAGATTCTAGTCATTTTCTCAACTGTGTTCAGCAATTCAGCTTTCAGAGACAGCCTGCACGTGTACAGTACTATATAAGAACAACTTATTTGTGCACCCAACTTCATGATGCATGAATTTCAGAAGGAGAAACATTTTCTCTTCATGATATACCAACTATTGCTCTTGACAATTCACAAACAGAACCTGGAGATTCTGAACCTTGTTTGTCTCCTGCAATTCTGCTTACAACTCACCTGAAGATTCTGGAACTAGATTGCAGCCGTGTCTGATGTTCAAAGCACAGTAAAATTAAGGCTCTCGATGCGTCTGATACATCTGCAGCGTACACGGATGTGGCATTTGTAGAACTCCATAATACTTACTAGCTCTTTGATGACATGTACTTATTTCGTTTGCAACTCTTCATCAATATATTAGTACAATCTGTAGGCTCTACCTATAGTTTGCAGAGTATCAAGGAGATAAATAGTTTTTTTTTGTCAGTTTTCATGTTGTGGTGAATGGATTGAGTGAGCAGCAACCAAATGTATCTCTGTGCATAAATTTCAAATATTTGTCTATGCTAGGAAATTAGGTTTGCCATTTGAAGCACTTAATACTTCTGACATTTTGATAGAATGTTCCTTGATGACTACTAGCATCAATATAATCTTCGGTGTTTCTGTTCTCTTGTCACATTGATCAGGACTTGCCAAGGCCCAAGGGGGGACGGAGCAGCTTCGGTTGTGAAGATTTATCTGATACCATGCAAGACCAGCTGCTACTGGTTGTAATGGCATCGATTTATTGCTACTCTTCTTTCTTTTTTCCCCCTCTTATGCTGCATTTTGGAACTAAAGTTGCTAGTAGTTTGCAAAGCATAGTATTCAGGCTGCCCCGCCCCTGATGCATATGATGCATTTCAGTGTATGCTCGTTGTTAATTAAGTTTGTTGTTATCCTTAATCTGATGTCAATTTGAGTACGGGAGGCTCTCTTTCCTTGCTACTAGTTTCAGATTGGCTACATCTGCACCGTAAACAGACAGATTTGTACTATATAAAAGTTAATTTATTTTAGAACAGAGAGGCTATACCTTAAATCTTTGGGATGATTTGATTTAGCTACCTTAAATCTCTTTGATGATTTGATTTTTGGTCCTATAGGTCTTACTGATTCTGATTATTATTTGATAGAAAAAGCAAATAAATAGGAAAAACAATGACTATTTAATGCTTCAAAGATAGTTGTTATTTTTTTCTAGATTTTTCACTAAATTATTATTGCAGATTATTTGCTCCACAAGTCTAGTCATACGATTTCTTTAAAAAAGAAATTTTTCTACCACATGTTCCAAGCTGTTTGTTAGTTTAGTTTTCAAAATATTTATTTTATTCCTGTGATAATCCACGTCAATATTGTATCAAACGTTGTATAAACAATAACGGCCAACACATACATACTCAGTCACGGGTGACGCGTATCATCTGCATCGGTAGTTCGATGCTGCACGAGTTGCTCACTTGCTCAGTTCTATCAACATGCGAAAAGAATATCATTTTCAGGATTCTATTAGGAAAAAAAACAAATCAAATTTAAAACAATTCAATTCAACATTTGCCCATTTTGTTGGATGAGTTTCATGTGTGCCCACGCCGTCATAGAGAGAGCCAAGTTACTAGGAAACGGGGTATATCCAATCCAAGTAGCAGTAATAAGAAAAGTCAAGTAAAAACTGAAACGAGAATAATTCCGAAATCTCAATTTTTTTTGCTTGCTTTGGAATATCAGAACGATAAGTATTTAATGAAAATGAAGATAGAGTTCATAAAATAAGAAAGCTATTAGCGTATAATTAATTAAGTTTTAATTATTACGAACTTAAAAATGGATTTATTCGACATTTTAAAACAATTTCTATATAGAAAGTATTCGCACTAAATAAACTGTTTAGCAGTTTTAAGAGCATGCTAACGGAAATTGAGATAAAATATATATCGTAATAAAAACATACCACCTTTGATACAAAATTTAAATGCTAGAATAATGACATATGAAATGGCGGAGTATTTAAAAAAAACAAACTAAATTCAATAACGATTCAATCCAACATTCGCTCCATTTTGGACAAGTTCCATGTGGGCCCACATCGTCATAGAGAGATCCAAGCTCCCTGGAAACTTGGATGTATCCAATCAAAATCGAGATGAGACAAATTCTGAAATCTCCATGGTTGGTTGCTTCTTCCTCCTCTCACCACCTCTCCTCCGATGATGATGATCCCCCCTCTTCTGCTGCAACTGCTTCCCACGCCTCACCGCTAGCGAGGCCATGGCTACAGCGGCCTCTGCACGCTGAAGACGATAGTATAGACTACTCTCTCTCACACACACACGACACATGCATGACTGTGTACTTGTAGGCTCAAAATCAAATAGGTGTCTAGGTGGTTGTTTGTCTAGTTAAAATTGGACCAACCATGATTATAACGTCCAATTAGGATGTTCTACTTCGAGCCATGTTGGTATCTGTTGCGGCTAATGGAAATGGCACTGTTGCATTGTCGTCAAATGACGATGGATGAGGAGCGGAACGAGGCGGCGGGGCTCCTACTGTTCCGGTGGCGCCGTCGACGCTCGGGCATATGCAACCGCCGTTGTTGGCCACTCCAGGCGGGGCTTCTGCAGCGTCGACCTCGACTACACCACCACCACCACCCTAGAAATTGTTTGTCTGGGGTGGTCTTAAGAAATCTGTGGAAGAATTTGTTCAGTAGTGTGTCATCTGTCAACAGGCCAAGCATGAGCATTGCTCTTATCCAGGCCTGTTGCAACCTCTACCTATTCCTAGGGGAGCTTGGTAAGATGTCTCAATGGATTTCATAGAGGGTTTGCCACCTTCTTCAGGCTATACTGTGATTCTAGTAGTGGTGGATAGATTCACTAAGTTTAGTCATTTTCTGCCATTGAAACACCCTTTCTCTGCTCTTCAGGTGCCAGTGACATCTATTCGAACTAAATGGTCCAAGTGGTTACCTTTGGCTTAATTTTGGTATAACACAAGCTTACATTCCTCTTTGAAGTGCTCTCCATATAAAGCATTGTTTGGGTGTGATCCTGCCTATGGTATTTTGTCGGCTGCACCAACTGACGATGAAGAAAGTGATGTTTCAGAATCTGACCGTGCAGCTAAACTACTTAAGGAAAGGGAAATGTTCTCTGCTTTGTTACAACATCACCTGGCGAGAGCACAAAATCGTATGAAGCAGTTAGCTGATGCCAAACGTTCTCTTCGCACTTTTCAAGTGGGAGATTTGGTGTTATTGAAGTTGCAGCAATATGCACAAGGTTCAGTGGTTTCTCATACATTTCCAAAGTTGGCTTTCAAATATTTTGGTTCTTTTGAAATTACTGCAGCTGTTGGCTCGGTGGCCTATCGTTTGAAGTTACCTCCTGATAGTTTGATTCATCCCGTGTTCCATGTCTCTTAGTTGAAGCAGTTCGTCCCTGATCACAAGCCTGTCTTCTCTCAATTACCAACAGCTGCTCCATTGGATATTGCCGCAGCGGTACCGTTTGAAATTTTGGATCGCAGGATGGTAAACAAAGGGAATGCAGCTATGGTGCAGGTTCTAGTTTGCTGGGGCTCTTTGCCGGCTGCACTGGCGACCTGGGAAGATTTTGATGTGGTGCGCACTAGGTTTCCTGCAGCACTCGCTTGGGGACAAGCTCCAATTCTTTGGGGGGGGGACCTGTTGCGGCTGTTGGAAATGGCGCTGCTGCATTGTTGTCAAATGATAGTGAATGAGGAGCAGAACGAGGCGGTGGGTTTCGAATGTGTGCTTTCGCTGAAGAGAAGCGGAGGGAGTGTTAATTTATGTATTAAGTCATTGTGTGTGGGCCCTGAGGGCATGTGGAGAGTGAGTAGTTGTATTTATAACACACCCTATGGCTGAGCACAATCTATCGAAGGAAAAAGGAATATTCCCTCCTCTTCTTCTTCCTTGTGCTCCTCTGTTCTTTCTTCTCCCCTACGATTTCTCTCATCTAAATCTCCGGCGAGCTTCGCCGCCGGTGATCTAGGGCATAACAGTATCACTTTTTTCGGTCACGTATAGCTAGGGGTATTGGACCATACTAGTAAAAAAAACTTGCCTTATCAGTAAAGAAAACCATCTCGACAAGACAAAACTTCGATGATACCTCTATATCGATAACAATTACCTCACCGGCAGGCTAGAGGACAATAGCCGCATGCTCCCTCCTCGCAGCATGCTACCTGGTACCTAGGTACCAAGACTAACACCGGTGGTTATCATTCATGATACCCCGATATAGCATGTATCAGCAGAGTATGATATGTCCGCAAACAATGCAGACGGATAGTGAAGAGCTAGTTAGAAGCAAGATGCAACAACCTCACGACACGCATGAAGCACCTTGCAACCACCACCGTCCTCTTCATCAACATCGAGATCACCACCCTCCACTTTTAGCCCAACCATGTCCTCTATCAGCCCAGCCCGTCTAAAAAGCAACCCAACCGTAGTCTCTCTCTCTCGCCCGAATCCCCCTCCTTCTGTCTCCTGCAGCCGCCGCTAGCCACGCGCATCGCTCCGATCAGCCGGAGGTCGCCGTCGCTGGGACCGCCGGTATCCACTCCCCGCCGCTAGATCCGATCCACTCCCCGCCGCCGGTAGCCGGGGCGGCGGCAGGGATGGCGTGTTCGCTGTTGCTGACCATCCTCCCCGAGGAGCTTGTGGTGGAGATCCTAATCCGCCTCACCGACCTCGCCGACCTCGCCCGCGCCGCCTCCGCCTGCAAGCCCCTCCGCCGCCTCATCACCTCCCGCGCCTTCCTCGCCCGCCTCCACGCGCTCCACGCCAAGCCCCTCCTCGGACTCCTCCTGCTGGAGAGAGACCGCTGCGGCTTCCTCCCCGCCGCTACCGCCGTCGCCGCCGCCGTCGCCCGCGCGTCCGACTTCGCCTTCTCCTTCCTCCCCGACCACGCCGCCGGGTGGCGCCTCCGCGACGTCCGCCACGGCCTCGCCCTCCTATCATCATCATCATCGTCATCATACCTCTCCCCCCTCGGCGACCGCGGCTTCTTCCCCGACGTCGTCGTCTGCGACCCCATGCGCCGGCGACACGTGCGGGTTCCCCCTATCCCCGACGACCTCACGGCCGGCGTCCGGCGGATCGCCGTCGAGCACTTCGACTACCTGCTCGCTCCCGCCGGCCGAGACGGCTCGTCGTTCCGGGTGGTGTGCAGGCCCAAGCTGCCGAAGCAGTGCGACGTCACCGTCTTCGTCTTCTCCTCAGGCGCCGCGTTCTGGCGAGCCGCCGTGCTGGACGCCTGCGCCGCCACCGAGAAGTTGTTCCTCCCCCAATCCGTGCACGGCTACGTCTACTGGCGGACGCATTCCTCCGGCACATTGCTCATGCTGGACACTCGCGACATGGATTTCTTCTTTGTTAACATTCAGACCAACAAGTGTGTCATTGGGGAGGCAGAGGAAGTAGGCAGGCTTGCGGTGTTCAACACCATTGTTGATGTTGGTGTCCACAAGGTGGAGATCCTCTCCAAGGCAATTAGGGGCGGTGCCGACGAACCGTGGCGGCACGACAGGACTATCCCATTGCTCCCTGGTTACAAATGGAGGGCTGCAAGAATGGCTGAGGGGTACTTACTCCTACATGGGATTGTAGGTAACAACTCCTGGTCTACTCCTGGTATTCAGCTACAGCATTTCACACTGGACCTCAAGACGCTTAAGCTTGAGAGTCTGTGTGACTCGATATCCCGAGGAAGGCATCATCATCCTCAATTCGACTTGTACAGAAGCTTCCCGCCACCATTATCGCTTTCAAGCATATGACAATAGTAAGAACTAATTTCCATGGTTTCTTTATTCATCAGGGAATCATAGTTACAATATATAGTTATATTTCATAATGTAACAGCTTTGGTACTTTTTGATTGTTATCATCTGTGGTCATGTTTGCACTCAGTCTCCCTTTTGATTTAAATGTAGCCAGCGAATGAGATAGTTTCATATTTCACTGTACCCTCCCTTATAAAATAAACCCAAGAGGAGCCCAGTTGTATATACAATCAAGTCATATTTTCTCTGTATGTATCTTAGATGCATGTGTTTTTCTTTGGTCTAGTTCGTGACACAAGCTTACTGGTGGCTTGGACATTTGTACCATTCACGGATGTGGCATTGGTAAATTCCATAAAACTTACTAGCTTGTTTGATGACATGTACCTTTTTTTTTTCTTTTGGCAACTCAGTCTTATGTAGTGTATTCTATGGGCTCTACCTAGTATTAAGGAGACAAATAGTTTTCTTGTAAGTTTTCATGTTGTAGCGAGTGGATCGAGTGAGCAGGAGCATTATATATCTCTTGTGTGTAAATTTCAAATTTGTCTCCCCAGATAGAATAAATAGTTAGCGCAAAAAGCATGACCACACTAGGACATTATATAATAGTTGCCATCTTGAAGCACTTAATATTACTGACATTTTGATAGAATGTTCCTTGATGACTATATTAATCTAATCTATGGGGTTTCTTCTCTCTCAACACACTGATCAAGACTTGCCAAGGGGGACTGAGCAACTTCGGTTGTCAAGCTGTATCTGATGCCTTAAGGAGGATGCCATGGAAGAGGAAGACCAGCTGCTATACTGCCGTTGTTGGTATCATATTTATGTACTACCGTACTAGCTAGTTCGATCAGCTGTTCCATTTGAATTCCACAGTGGTTTAACTTCTGAAGCCATGCTACTCTTTTTTTGCCCTTCTGCTGCATTCTGGAACTAAACAGAGTAGTCGGTCTGCAAAGCAAGGCATTCAAGCTCCCCAGCCACTGATGTAGGATGCACTTCAGTGTATGCTCGTTGTTGTTAAGTTCATAGTTATCCTTAATCTGATGTCATCAGTATAAACATGTTTTTCCATCCTTTGGTTGACAGCAAGCAATGCCTCTAAAGATATCCATAAATTGACAGATATCTCTCTACCAGAAAGCCTCTAGGGGATGTATCATGTGGCACCTTGTTCATGTAGTATGTGTTCCAGATCAATTTAACCCAGGGAAGAGGCATCCTATTATAAACCTTACGCAGGCTTTTCATTAGCAAAGCATTATTTTGCAGTCTGAGGTTAATGACTTGCAAACCACCTCTTTTTTTGGCTGACATACTCTGTCCCAAAGCACCAATGAATTTTTACTACTCCCTCCGTTTCACAATGTAAGTCATTCTAGCATTTTCCACATTCATATTGATGTTAATAAATCTATATATATATATATATATATATATGTCTAGATTCATTAACATCAATATGTATATGGGAAATGCTAGAATGACTTACATTGTGAAATGGAGGAAGTAGATATTATATCTGAACCTCTCCATAGACAATGTCTTCTAACTCTATCAATACTCTTTTTTCACAGATTCAGGTAGACAAAGAACACATATATTACATTTGGTGGAGATGAAAAGACCGAATTTACTAATGTTAATCTATCTCCATAGGATAAAAATGTGGTGGCCGAAGGCAATCTCCTTTCAATTCTATCAGTTAGAGTAGCAAAGTCAATTACATTTGGTGGTTTTGTGCCCAAGGGAAGACCAAGATATGTAAATAATAGAGTGCCAATTGGACAACCAAATAAAGAGGCTAGATTCACCAAACATATAGCCATAGAGGCATTCATGGCTGATATTGGTGTATATCATCCTTTAGATGACCCCGTGTTTAGTACTTCTCGCTCCATAAGTTTGTAAAAAGGCACGAGGAGATGTGTGACAACTAAATTTGGTATATAATGAAATATGGAAAAACTTCGCCAAATTTGGAAATAGGCCCAAGCTTTCTGGACAAGGCTAGTCCAACTGCTGGTTTAATGCTGGTCGGACTGGTGGCATAGTGGAGGCCAGACTGGCATAGGTGAGTCCTAGTGCAAATATAGTTTTCCTCATGTTTCTTTCCTTAATGGGACAATAATTCAAGGGTTTCCTTGATAGGACATGAAAAAGATCACGAGGCACCTGACCACCCCTCCTATCAACGGAAAATCAATTGTGAAAAATCAATCAATTATCAATACCCTCTATATTTTATATCTCCCTCCTTGCTACATTTCCCATAATCCATTCTCCTCTAATTCTCTAATTGTTTGTCGTTTCTGGTCCTACGGTGTTTGAGGATGTTCTAGTTGCCCTGCCGAGTAGAGGACAAACACACACGTGTTCATCCTAACGAGGCCCTTTCGCGTGGTCGTTTGTTGGCATCTATTATCCCACATCGACGTAACCATTTTTACATCAACACTAGTATAATACAATTAAAGTATATAGTTTCATATAAAAAAGATCTTGGAGAGACTTATTTTGTCAATAAAAAAAGGAACTGTCTATATATCTGTTGACAGAAAATCCCACCTCTCATCTTTCAAAATTTAGACCATTGGATATGCTTTAAGATACATGCAGATGCATTAACCCTACGTCTTCTCCTCCCGTTCCTTTCCCATCGCGCTCGCGAGCTCCTCCGTGGCTCCGCCCGATCCCCCGCCCCCACCGCCCCACCGCGCCGCCGCCCGCCTCGCCGGCTGGCCGGAGGGCGTCAACGGCGCCGGCGAGAACCCCCCCTCCCCGGCTAGCCTCCTTCCCCTTCCCCTCCCCCCTCATCCCCTCCTTCCTCCTCGAACCGTCGGCGGCAAGGTGCCCCCGCCACTGACGCCGGCCTACCGCCCTCCTCCAGCCCTGCGACTCTGCCGGCGCCTCGTCGTCCGCCCGATCCGCCGCCCACCGCCTAGTCACCGCCTCCCACGATCATCCCTCTAAGCCCGGCGAACTCTCCCTTCTTCCCTCTCCCCCTCCCACCCCACCCCGAGACCCTAATTCGTCGGCCCTTCGCCGAAGTTTGGGTTGTCGCCGGCACCGGAGAAGAAGAGGAATTCGTTGGAGTTGGAGAAGAAGCAGCTGGAGTACAAATAGCGAAGCACATATAGTGAACCAAAATTTGCAAGATTTGAAGATTGGTTTTCTCTCTACTTATGTTTAGCAATTCCGTAAAAAATATTTAGTCCCGTATCCAAAAACGCTGGCCATTCCCCATTGCTGGCCTTCCCCTTTCTCCTCTGCCGCCGCCGCCGCCGCCGCCGGGAGACACTCCGGATGGCTTCGCTGCCGCCGCCGCCGCCGCCGCCGCGGCCGCTGCTGCTCACCGTCCTCCCCCAAGAGCTGGTGGTGGAGATCCTAATCCGCCTCGACGACCTGGCCGATCTCGCCCGCGCCGCCTCCGCCTGCAGAGCCCTCCGCCGCCTCATCACCTCCCGCGCCTTCCTCCGCCGCGTCCACGCGCTCCACCCCCGCCCCCTCCTCGGCCTCCTCCACCTGGAACACCACGGCTCCCGCTGCCGCTTCCTCCCCGCCGAGCCGCCCCACCCCTCCGCCGCCACCGCCGCCGCCGTCGCGCGGGCGTTCGATTCCGACTCCGACTCCGACTCCTCCTTCTCCTTCCTCCCCGGCCGCTCCGGCGACTGGCGCCTCCGCGACGTCCGCCACGGCCTCGCTGTCCTATCAACCCGCCATGCCGTCACCGATGATGGATGCTTCTCCTTCCCCGACGTCGTCGTCTGCAACCCCTTGCGCCGCCGCTACGCCTGGATCCCCCCGATCTCCGACGACCTAGCGGCCCCCATCCGAAGCCTCGGCGTCGGCGTCGAGGATTTCGATTACCTGGTCGCTCCAGCCGGCCGTGAGGGTTTGTCATTCCGAGTGATCTGCAGACCCCAGTTGCCAATGGGCTGTGATGTCACCGTCTTCGTCTTCAGCTCCAGTGCCGTCATCTGGCGCGCTGCCACATTGCACGCCTGCGCTGCCACCGCTCAATTGGTCTCCCCGCAGTACGCGCACGGCTACGCCTACTGGCGGCTGATCCGATCCGCCACCAGATTGCTCTTGCTGGACACTCGCGACATGGACTTCTTCTTTGTCGATTTCGAGCAAAGGAGTGTGCCGTGGCAGGCCATTGGGGAGGCAGGGGAAGTAGGCAGGCTTGCCATGTTCAACATTGCTCATGCTAATCATACAGTGGAGCTCCTCTCTGGGGCGATTAGAGGCAGCGCCGATGAACATTGGCGGCATGACAAGACTATCCCATTGCTTCCTGGCTACAAATGGAGGATTCTAAAGCTAGCCGAAGGGTACTTACTCCTGCAAGGAAGAATTCTCGGTGACGGAACTTCGCAGTTTACTCCTGGTGACCAATTACAGTATTTCACGCTAGACATCAACACGTTTAAGCTTGAGAGGCTGTGTGCTTCAACACCCCAAGGCATCAGTTATCATCCTCAATTTGAATTATACAGATGCTTCCCTCCACCGTTATCGTTTTCAAGTATATGAAAATAGTAAGAACTTTCCGTGGTTTCTTCAGTCATTGGGAAGTCATGTCACTAGTTATTTCATAACGTATGAATCTTGGAATTTTTACATTGTTATCATCTGTGGCCATGTATATATGCACTAGATAGAGCCGGCAAATGAGATAGTTTCATATTTCACCCAAGTGGAGCTCAGTTGTTTATATGATCAAGTCATATTATTTATAAGTGTGCCTAGATGCATGTGTTTTAATTTTGGTCCAGTTCTTAACACAAGCTTAGTGGTGGCTTGGACATCTGTAGTGTACGCGGATGTGGCATCTGTAAAATTCCATAAAACATACTAGCTTGTTTGATTACACGTACATATTTATTTTGGAACTATTTGTCAATATGGTGTTGTCTATTGGCTCTACCTATAGTCTGTGGAGTATTAAGGAGAATTTTTTTTCTGATAAGTTTTCATGTTGTAGCAAGTGGGTTGAGTGAACAAGTAGCATAATCTATCTCTGTGCGTACATAATTTATCTCCCCAGATAGAATAAACAGTTTGCCAAAAAAGCATGACCACACTAGGACATATATATGTTTGGCATCTTGAAACACTTAATATTTCTGACATTTTGATGTCCAGATTCATTGACATTTTGGTGTCAAATCACCACCTAGGTTACCTTTTTTTGGGACGGAGAGAGTAGAATGTTAATTGATGACTCTGTTAACCTAACCTGACATTCCTGTTCTCTTGTCACATTGGTCAGGACTTAAAAAGGGGGACAGAGTAGCTTCTGTTGTGAAAATGTGTTGCAAGACCAGCTGCTAGCCTGCTACTACCGGCGTTGGCATCGATATGTATATATATCTACTGTACGAGCTTAGTTCGATCGGCTGTTCCATTTGAATTCTATAGTGTAGTGGTTTAGCTTCTGAAGTCTTGCTACTCTTCTTTTGCCCATATATATGCTGCATTCTGGAACTAATAAATAAAGTAGCTAGTCTGCAAAGGTAGGCATTCAGGCTTATACACGATGCACTTCAATGTATGCTCTTGTTGTCAAAGTATTATTGTTGTTAATCTGATGTCAATTTGAGCACGGGAAGCTCTCATTTCTTTTTTTGCTGGGCCGACGACGGAACGTCGGACAATTATATTAAGCTTTGAGAAAATATATACTACATTACAGTACAATGCCAACAGGCAAGGCTGTTGGGCAGCGACCGACGGGCTGGATGGGATAATTCTTGCTGCCTTGTATCTTTTGTTTGTTTAATTTCCCCGACGTGTGGAATGGGCACACGATGAAGACTGAGTGTGGCGTGTGTAGTGGCAAGGCCACGAGTCTGTAATCCTTTGCTATTTGAGTTTCAATCTAAACCAGAAAGCGTTGCTGCTTGACAGCACAAATAACCTTTGAAGAGGCTGGCCATGCGGGATGGATCGTTGGGCATGAAGGAAGTTGCTGTCTCCGCTGCCATCGCCGCTGCTGGTGGAAGCATGGGTGGAGTAGAGGAGGAGATCTGGGAGCTGTTCGTGGGGTAGGTGTCCAAGCAAATGACGGAGGTGGAGTTGCTTACCATGTTTCAGGAGGTGGCCATCGTCGATGGGGTCACCGTCGTCAAATTTGGGTTCGCGAGGTATGGATCCGTATACCTAGATTTGGGCTCACACCCCAAGCATTGCGTTGGCTTGTTTTGGGTTTTGATTTGAGGTGTTCTACATGTTCTATGGATGTTTCTACAACTATGACGACTTATCCCATAAATTAATTTATTTTGTTGGTTTTTATTGACCTATCTCTTAATAAACAGATGATTTTTTTTTCTTATTGTGATGATACTTTAGTGACATCATGATACTTTTGATACCTTTTGGTACCTATATGTATCGGACCTGCTACCTAGGTACCACGATTGGTATCTATAGGTATCGGACTTGGTACCTATAGGTATCAACATGGTATACTAGGTACCACGGCTGGTACTGTTGATGAAAAATCAGTGCTCGGTTGATGTGCTAGATCTGCGTTGGTGCGAACTAAGTCGATGAACCTTTGAACTAAGTCGACAAACACAAAGGTAAGAGAGATCTGCTTAGCTCTAGTGCAGGTCCAAAATATCAATGAGATGCGGGCATGCCAGTCAATTTAATCCTGCAACTGACAAGATGCATAAATTGAAGATTAAAGAGTTGATCAGCCAATAAGTCGGTATAACAATGCTATCCAATGCCGATACTAGCTGATGTTGATAGGGATTTGAGCAATCGGCTATATGTCAAATGTAGATTCTGACACTTAATGATGTAAAGACAACCGGCTGATGATAATGTAATAAAAAATATAATCCAATGGAAACCAGATCAATAATGATATGATAGAATAATTGTTTGATCCGAAGGTTAAGCATATATCGGCTGGTGTTCCGATGTCATTAAATCCACAATATTAGATTATCAGTAAAACCTTTGTTGCAATCGGCAAAACAAACTTGTATGTAATCCTGGTAAACCAATGCAGTGTCCAGATAATTAATTGGCTAAAACCCTAATGAAACCCTTATTGACAATCAAAGGCAGATTAGTTTTTATGATTCTAAGTCGTGGCTAAAACCCCAATGAAACCCTTATTGACAATCAAAGGCAGATTAGTTTTTATGATTCTAAGCACGACTTAGTAAGTCAAACCCAATTGATACAACACTAACTATGAAAAGAAGCATAAAGTCTAAACAATTTAAGCCTTTGATTGATTTTTAAAGTGGTAGATACCTTAGCTAATCTAGACCGACAAAACAATTTAAATAATACCAATAAAACCCTAGAAAAGATCTGGCAGATACATGTAAATTGAGACATTGACTTAGATTAAACTAAGATATATGATATAAATAAATGTTTACATCAATAAGATTAGAGTGTCGAGGTCCTAGCCCCGTCGATACAGACAACCATAACAAGCCTTAACCTTCGTCGGAGATTGAAGCTGATGCAACTTAACTCAAAACAATAACTCGTCAAGAAATATGAAAATGAAAAGGATGGTGATGCGCCGAAGTTGTATTAATCGAGAGATAAATTACAAGGACCCTAGGTGTATATATTTATACCCATAGACCGATAAGAGTCCTAGTCAGACACAAAACAAACTTTCTTAAAGATAAAAAAAAAACATAAGTTCTGATCGGTCATGATACAAACTTTCCTAAATTCAAAACTTGCCTAATTAATAAATAAATTTAGGCTACCATGCCGTGGTCTTTGTGACTCCTTCTGAAACTCGGTCTCTTCTATATAAGCTTTTAATTAACTGATTATTATCTTTCTTTAACCGAATCCAAATCTTACTAAATTTTGGCGTTATCTGGTACATATATGTATCATCTTTGTACCTATAGGATATTAGACTTGATAATCAGATATTAATAGATATCATACAGGGTACCACGCATGTATACAGTGACGTCAGTTTAGACATCAATATGATGTCATCACTTGCAGCCCTCTTTAAAAAAAGATCAAACTGAATTTAAAAACAATTCAACTCAACATTTGCCCCCACTTTGTTGGACTAGTTCTGCGTGGGCCATGCCGTCATAGAGAGAGATAGCAAGTCAAAATCAAAATCGAGGACGAGAAGAATTCCGAAATCTCCACGGTTTCTTCCTCCTCCTCCTCTCTCTCTCTCTCCTCTGCTTCTCTCCCAAATTCGCCACCTCTCCTCCTCCTCTGATCCCTCCCCACGCCGCCGGCGAGGGCACGGCCACAACGGCCGCGGCGGCCTCCGTGCGCCGGAGACAACTAGACTACTACAACTACTACTACTACTACTACTACTCTTTCTCTCTCTTGTTGAGAGGAGCGGAGATCCATCCGTGCAGGCTCCGGGGGGTGGTTTCGTGTGGGATATGCCACACGTGCAGTCAGCTCCTGCGGCGGCGACCGCGGCGGGGATGTCCGCGGCGTCGGCGCCCGCGCCGAGGAGGTGGGAAGGGGTGGACCAGGCGCTGGAGCGGATGGTGCTCAGGGCGTGCCTCGACCAGGCGCCCGAGCGCCGCCGCGTCCGCGACGCGTTCAAGGACGTGCAGCTCAGCATCGACCACTGCCTCTTCAAGGTCCCCCCTCCGCTTTCCCTCCCATTTTCTTTCCTTTTCTTTTTTTCACTTCTTTACACACCCCCTTTTGGAAATTAGAGTCGATATAAGATGCAGTTTTTCGGTTCCTTATGCTGCGGCAACAACAATTGAATGGATGATTGACAGTGTGATGCTAAGAGTTTATCGTTTCTGTGTCGAAACATGCGCATCGCCATGCCTGAAGATCTTGATGGATGAGGGTTATGGAGGTTTCAGTGTTTGCTGTAGTCAGGATGGATGGTGATGATGCTCGTGCGCTAGATTTTGACCTGGAAAACAATTACTAGACATTTTCTAGGCACAACCTGTTCGAAGAGGACCTAGAGCTTTAATTAGAATGGTCCAAACTTGGGGTCTGTTGTGCCCACACAAAGCCTTGTGATTGGTCCAGGTGTGGAGATGGATATTTGCCAACAGACATTTTGAGTATTAATTGCAATGGCTTTTGTAGTTGATTAGGACGTCGATCAGTACCGAGATTTGTGTGTTGTACAAGGCGTAAATACATTTCCGACTGATTAAGGTTTGCACTGTTCAAAAGTTGGAAAGTGGATCTATTGTCAACCCAAGCAGGTTAGGGCCTATAATAGTGACAGATCATTATTAAGGTGTTTGATTTTAACAGCAGCATTTATGAGGTACCAAACTATTGCATACATGGAATGATATTTAGAGAGGAAAAAACATATGCACAGATAGTTCCACCATTTAAGTACCACCAAAATTTCAAGTCTTAGTTTGCTATGCCATGATGCTTTTATTTGATCTAAAAAACTTTAGTTGTTCTGATATGCGATGGATCATTTTTCTTACTTGCATTTGTTTCTATGATGCAGGGACAGTATAGCGATATTGGAACAAAGGAGGTGCTATTTCTTGCTCTAGCTATTATTTTACAGTTTCTTCATGCAGTATGTTTCTGCAGTTAAGTGGCTTAACTGCTGCAATACATAAATTTCTGTTGCACATATTGCATGTAAGACTATTTGGCATATAGACTCTGTCCATCTTCTTCGCATTACTGTATGCCCCACAGCTAAGACTATGTAGAGAGAGAGGTTCCACTATAAAATCTCAGCAGGCATTGGTGATTCATTTTATTTGGTTGATCTGCAAACTAGTGTTAGGCAGAAATACTGAAATATTGATGCAATGTAGGATAAGTCCTTTTCTTTTTTAGAATAAAATACCAAAAGTAGTGCTTTACTGCAATGCAGAAATACTGAAATATTGATGCAAGGTAGGACAAGTCCCTTTTTTTAGAATAGAACACCATAAGTTAGTGCTGTACTGTAGTTGCTGAAGTGCACTGAACATATCTGGCCTTATTAGTTCATCTTTTGATTCCGTTGAATATGTTTTGCTATTTATCTATGCTTAACAGAAGCTTGCTATTTTAATGATCATTGGTTGTGGTTCGCAAGGTAGTGGCACTGTGAGATGGTATGCTGAATATGTTAATTCTCAATAGTGCTCTTAACTCCTAAAATCTGCCGACATATCAATCGATGCTTTGCTCTTCAGAATTTTTGCTAACTTGATGATAAGTTATTAATTTTTCCATCATTGCAATGTGACACTTCCTTTCTTCGACAGTCATACGAGAAAAACTCCAGGGGCGTGGAGATTTTCTCAAAATGTTGGTATCCAGAGAATCATCGCATAAAAGCAATTGTTTGTCTCTGCCATGGTTATGGAGATACCTGTACCTTTTTTCTCGATGGTACACGTTTCCCTTTCATGCAAGTTATTTGTCTGATACCTTGGTTTTTTGTCACATTTTTATAGTCCGTTTTTCTTGCAGGTATTGCTAGGAAGATTGCTTCAGCTGGATATGGAGTGTTTGCATTAGATTACCCTGGTTTTGGTCTCTCGGAAGGACTTCATGGATTTATACCAAGTTTTGACACTCTTGTTGATGATGTAGCAGAACATTTTACTAAGGTCAAAGGTATGCTTCCATTAAATCATTTCTGGTTTCTCACTCTGCCTTTTTTTTTTCTATTTATTTTTTTTGGAACAGTTGATAAGTGTCAATATATTTTCAGCTAGTTCAAATGTACATGTCTTCTTTTATGAAATTTCCTTGAATGAAATTCAAATGCCAAATTTAGATACAACTTACCAACTAATATGACACCATAATACAGTTGCAACATATGGTATAGTTACCACAAGTTTCATTTCTCTTTTATCCTCAGGTTTTTAAAATCAACAAAATATACATATTGTTTGATCTTTTAAACTTCTGGTGTTGGAAATAGTTGCTTTATATAGTTTTGTGAAATGTGACTGAAGAGCTACTTCATATCATTTTGTTCTCTTCCCGGTTAGGAAAGAAAACACACACCACCTTCAATCCAAAATATATGTTGTTTCAGCTCCATGCATGCATGCAGAACATAATGCTTTAATTTGGCATAGTTTAGAGTTTACTCAATGCTTGTATGCCCATATGTCTACACAAAAAAGAAAAAAAAATCGTACGGGCATTTGGTGGAAAACATTGCAGTGATAAAACTAAACTGACTACCTTAGGAGTTAATTAACTATAAACTGTTTTAACTCGATGCATTCAATGTCATTGCTATTGATAATGGTGAAAAGGGGGAAATTGATGGGTAAGTTTGGTAACAAATGGTTTCAGTGTGAATTTAAATTGTGCATTCTGTATACAGCCTCCACATTTCCAAATATGTAATAAGCCCCACATTGCTGAACCTGTAAATGCCCTCTAATTATTTTTATATTAATGTATAGCTGGCTATAAATTAGCTTACTCCTTGTTTTTTAAAAGGATACCGTATGTAAACTGAATATTACTAATTATTTGTATGTCAGCAGAAAATCCTGAACATAGAGGTCTTCCAAGCTTTCTGTTTGGTCAATCTATGGGTGGAGCAGTTGCATTGAAGATTCATTTTAAGCAACCAAATGAATGGGATGGTGCAATACTAGTTGCGCCCATGTGCAAGGTAGATATATCAATGTAGGACCCTAACTGTATAAGTTCCGTCTGGCAGCTTTTTTGCAAACTCATTTTGTTATAGATTGCAGATGATGTGATTCCGCCTTGGCCTGTTCAGCAAGTTCTAATTTTTATGGCTAGACTTCTTCCAAAAGAGAAGCTTGTTCCACAAAAAGATTTAGCAGAGTTGGCTTTCAAAGAGAAGAAAAAACAGGAGCAGGTGATCTGTCTGCCACACTGGCATCTCAAACTAATATTTTCTATTTAGATTTATTTCATCTGACATGTACATTCTTTCATGATTTTTGTTTCTTCTTTGGGAAGAAAGAACTGTGAAATAACTGAATATGTCTATTTAATATATCTACATGCCTCCACCCCCACAATATAGGGAGTTCTAATCTGTTATCTGTGAAGTACAAGTGTACAGCAATGTATGAATCACATATTTATCATCCTACTTATTTTATTTCCAGTTTTGGGTATACTTATCCAAAATTATGAAAAATGTCATTCCAAAGTAGGGACTATTAGGAAAAAGAACTTTTTCTAGTGCTTTTAAAAATGGATTCAAATATATCAAGTCTTCTTATGCCTCGTGAAAAGATTGTTAATAATTTGCTGTTGAATGCAGTGTTCTTATAATGTGATTGCGTACAAGGATAAACCACGTCTCCGAACAGCTTTGGAGATGCTGAGAACCACAAAGGAAATCGAGAGTCGTTTGGAGGAGGTGTGTGCTTTAATTATCTGTTATACTTATACATATGCTTTTAGGGTCTTATACAATTGCTTATAACATTGCCCATCCTGATATTGATAATTGTTAATATTTTGATATGGACAAAAGGCATGAAAAGCTGCGTTTGTTCTGTAAACATGTTGGTAGCATGGCTAGTTTGTGCACTGTGCACAGTATCCATGGTGGACCTTATACCTATTTTGATAGTTCATATTTTTTAGATCATTTTTTGACACTTTGTTGTATCTGGTGCATGCATGTATAGTCTACTATGCTTTTAGCATAAAATTCAGAAGGTTGAGAGGCTTAATAAGATAGGCGTATGGCAATGGTCAACAATAACTTTTATCCTCGATAGATACTCATATTTGGTATCATAATGGGTTTTTCTGTTTTGTGGAATAGTTTTTTACAAGTTGCAGAATTGCCAATGGTCTACTTTTCCGATCTATTACCATCTCAGTTCCTTTGGTAACTAAAAGTTGCCCCGTGTTTCCTATATCTAGGTTTCGCTGCCCATTATCATTTTGCATGGTGAGGGTGATTTGGTCACAGACCCAGCTGTGAGTAAAGCTCTCTATGATAAAGCGAAGAGCTCAGATAAGACGCTTCGCCTTTATAAAGATGCATATCACGCTATCTTGGAAGGTGAACCAGATGAGGCAATTTTTCAAGTCCTCGATGATATAATTTCTTGGCTGGATCAGCATTCTACAAAGAAAGTTCCATCGTCATAAACTGCAAAGGCAGCATTGGGAAAATTTCTTTGCTACTGATGTATCCTTCGTTGCCGTTGATCCAAGATTCCAACAGTTGCGATTCCATTTTGGCACCAGCCCTGTCATGTTTCTTTTCTGATTGCAAATGTGCCTGTTGCTCATCAAGCTGTGTACATAATGTATATTATCCATCACAATTTGTTTCACAAAATTTAGGTAAGGTTTTGCATGCCATATATAAATTTGTAATATATTCAAATGTTTTTCTCGTTATGTAATATTTTTTAGATTTGATTGGCATATGTTTGGGTTAGATCAGAAGTGACATACACTATGCGCTGAGAAAACTAGTTACTACTTCCTCCGTTGTCTACGCTATTAATTGTTGTATGTATTGTACGTAACATTTGACCATGTCTTAAAAATTTAATACAAATATAAAAAACTATAAGTTGTGTTTAAAGTACATTTATTCACCATTTGTCTTATCGAAAAATTTAATACAAATATGAAAAATATAAAAGTAATGCTTAAAAGTATAAAAACAATAGAATGATCAAACGCTGTGTCTAAAAGTTATTTCCTCCGTTTTACAATGTAAGTTATTTTAGCATTTCTCACATTCATATTGATGTTAATGAATCTAGAAAGATATATATGTCTAGATTCGTTAACATCAATGTGAATATGGGAAATACTAAAATGACTTACATTGTAAAACAGAGTGAGTAATAGCATATATTTAAAATTGAACTAGTGTTATTTAGTACTGTATAAGTGTCTCGTAGTCTCGTAGATGTTACCGCAATAATCACACGAACAATGTGAAACAATTCTTTTAGATGGTAATCCAAAATCATATAGGGTCTCAGAAAGCTTCCCTAGTACATGGGGTGACAGATTTATTTTTGGGAAAAGTGCTCATTTGTAACACCAAATTTAACACGAATCAAGTGCATCATTATGTTCTTATTTGGTAGGGCTCTAAACTCCAACTCTATTAGGAACTAGCTCTAGTAGGAGCTGAAGGTCAGCTGAAAAGTATTTGACTAGCTTGGTCAGCTCCAAAACTCTTTAAAGGGAGTATTGGGGGGAGGATGACTACAATACCCTTGTGATTTTTCCTGTTTTCATGATGTATAACTGATTTTTTCTCTGGAACTTCAACAACACAATTTGCAAAATCGTAGTACCCTGGGAAATTACATATCTCTAAAAAAGAATCACCACAATATACATGCAAAATCACCATATTTCTCTCTTTCTTCAGATCTAAAATCCAAAAAAATGGAAAAAGGGTTGAGGGCCTTAGTCACCGAGCCGCGCTTCCTTGAGTGGCCGCCCGCACGCCGCCGGCCGACCACGCACTGCCCGCCCGCGTGCCTGGCCGACCACGCGCTACCCGCCCGTCAAATCGCCGCCGGAAGCACGCCGCTGCCAAGCCTGTTCGCCTGCTGCTCCGAGATGAGTTGGGTTATAGGTGGGAGAAGTGAGGTAGGCTGGGATAGGTCAGTGGTATTTTTGCGTAAATATGTAAAAAAAAATTAAAGGGTAATGGGTCTTTTGGGGTGGTGTAGAGCTGTGGAGTAGCAAAAATACAGCTTCACACTCTTGGTTCATTTTTTATGAGTAACTTTGCTAAGTCCACTCCAAAAAAATGGAGGGTCTGAACCATTTGCTAAACGGGGCCTGAATGCCTAGCTTTGCACACTGGCTATTACTATCTCGTTATTTAGCTCCAGAATGTATAAGAGAAAGATCAATAGTGTAGCCAGCAGCTGGCTCCACTTACCTTTATACTATTATTTTATAGCTAATACTAAAATCAACCAGTACAATAGATTAGCTCTTATGCAGACTGTACTCATTGATAAAATACTTAATTATGCATGTCCACATAAATATGTATGATCAACCCTAAACTATATCTGTGTAGCCATATATGTGTATGAACTTGTGATATGAACAAGAACCTGTAAAAAAAATTGATTAGGCTGTAGATAATTACTGCTAGTGAAATGTTGTTGGGAAGATGCAAATCTTATCACAATTGCATCGCTCCTAAAAAATCCATCTACTGTCAGCTTTGTGTAAACAACATGCAAATATCGAGAGAAGACGGGAAAAGGAACAGAGAAAAAAAAATCCCCAAATCCACTAACACAATGGAACTCAGAGCCATTTCTCCTAGCTGCTTGATTGCTTCAACCAACGGAACAGCTACAAGGCGGCAGTAGATCTGGCATGGCGACAGGGCTTTCTTCTTCAAAAGGAGGGCATCGATCTGGCGGACAGCAAACATCGATCTGATGACTGAGCACGACAGAAACATGAGCTATAAGGTGCGCGGGCTTTGATCAGGCGATGGTGGCGGAGCTTCCGCACACACGATTCTCAACGGCGATGGAAATTGGACTCCGATGAACGGCGGTGGGGCTCAGGTGGAGGAGTAAGCAATTTCGTGCGGATGGAAGGAGCGAGAGGTGAGAATCAATGCATGGAAAAAAATCACACGGGATCGAAGGATTCTGGTGTGACCCCACAGAACTGTTTTTTTATTGCGGAATCGCGCTTGGAAAAGCGCTATCCCCGGGCGGCATTCTCTCTCTTCGATTCTCTCTCCTCCATGCATATATTTAATGATAAAAAAAAGTTTTAGAGCCTGCTGAGTAGGATTATTGTACTTGCTCTTCTAATAGGCTGTGCGGTGTTACCAATTCCCCCGCGCCCCCTCCCCCCGCGTTCTTTTTTTACACGCACGCTTCCCAAACTGCTAAATAGTGTGTTTTTTTAAAAAAATTCTATAGAAAAGTTGCTTTAAAATCATATTAATACATTAAAAAATTAATACTTAATTAATCATGTGCTAATAAGCCACTTCGTTTTACGTGTACGAGAGATTAGCTTCCAACTCACTTTGTCGAACTCAGTCTAAAAAGAGGAGCAACTCTCACTGACACGTAAAATGAGAAGAACCATTAACTCATTAATCAAGTATTAATCATTACAAACTTAACAAATAATTTAATATGATTTTTAAAGAAGCTTTTATATAGAAAACTTTTATATGAACATATAGTTTAGCAAACATGCTAACGGAAAACGAGATCGTTGCTCAATCCAATGGCTGAATAGAATAGACTCTAAGGTTGCGTTTGGCTCTTCTAGTTCCCATCCTCTCCTCCCTCGTTTTCCATGCGCATACTTCCCAAACTGTTAAACAGTGATTTTTTTTTGCAAAAATTTTCTATAAGGAAGTTGCTTTAAAAAATCATACTAACATATTTTTAAAGTTCTTTTAACTAATACTTAATTAATCGTGCACTAATCCATTGCTTCGTTTTCCGTGCGGGAGGTTGAGAACACAGCCTAAGCTTTGTTCAAACCACAAGGTTCTTAACTCATCACTCATGCGCAAAAAAAGAGCTAACCTATTAGGACATGATTAATTAATTATTAGTTTTAAAAAATAAAAAATAGATTAATATGATTTTTTAAAGCAACTTTTGTATATAATTTTTTAAAAAAACACAGTTTAGTAGTTTATGAAACGTGCGTGTGAAAAATGAGTGAGATGAGTTAGGAAAATAGAGTAAATTAAGGACACAGCGTAAGAAGCTAAACCATTGAAATTGAATAGCCAGTGTCCTTATGTTGCGTAATTTGTATGGATATAGATCTCGTAACAGCCCTAACTAATTTTAAAGTTCTGTTCATTTTGTTGTGAATTCCGAAAATCTTGCTTAGCGTTTTAATTCCCATTTTATTGAGTTTTAAAAGTTGTTTGTCGTTCTGTCGCCTTTCCCTTATATTCTTCTTTCCTCGCCACAGGAGCATTTCCCCATCCTAAATCCTAGCGGACAAGTCCGTGTCGCATTCAGACCTAGCTACCAGAATAGCTAATTGGCGACCAATCGGGTGCCCCTCCTGAACGACTGGACACGTGACGCGCATGGAAAGTGGGGGGAGGGGGGGGGGGCGGCAGATGGCGTGTCGCAAGCTCCCCCCACCTTTTTTTTCTTCAGTTTCTTTTCCTTTTTTTGGGTTTTTTCCCGGTTCTTTAAATACATACGTATACGTAAAGTTTGTATATATACATATACAAAGATGGTATATTTTATATAATACATATATAGAGTTTGTATATATATGTATAAAAACTTTGTACGTGTACGTATACAAACTTCGTATACGTGTATATATATTTTTATACAAATTCTATATATATATATTTTTGTATATGTATGTATGTATGTACTATGTACTCGACCGTGCGGGCGATCGACCTGTCACGTATGAGCGCTCCCCCCCCTACTCCCATCGCCGATCCTTTAACTACTTCCCTTTCTTCCTCCCTTTGTTTTCTCCTTTCATCACCCCAAGTTAGAAATTAAAGTCAAAACTTCTGGTTCAATACTTCAATAACACCCCAAGTTGGTTCTTAAATAATGACCTCAGGTTGGTGATTAGGTTTCTTTTTTTTTAAAAAAAAAGTAGAAGATGATTTCTGATTAGTAACTAAAAGTGTTTAAAGTAAAATAATATTGTAATGTTTCTCTTTGCTATGTATATGTACTGTCTCTGTATTCAAATATACCACATTGTTAACTATATTCGGTCTTTAGTGTGCATTAATTTTCTATTAGAATATAGTGATAATAATATTTAACAAATTTATTATATTGTAAAATGAGAATATATTCTATGCACACAAACTTTTAATGTAGACACCGTACATACCAACTAACAAATTTGACCAAAAATTCTAGAAAAAGAAGTACTACACTATGTGTAAAATCTTAACCTCAAATTTATTATATTTTAACTGTAATAAAAAAAGATAAAAAATATAACAGATTTAAGAGTATAAATCTATCATAATTTTATTTTTTTCTATGTGTATAATGAATTTAAAGATTAGATGTAATACTACTAAAAACACATGTACATTTTTTTCTAGAATTTTTTATGGTATTTTTTAGTTGGTATGCACTATGTATACATGAGAATGCTTATATGCATATGATACAATCCTTTGTAAAAGTGTTACAAAGAAAAAAAATCTAGCATATATGTATATATATATATATATATATATATATATATATATGTATGTGTCTTAACTAATTAAAAGATTAGTAATTTTCCGTTCGTCCTAATACGCTTTCACCCGTCCCCGTCCGAGGTGACGCAAGAGTTGGAGATGGCAACGGCTGGTCCTTGCCCCAGGCCCCAGCGTCCATATCCGAGGAACCAACCGCATCGAAAATCAAGTTGCCAATAGGAAAATGAGAAAACAAGAACCAGACCATAAAAAGAGAGGCATGAACACACGAACAAAACAAAATCCGAAAATCCCCAAAAACTACTTTAAAAACCCCAATCTTACAAATAAATCAGACCTAAAATAGGCTATAGCTACCCTAGAGAATTCAGAAGATGTGTTGGAGGCCGCTCGGCCACCTCCGCCCCTATCTGCGCCGTCGGAGGGGAGAGGCGAAGAGCTCGTCAACCCACGCCACGTCGCCACCGTTGAGACCGCTGCTTCGATCTATCGCCACAGCTATCCCTCCCACGGCGTGGGCCCGTCTCCGCCATGGCTTGGCCTACCGTCCGATCTGCACGGCCGCGCGCTAGCCACGCACAGGAGAAGACGGCATGGGCCCAAGCCACCTTCGATCTGCTCGCGGTGGCGGCATCGAGCCCAGAAGGGGAGAAGTGGCGATGTGTGTGGAAAGGGGATCCGACGGAAATGAGTGAGACGAGGGTGCGAGAGCTTCGAGCGGTGGTGCGCCCGTATCTTGAGGAAATAGAGAGCGGCTTCTTTGGTGGGTTGATGGGATCCTGAGGCCTTATCCATTCGGTTGGTTGCTGAGGCCAGCTGTTGCCGTGCATGGACAGGTGGGATTGCGAGCCTGGGACATGCATGCAGGTTCCTGAGGGATGAGGCCATCTGTTGCCGTGCATGAGACGTGTTGATGGGTTAATTAGTACTCCCAACGTTTTACTGCTAATGATTTTAGTAGTATGTTAATTAGCAGTATTATTTTAACCATAACTACTTCTTTCCGATCGTCACCGCGTTTTTCACTCCTCGCGTCTTTTTGTTTTTGTCCGTTGCCCCACTGTCCGCTTCATGATATCTGTTTGTATCGGGATTCACCATTGGCCTCCTGTTGGTTCGGACTCTGAATCGAACTCACTAAAATCAGCTGGGAGGATCCACTAGATTGAAAGTTTGAAACCAACGGAATCGAGCATATCACAAAGCAATACATAATGAGAGGATGGGCGGTGGTGGCAGAAGAAGATAGCGAGGAGAGGCGATCACCAGAGGCTCAAGACGCATCATTCCCGTGGCTGCTCCACCGACCCCAGGACACCGATGCCACGGGGCCCTGTGCCAACGGCTCGCGCCGCGTGTCTGCTGAGGAGATGATCCGGATGCCACCGTCTAGGATTGAGGTCACTAGAGAGGGGGGCTAGATCCGACGGAGAGGGCAACATGTTCCTCCTCTGACCCCCACCCCCACTCACTTCCAGATCCAGAGTCGGAAATGAGGAGGTGCCCTGTTCACTAAGCCACGCAAATCAGAAGTCCCAAAAAAAAAAGAAAAGTAAAGGGAAAAAAGAATTACGAGGAGGTGTGTACATCCATAGTTGCCGCCGGATCCGCACATTGGAAACCGCGGGAGGGTGCCACCACGGCCGCTCGTGGCGGGGAAGGGTGCCGCCGTCCCTGTTGCCGCCGCTGCTCGCAATGGGGAAGGTAGCCGCCGCCACGCCTAGGCCGCGAGGCCGCCGCATGCGGTGGGGAAGGCACCTGCCGCCGCTGCTACTCGCGGTGGGAGAGGGAGGAGAACAAATTTAGGGTTAGGGATTCAACAGGGAAATGTTTTATCAAACTCACGAGTGATCCTAACCGATCAATCGAATAAGTCAGTTACCAGCGACGACAACGACGGCGTAGGCAGGCGGAAGAACGGTGCTAGCAAGGGGGACCAATTCCACCGCCGCCGCTGTGGAAGGGGGAGGCAGCGTCCCACGCGCCGAAAGGCATGCCCCGCAGCAGGCATGGGCTCCAGCGGAAGGGACCGAACCCGGGTGCACCCATCGGGGTAGGCGGCGGTGGCGCGCGGGACTTGTCGTTGGAGATGGTGTCTTGGGGAGGATATGTCCTTAAGTCAATTCTTTTCTTTTTCATTAGGATTATGTACTTTTAAAATATTGTTTTTTCTATTCATCACAAAAATTTTCATCTATCAACTTCTGTGCAAAACCAATCACTTTAACTGTCATCATTCGTTCCTCCCTTGCTATAACCATTGGGCCCACGTGTCATAAGCATCATCCACATCACGAAAATATAAAGTAGATTAATTGTCAAAAACAAACATGACCTTTTTATCACTATACATATCACCTATGCTTTATAATCATACTTAGGTGTTTTGATAAATCCTTAATATCAAACTTCAGCCACCCAGCTAATACCCGGTGCAACGCACGGGTATTTTGCTAGTGTGTGTGTCTATATATATATATATATATATATATATATATATATATATATATATATATATATATATATATATATATATATATATATATATGCGATTTTTATGTTTTCGAACTAAATATTTTATTTAAGAGTTTTTAATGACCAAATAATAATGTCAATTGTACGATTAATATAAATATGGAGGGATTAATAATTTTCAAATTTGGCATGATGGGTTAGATTGAAAGTGCGCCATATGTCCATATTTAGTGGATACTATACATGTTAACGCAACGATCAAGTGAACAATGCGAAACTTTTTTTTTCTTTTTTTACTACTAGCATATAATATATAGCTTGTGCGGGGAGGCTGAATGCCTTGCTTTGCAGACTAGCTATTTAGTTCCAGAATGCAGTCTAAGGGCAAAAAGGAGGAGCAAGACTTCAGAAGCTAAACCACTATGGAAAAGCTGATCAACTAAGCTAGTTGTACCGTACATATAGATAGATGCATGCCCATCATCGTCAGTAGCAGGCTGATATCTTCCATGGTGTCCTTAAGGCATAAGACACATGTTAACAACAGACGCTGCACTGCGGCTCTGCCCCCCACCCTTGGCTAATCCTAGTCCTGACCAATATGTGAAGAGAACAGAAACACCAAAGATTAGATTAATTTAAGGAGAATATATCAAAGTAAACTAGCAAAGACATAATAAGGATTTCCAGATGCCAAGCATAATGTCATCATGTGGCCATATATGCTGATAATGCAAACTATTTGTTTTATCTATAGAGACAAATTTTGAAATTTGTGCGGAGAGATACATAAGGTAGCTGCTCACTCGATCCATTCGCTATTTCAATCCAACATGGAAACTTAGAAGAAACATATTAATTTGTCTCCTTAATACTCTGTAAACTGTCCGTGGCTCTACGGACTACACAAAAGCATTAACAAAATTGAGAAGGAGATATGTGCTGTCACATGCTAGTAAATTTTGAACGATCTTACAAATGCCACATTGGTGTATACTACATAACAGATGTCCAGGCCATCTGTAAGTTCGTGTAGCAAAACCGACAAACTATACCAAAGAAAAAACACGTGTGGCTAGATATACAAGAAATATGACTTGATAAGTGAGAGTGAAACATGAAACAATTTCGTAGCGCTAGCCCTATCTGACCGAATACTAGGTGGGTTCTGTTAGATAAAATTAAGTTTGTTAGGATAGACAGGAGGCTTATCTAATCCTGAGTTTGTTGTAACTAGCGATAGCTATAGCGCATGATTATCTGATCTGTAACAATCTCTGTAACAACCACGCCAGGGGTTTTTCCTGGTTCTATATAACACGGAGGCGAGCCTGGAGGAAGGGCATTCGCTTAACTCACATGGTATCAGAGCCTTAAACCCTCCACTCGTTTTTCTTCCTCCAAAAATCCATCCATGGCGTCGTCCTCCACCGGCGCTACCCCAACTATTAATGGGAACACTGTCTCTGAGAAACTGACCAAGAGCAACTATGTGTTGTGGAGAGCGCAAGTGCTTGCAGCCCTGCGAGGTGCGCAGATGGCTGGCTTCCTTGACGGGAGCACCAAGGCGCCGGAGGCAACCACCGTCATCACCAAGGATGATGGCAAGACCACTGAGAAGGTGGCCAACCCGGCACTACCTCAGTGGGTGGCACAGGAGCAGCAGGTCCTGAGTTATCTGCTGTCGTCCCTCTCTCATGAAGTTTTGACCCAGGTGGCAACTCTCACCAAGGCGACGGAAGTGTGGGAGGCTATCGAAAGCCTCTTCGTGTCGTAGTCTCGTGCCAGGGTGATTAACACTCGCCTGGCACTCTCCAACACCAAGAAGGGAAATCGAAGCGTTGCTGAATATGTGGGTAAGATGAAAGCTCTTGCAGATGAAATGGCTTCTGCAGGAAAGGCGCTCGACGACGAGGAACTGGTCTCCTACATCCTTGCCGGTCTCGACTTCGACTACAACTCGGTTGTCACGACTGTGACCGGCCGTACCGATCCAATCTCGGTGAATGAGCTCTATGGGCTTCTGGTGGGCTTCGAGTCGCGGCTTGAACTCCTCCAGAACGCGTTGCAGGCCTCTGCCAATGCCATGTCGCGAGGAGGGTGCGGCGGAGGACATGGGCAAGGCGGCAACAACAATCGTGGTGGCGGCTCTGGTCGCGGCCGCGGTGATGGCAAGCCCAAGCCAACCTGTCAGCTGTGCGGGAAGGTTGGTCACACCGTGGCCAAATGCTGGAAGAGGTTTGATCCCTCTTTCACTAGAGAAGAGAAGAGCGCCAACACTGCTGCTACATCGAGCTCCTACGGCATTGACACCAACTGGTACGTCGACAGCAACGCGACTGACCACATCACCGGCGAGATGGAGAAGCTGTCGGTGAAGGACAAGTACCACGGCAGTGAACAAGTCCACAACGCTGGTGGAACAGGTATGGACATCGATTATGTTGGTCATACTACTATCTGTACCCCTAAACGCAATCTTTTGCTTAAAAATATCCTTCGGGTCCCTGATGCACACAAAAGTCTTGTTTCTACCCATTGCTTTACTAGAGATAATGGAACCTTTGTTGAACTTCATCCTCATTTCTTTTTGGTTAAGGATCAGGTCACGAGGACGCCAATCCTGCGAGGCAGGTGTAGAAGCGGCCTCTACCCCTTGCCAACCAACAAGTCCTCAGATCCTTCATGCAAGCAGGCCTTTGGAGTCGTCAAGCCATCGTTGTCCCGCTGGCATAGTCGTTTAGGGCATCCTTCTTTTGCTATTGTTGATCGAGTTATTAGTCAAAATAAACTCCCTGCAATCTGGGACTCTAGTCCCAATTCTATCTGTGATGCTTGCCAGAAAGGCAAAAGCCATCAGCTTCCCTACCCTAAGTCTGTTAGTGTGTCTTCAGAACCTTTGCAACTTATTTTTTAGATGTATGGGGCCCTGCACCGAGTTCGGTTGGCAATAAAGTTTATTATGTTAGTTTTATCGATGACTTTAGCAAATTTACATGGATATATCTTCTTAAACATAAATCTGAAGTCTTTGAGAAATTCAATGACTTTCAGCATCTTGCGGAACGTCTCCTTAATAGGAAGATTAAATCCATGCAAACCGATTGGGGAGGGGAGAATCAGCGCCTGAACTCCTTCTTTCAGCGTATAGGGATTGAACATCATGTTGCTTGTCCCTACGCTCACCAGCAGAACGGATCTGCTGAACACAAACATCGCCACATTGTTGAGGTAGGGCTCTCTTTGCTGGCTCAAGCCTCTATGCCACTTAAATTCTGGGATGAAGCTTTTACCACCGCAGCATATCTCATAAACCGAACCCCTTCTAAAGTGATCAACTATGAAACTCCTCTCCTCCGGCTGTTCAATTTACCGCCAGATTATTCTCTTCTTTGCACGTTCGGATGTGCATGCTAGCCAAACCTGCGCCCCTACAATCATCGAAAGCTTGAATTCCGATCCAAGCAATGTGCTTTTCTCGGTTATAGTACTTTACACAAAGGGTTTAAGTGCCTAGATATCTCCACAGGCCGCGTCTATATATCCCGGGATGTTGTGTTCGACGAACAAATCTATCCCTTTGCCAATCTTCATCCAAACGCCGGCGCCCGACTCCGCTCAGAAGTCCTTGTTCTTCCACCTGATCTCCTTCCGCCAACTCAGTTTGATCAAGGGGGTGCAATAGTTAATGATCAACCTATGATTGATGATCCTAACCATACTAATCAAACTGCTGAGACTGATGCAGATAGAGGTGCAGTACAAAATTCTGAGCCCACAGGAGAAAACAACGCCTCAAATGGTGGAGAAACAGAACCGGGTGGCCATGATTTCATGCATGGCACGGAATCCGGCTCCGGCGGGCAGCACACCGGAAGCCATCCCGAGGATGATGCCCTAGCGGCGTCAGATGCTAGCGTCGCGGAATCTGGCAACGACACAGGCACAAGCCCCGGGGCCGGGCCAACGGCAGCCGGACACGCGGAAGAATCGGGACAGGAGTCAAGCTCCATCAGCGCACCGCACGATTCCCCATCGGCCAGTACTCCCGGATCAGATGCATCCAGCGACGGTGTGGCCGAGTCAGGGGGAGAACAGCAGCAGCCGATGCTAGGCCCTGCGACAAGATCTCGGCACGGCATCCACAAACCAAAGAAGTATACAGATGGTACAATTCGGTATGCAGCTTTGGTAAGTACCGAGGAACCAGGTAACTTGCATGAAGCCTTGAAAAATAAACATTGGAAATTAGCAATGGATAAGGAATTTGAGGCGTTAGTGCATAATAAAACCTGGCATCTTGTGCCACCACAGAAGGGAGTAAATATTATAGACTGCAAATGGGTATATAAGGTTAAAAGAAAAGCTGATGAAAGTATAGATAGATACAAAGCTAGATTGGTAGCTAAAGGTTTTAAGCAAAGATATGGTATTGACTATGAGGACACCTTTAGTCCTATAGTCAAAGCTGCGACTATCAGACTTGTCTTGTCTCTAGCTGTGTCACAGGGTTGGAGCTTGCGACAGCTGGATGTTCAGAATGCCTTCTTACATGGTTTCCTGGAAGAAGATGTTTACATGAGGCAACCACCAGGATATGAAGAACCAAAGGCACCACAGTATCTCTGTAAGTTGGATAAAGCTTTGTATGGACTAAAACAGGCTCCTAGAGCATGGTACTCTCGGCTAAGTAAGAAGTTACATGAACTTGGCTTTAGATCCTCTAAAGCTAATACCTCTCTGTTTTTCTATAATAACAAAGGACTAATGATGTTTTTGTTAGTCTATGTTGATGATATAATTGTTGCCAGCTCTTCTGCACAAGCTGTCACTGCCTTACTTAGGAGTCTTGAAAAAGAGTTTGCTCTTAAGGATCTTGGTGAGTTACACTACTTTCTGGGAATAGAGGTCAAGAAAGCTAGTGGGAATATACTGTTGAATCAAGAGAGGTATGCTAGTGAAATCGTCAAGAGAGTTAGCATGGAGAACTGCAAGTCGGTAGGTACACCTCTCTCAACAGTTGAGAAATTATCTGCCTATGAAGGTGAGAAACTTGGAGAGAAAGATGCAACTCAGTACCGCAGTGTGGTGGGAGCACTTCAATACTTGACTTTAACTAGACCTGATATATCCTTTTCTGTTAATAAGGTTTGTCAGTTTCTTCAGAATCCAACAACAGTGCATTGGGCAACTGTTAAGAGAATCCTTAGATATGTGAAAGGAACCTTGGGGCTTGGTCTAAAAGTTGAAAAATCTTCATCAAATATTGTAAGTGCTTATTCTGATGCTGATTGGGCTGATTGCCTAGATGACAAAAGATCTACAGGAGGCTTTGCAGTTTTTCTAGGATCAAATCTAATATCCTGGAATGCTAGGAAGCAGGCTACAGTGTCAAGGTCAAGTACAGAAGCAGAGTATAAAGCATTGGCTAATGCAACTGCAGAAATAATGTGGGTGAGAAAACTACTGGAAGAGTTAGGAATCTCACACCCAGGCCCATCTCAGTTATGGTGTGATAATATAGGTGCTACTTATCTATCTGTTAATCCTGTCTTTCATGCAAGGACAAAACATATAGAGATAGATTATCACTTTGTTAGAGAACAGGTTGCACAGAAGCAACTAGCACTACAGTTTGTACCATCTCAAGACCAAGTGGCAGATGGATTCACCAAAGCTCTTCCTGTTCGGCAGCTACAAATGTTTCGTAACAATCTTAATCTTGTAGACTTAAGATTGAGGGGGAGTGTTAGATAAAATTAAGTTTGTTAGGATAGACAGGAGGCTTATCTAATCTTGAGTTTGTTGTAACTAGCGATAGCTATAGCGCATGATTATCTAATCTATAACAATCTCTGTAACAACCACGCCAGGGGTGTTTCCTGGTTCTATATAACACGGAGGCGAGCCTGGAGGAAGGGCATTCGCTTAACTCACAGGTTCATACACAAACACAACTGCCATGGATGATATGTGGACAAACTAAAAGTACCAACACCGTTAAATGATGAAATAACTTGTGTAAACATTGTTCCCCCGTGACTGCAGATACCATGGAAAGTTCTTACCATTTCATATGCTTGGAAGTGATAACGGCGGCGGGAAGCTTCTATATAAGAGAAGGGCATCACAAACAACACCGAGATGCAGCATACACAGCCTCTTGAGAAGCAATGTCTTAAGCTCCAGTGTGAAACAAGGTATTTCGGTAGGGATCCACCGTGGCGGATAGTGGTCCAATGGAAACCCTTTTAGGAGTAAGAACCCCTCGGCAGCATTGATAATATCCCATTTGTATCTGGGCAGCAATGGGATGGTCTTATCGTGCCGCCACTCATTATCACCGGCGATGCCGCCAGCTCCAATTGCCTTAGAATGGAGGTCCAAATTGCAATCACCAATGGTAAACAACCCAAGCCTGCCTTCTCCAGCCTCCACAATGGCATGCTGCCCAATTCCAAAGCAGCTCTGAGGGAATTCAACAATGGAAATCTCCATGTCGCGAGCATTGAGCATGAGTGATTTTCCCCTCAAAGAGGTAAACTAGTAGAAGCAGCCATGCGCGTATTGGCACCGGCACAACGTGAATCTGGGACGGTAGCCGTCGATTGTGACGGCACGCCAGCTCCCGGCGCTGGAAGAGAAGACGAGACGGCGACCATGGACACATCACGCGTCCAAGCTCTGCACACCACTCCGAATGACGAATCCTCCCCCTCCTCGCCGTCGCCGGCGGATGGAGCGAGGAAATAGTCGAAATGCAGCCGCCTGCAGATGCGGCGGATGTCGGACGTTAGGCCGTCGGGGATGGAGGGGATCCGGACGTACCGCCGGTGCAAAGGGTCGCAGACAACGACGTCGCCGCCGGGGGCACTGGAGGTCGAGACGAGGAAACGGCCGTCGCGGACGTCGAGGGGGAGCCAGCGGGAGCCGGTGGGTGGGGCGGGGAGGAAGGAGAAGGCAAAGTCGGCGGTGGGGGCGGCGCGGGCGGAGCGGTGGGGCGGTGGGGCGGAGCGGTGGGGCGGCTCGGCGGGGAGGAACCGGCCGCACGGGCTGGCGAAGTGTCCGATGAGTCCGAGGAGGGCCGGGGCGTGGCGGGCACGGATGCGGCGGAGGAAGGCGCGGCCGGAGATGAGGCGGCGGAACGTGGCGCAGGCGGCGGAGGCGCGGGCGAGGTCGACGGGGTCGTCGAGGTGGAGGAAGATCTCCACCAGCATCTCGTCCGGGAGAGCGGGCGCCGCCGACGGCGAGGCCATCCTGCCGCCGTGGGAAGTGGTCGGAGGTGTTGGGGAATGGATTGTTTCACTTAGGTGGAGAGGAGAATTTTCAGAATATGCCATCAAATTCGCACTACTTTCAGGATATACCACCCAATTCGTACTACTTTCAGAATACGCCATCGGAGCACGAATTTCCTTCGTTCCGTGCCCCTCCGTCTCTTCCGTCCGTAGCGCCATCGTCTTCTCCGCCCGGCGCCGCCGTCGTCAGTCCGCCATCGCCCGCGCTGGCGCCCGTGTCAGCCGCGCAGGCGTCCGTCCGTCGCCGGCATCGTCCATCCTCGTCGGCGTCCATCCTTGTCATCCACCGTCATCGTCGTCGTCATCCACGGTGTGGCGTGGGCGCAGAGGGAGGGAGTCCGCCACTGCCCGCGCCGACGTCCGTCCATCGCCGGCATCGTCCATCCTCGTCGGCGTCCATCCTCATCGTCCACCATCATCGTTGTCGTTGTCCACGCTGTGCCGTGGGCGCGGAGGGAGGGAGTCCGCCACCGCCCGCGCCGGCGCCCGTGTCAGCCGCGCTGGTGTCCGTCCGTCGCCGGCATCGTCCATCCTTGTTGTCCACCGTCATCGTCGTCGTCGTCCACGGTGTGGCATGGGCGTAGAGGGAGGGAGTTCGCCACCGCCCGCGCCGGCGTCCGTCCGTCGCCGGCATCGTCCATCCTCGTTGGCGTCCATCCTCATCGTCCACCGTCATCGTCGTCGTCGTCCACGGTGTGCCGTAGGCACGGAGGGAGGGAGTCCACCACCGCCCGCGCCCGTGTCAGCCGCGCAGGCGTCCATCCGTCACCGGCATCGTCCATCCTTGTCGTCCACCGTCATCGTCGTCGTCGTCCACGGTGTGCCGTGGGCACGGAGGGAGGGAGTCCGCCACCGCCCGCGCTAGAGCCAGTGTCAGCCACGCCAGTGTCCGTCCGTCGCCGGCATCATCATCGTCCACCGCCCGCGCCTGCACCCATGTCAGCCGCGGCGTCGTCCGTTCGCCGTCGCCGCCATCATTGTCGTCCACTGCCAGCACCGCACGCGCCATCATGGACGCCGACGAGGATGGACGATGCCGGTGACGGACGGACGCCGGCGCGGCTGACACGGGCGCCGACGCGGGTGGTGGCGAACTGACGACGGCGGCGCCGGGCGGAGAAGACGACGGCGCTACGGATGGAAGAGACGGAGGGGCACGGAACGAAGGAAATTCGTGCTCCGATGACGTATTCTGAAAGTAGCACGAATTGGGTGGAGAGGGAGTGAGGGACTCGATTTCAAGTTTAGTTCCAAAAACTTCACATCGTATCTTGAGACACATAGAATATTAAACATAGATAAATTAGAAAACTAATTACATGAAAATGATTTGATAAATTTTTTGAGCCTAATTAATTCATAATTAGCTATAAGTGCTACAGTAACCCACATGTGCTAATGATGGATTAATTAGGCTTAATAAATTCTTCTCGCGGTTTCCAAGCGAGTTATGAAATTAGTTTTTTCATTCATGTTTAAAAACCCTTCTGACATATGGTTAAACATCCGATGTGACTACAAAAATTTTCTTTTCGTGAACTATACACACCCGGAGTTTAGGACCTCACGCATGTGTCTACTCCAAAAGTGTTGTCGTTCTCCCCTATAGCTGACTGGAAGGAGATTTTGGACTATTTGCCACTCTCTTCAACGGCACATTCTCAAATACTATCTTCCCCAATGACTTTGATTATTTACCATTGTAATTATTAAATTGTTTCAATTTTGCCATTTTAGACTGTCAACACACTAAAAGAAACAGAAAATGACCTCACTGCCCCTCTCATCTCTCTCTTCTTCCTCCCTCGTCTCTGCTCTCTTCTTCCTCTTCTTCCTCCCTCATCTCTCTTCTCTTCTTACTCTCACGACATGGGAATCCCAGGTACTGTTGCAGTTGGATGGATGGCGCGAGCCTCTGGGATTTTGCGAGGAGGTCATCGACAAGCGAGGATATGTCGAGGCCATCCCAACCATAAGCGAGATACTCGTGCTGGTGAGAGAACATACAGCTTGACCTACGTTGGCTCCTGCGCAACACCCTCCCTCTCTTTGTACCTCCATTTGCGCCGCTTCTCTTAAGTTTACAGGATCTATGCGAGGTAGAGGGCCTGCAACCGAGATGTACTGCCTTTACCTCAACGACCCATCTGGCGAACCATCAAGCATCGTCGCATCCATCGCTCGGCCTGCTATCCAGCTCATCATGGCACTAGTTGTCCCTACTGCTTGGCTTGTTCCATGCCGAAGACTGGTTCATGCCATGCCAAAGAGGAAGAAGGTAGAAGGGAGATGAATGAGAGGGACAATGAGGTTATTTTCTCATCGTTGTGCTGAGTTGTCAGCCAAAGATGGCGAAACAGAATCTACTTGGTGGGTCACGATGGCAAAATTATTTTAGTTACTGGAAAGGGTGCCAGAATGCGCCATCGAAGAGAGTGGCGAATAGTCCAAAATCCACAAAGAATCCAATTAGTGTGTTTTAGCATGGAGAACTCAAGAAAATTCACACCAAGCCATTTCCACTTATTAATTAAGATTTTTGAATTAATTCTTCTCTCAAGGTTATTAGCGATTTATTAATTAAAATGTATTATTAAAGGCTAAGACGGGAAAACTTGAGCGTACGCGCGAGTTAAGCAAATCGCGCGTGCTTTACGGAAGGGAACTGGCACATGAGAAGGAAACAAATTTTTTACGTGTTTTTTTTCCTTTTTGTTCGCTTCTGTTTTTTTTCCGTTAGGCCGCATCTTTTTCTTTTCCTTTTTTTGCGCATTTTGTTTATTTAGTTTTATTTTTGTGTTATTACTTTGAACATAAATTTTCATTTTCAACTCAATAATTAAAAACATTTAACTCAAAATTTGAAACTTTTAATCCAGATTTAAAAACTTTGAACCTAGATTTAAAAATTTTTAACTTGAAATTTGAATTTTTGAAGTCAAATTTTAAAAACTTTCAACTTTTCATCTCAAAGAAAAACTTTCAACTCAGATTTGAGACTTTGAAAACTTTCAACTCAAAGTTGAAAACTTTCAACTCAAAATTTGAAACTTTCAACCCATATTTGAAAACTTTCGACCTAGATTTGAAAATATTCTACTCAAATTTGAAAACTTTTAACTCAAATTTTGAAAAATTTCAATTTTATATTTGAAACTTTCTTTATATTGGAAACCTTTCAAATCAAGATTTGAAAACTTTCTGACAACTAAAAAAGTCAGAAAATAAAACACCAAAAAGAAAATAGCGCGAGGGGTGTGCTAAAATAGGAAACATATGGCCAAAAAAAATACGGATTAGCTAGCTCACGCGCGCGAAAAAAAGGCCAGAAAAAAAGAGAGAAAATCGAAAAAAAGGAAATAGCGAGAGGGGTGCCAACTGGCGTGCGCGTGCTTCAGATAGCAATCCCCAAACTTGAGGGTGTGACAGGGTGTTTTGGCGCGGTGATGGTTCCAGTGCCATACTGCGCCCTGGACGTAGGCGAAGTTCTTATGGTCGCGGCCACGGATGAAGGCGCTTTGCGCCTGCCCGACCACAGCACCTATCTTAGTTGTGAGCCGCAAGGCCAGCACCTTGGCCAGATCTTAGTGAAACTGTGTAGGAGATGAAATCAGGCGATAGTCCCCCAATACATCCCTGCTTTTGATTGAAAGCATCATAGGTTTGCTGGGGAGACTAGCTTACATATAGTGTTTAGATTGGTGTCATTTTGAACCACACCAATAAAACTGATAAATATATTATTGTATTTAGTTTGTTACCAAATATCGATAATATTGATAACGCATAGGAAATTTTGGCACAATGTATTTATTCCATCGTACCAAATTTTGGCAATTCTATCAACTTGCCAAAAATTTGGTATTGCCAAATTTTACTAAGGTTGATTTTGGCAGTAATCTGAACAGGCCCTTAAGCATCAGGGCACATAGGCCGAAAACACTAATATGCGACTGGTTGCGCGCGTCCCTCCCCGCGCGACGCGCCACGTGGAACACGCGGAGAGGAGGACGACGGACTGCGTGTGGAACGTTGGTTTTTTTTTCTGGCTTTCTCTTTTTTTTCGTCGGTTTCTTCTGGTTCTTTTCTGGTTTTCTCATTTAATTGTTTTTTTCCATGGGTTTCTTCCTTTTTTATCTCTTCCTTCGGTTGTTCAGTAGCATGTATACAAAGTTTATATACGCACGTATACAAAGTTTGTATACATACATGTATACAGTTTATATACATGTATATATTTTTACACACATACAAAATTTGTATACGCATGTATACAAATGGTTTTTTTTTGTTTTTCCCTGGTTTATTTTTGGTTTTTAAATATGTAAGTGCATATACAAACTTTGTATATGTGCAAACTTTGTATACGTGCGTATACCAATTTTGTATATGAATTAATACAAACTTTTTGTCTACGCATATATATTGTTTATACCATAAAAGTGTATATGTATAAATGTACATATATGAAACATAGATGAAACATATTTATCTCCTTGTACACAGTGATTGCAATTCCAGAACGAAATTTCTGTAATTTCGTCTCCCACCCGAAATTTTTCCCTTTTCTTTTCCATTCTTTTTATGAATTTGGTCAAACTGTATTCAAATTCATTCAAAATTCGTCAATGTTTCAAAAAATTTCAGCCAAAAAGTATCAAAATTTCCAAAAATTTAGAGATTTTGGTTCTTTCGGCCACCCCCAGCAAAAATCACAATTTCGAGATTGCTAACCTTGCTTGTACTACGTAAATTATAAGTGACTGAGCATACTAAAAGGAAATATGTGTCATCAACTAGTAATCTTTTTTCCCTTACAGGTCATGCTATGTCCAAGCCACCAGTGTCCAGTAAGCTCGTGTAATGAACTAGACCAAAAACAAAAACACATTCTACAGACATACAGCAAATACGGACTTGATAAGCGAGGGCAAGATGAAACACAAAATAATTTCATTCCGTAGACCGATTCAACAAAACACTGGGTGCATATACAATTGTGATGATGATATGCAAACAATCTAAAGTACCATTGTACCAACACAATTGAATTCTGAAATAATAAGTCGTGTAACATCCCTATTGACAGACATATATAAGGTATAGAACATCACTCAATCCATTCGCTATTTCGCTCCAACATGGAAACTTAGAACAAACATATTTATCTCTTTAATACTCCGCAAACTGTAAATGGCTCTACAGACTACACTAAAACATTAACAGAGTTCCTAAGGAAATATGTCTTGTCAAACATGCCAGTAACTTTTGGAAGATTTTACAAATGCCACATTGGTGTAAACTACAAATGTACAGGCCACCAGTAAGGTCGTGTAACCGATTATACCAAAGAAAAACACATCAAGGTACACATACAACAAATATGACTTTATAAGTGAGAGTGAAACGTGAAACAATTTCGCTCCCTAGCCCTATCTGATGGAATACTGGGTGCATACACAATTGTCAAGGATGATGAATGAGGCAAGGAATCACACACATGTTTGAACTCTGCTTCTCCATTGCCTTCGACAGGCTGCCAGCCCTAGCAAGCCATCAAGATTGAGCTACGATGGGGAGAGAGGGCAATGTTAGTCATGTACATATTGATTTTTGTACAAAAATTCGGAGGAAATCTAACGGTTGTTTGGACGCAATGTTATGAGAGGGAACAACGACAACTTAAGTTGCTAATAAAGTAAACCTACATCTTTCAGTGTCCCATTAGAAGTTCAAGTATAATTCTTTCAAACCATAGACCATTAAGTTTAGTGTCCTGCTTACATTGCCAACAACAGTGTATACATAAAACTGTGTTATCAATTTAGCCATATGCCTGTACACGACTAAAGGGAATAGAGCGGATAGGTGTTCAGACTTAGACCCAACTTAGTTAACAGCGTTCTTCACACAAAAAGAGAGAACACAAAAGGAGACTACATTTTTACACAAGATTGCTGTTGCACACTGTAATGCTGGATCAGATTGCTCAAATATAGCAAAGAAAAGGTCAGAGGAACATTAAATTTTAATTCATCATTCGTATGCTCTACCATGTATATATTGAAAATGCAAAACATATATGAATTACTAGTTGAGCGACGTACATTTCTTCGTCAGAGGCTGATCATGCGTTGAATACCACCACTGAATGTGCTTGAGCCTAGAACACCGATTTAGCAATGCAAGGAAATCTTCACTGATATGGACAAAGCATAGACGTTGGAGGGATGGAAGAAACTCGATGCCAGGTGGAATATCCATCAGCTTGTCAAGGTGTCTAAGCTGCAAAACACGAATACCTATCCCGGCACCTTCCTCAATCTCTAACCGATGTAGATTAGGCAAGTCCCGCAGTAACAGAAACTTCAAACTGGGAAACCAACCGCTCCTGAATATTAACAGTTCCCCAACATATGCTCTTGTAAGATTCAGCTGTGTCAGATTACATAATCGAGAGATAGGCGGGAGGGGATCTTGTTTCAACTGAGACCAAACAAGAAAAAGTCCACGCAATTTCTGTCCACCAGTTTGGAAAAGAGGAGACTCAAGTGTCCCCTCTGCCAATCTCCCTCTCAAACAGAGTTTCTGAAGGCTTAGCGGTGGGGGATCTAGCTTATTCAGTTGAACCTCACTCTCGTCACATGCAGCTATATGAATGTGGTACAAAAATCTCATCTTAAGTATAGACACGCAGAGGCGTTCACAGTGGATTTCCTTCACATTCCACACCCTTAAGCTTTTTAGCTGTGTCAACTCCCCCAAGTCTTTAACAGTCCGGTCCTGTGCTTCAATTGCATGTAATGTCTGCAGATTTGTGAAATTCGAAAGACCCTTTGGGATGCAAACACCGTGGCGACTTCTAAAATCCCTCCATGACGGATCATTGATTCTCTCAACAAGTAAGTGCCTCAGACTCTTCAGCTTGACTATTCCTTGAGGCAGTTCTTGTATGTAGGAGTTGAAAATATCCAACGTCAATAAGTTGGAGAGCCTCTCCACGGACTTGGGGAGAAACTTCACCTTCGAATGGCGCAAACCCAAATAGCGTAGGTTGAAAAGGCATCCAACAGCATCTGGCACTTTTTCAATCGCCAGCCCACGTAGTTCTAGTACAACAATGTACTTTGACTTGTCTGATATTGACTTAATTATTCTCAAGGATGGCATGGCCTTATCAAATACAATGCAAGATCGAAGACGAGGTAAGCATATACTTGATAAAATATTATTGCTGCATTTAGCTACCGCGAGACGGCGTATGCTTGTGTCCATGGTACTACAACGATTTCCATACTCGTAGTATGCAAGACCAAAACTTTGTTTCTGAGACAGGTCAATCGCCAACTCACGAACAATGTCATGCATCTTACAGGATTTTATTCTGCCAAATGAGTTGCATTCCATAAGCTGCAGCATATTTCTGTGAACCAGCTCAATTAAATAGCCTTCCGCCACATCTTCGAATGTATTCTCACCCTTTTCCTCAATGAACCCCTCTGCAATCCATAACCTTAAAAGCATCTTCCGATGAAGAATATAGTCCTCTGGAAACAAGGTACAATACAGGAAACAACTCTTCAGATAAGTTGGGAGGTATATGAAGCTTAAGTACAGAATATTCCTAACGTGGTCTAAGCCTGGGTTGTTATTCAGCTCCCAACTGAGTTGGTCATAAATTCGTCTCCATTCTGTTGGATTCTTCTCACGCACGGACAATAGGCTTCCAACAGACACAATAGCAAGAGGCAAGCCTTTACACTTGTTCAACATTTGTGTCGCCAAATTCTTCAGCTCAGTGGGACATTCGTGATTTGCTTCTCTCCGGAAAGCTTTCTTACAAAAAAGTTCCCAAGACTTTCCTTCTGACAAACCCTCTAGTGTTAGCACACGTCCTTCCGATGCGAATTCTGCAACATTACCAATACGTGTAGTAATCAGCAATCTACTTCCCTTAAAATTCTGAGCAAGAGCTCTTGACATATCGATGATTACTTCTGGTGTCCAAACATCGTCCAACACTATCAAGTATTTCTTCTCTTCAAGGAATCTCCTAAGTATCTCCTGAAGATTGATTATGTCGATACTGCCAATATTACTCTGAATATTTTCCTCATGAAAAAGCTGGACGCTTAGCTTTTTTAAGAGCTCCATCAGCGAATATGTTTGTGAAACAGATACCCATGCATGACAGTCATAATATTCTTGTTCATGCTTGTACACATTTGCAGTTAGAGCTGTTTTACCAAGGCCTCCCATGCCATGAAGAACTATTGTAGAGCATGCCATCCCATCTTCTCTCATCCAATTGAACAATGTATCTCTGTTTTCTTCGATTCCCACGAGATCTTCGCAAATAGAACGGGAAGTACTTGCTAGATGTTGGGACTTCTCGACAATATAGCCAGAATTGTTGGCATACCCAGGGCTTGCATTAGGAATCCATCGATCTTTTACTTGAAATAGGTGGACGAGACTGGACTCTGCTTCCTTTATGAGGCAGACCATCCGGTTTAATGAACGCAAAGCTTCAGGTTGATTGATTCCCTTCTTCAGATAAAAGCTCCATCCTTTGTCATGTCTCTGCCTTACTAAGTGTAGATACTCATCTACTATGTCCTCAATTCCATGTGCTAGCTTCCGCACCTCATCCACCCAAATTTCATATGCCTGATCATTTCGATTGCGTACGTCCATTCTGCAAAGAAATTCATGCATCAACCTAAGCTCACGACATATGCGGCTCATGCTGCCTTGGAGTTCTGCAAGCTGTGCAAACAAGTTTCTGTACAGTGAACTTGCTTGGTTGATTACTTCATTTCCTAGAGCAGCACCAATTTTCTTCACAACTAAAAGTATCACTGCTTCTGCCATTACTCTCGATTTGTAAATTCACTGAATTATTAGCTTGGATAAATACTCTCTCAAATTTTAAGAGATCTGCAAGAGAGTCATCATATTAATGCATTGTGTAGATCTATCAAATTGGATGACTACTTAACAAACAGTGACCATAATCATTGCATCATAAATTACAAGGGCTGATACAAACATCATGGTCAGCCAACATCCTTTCAATTATATCACCAACATATAAAGTTGCATTCGTTATGTTAAAATAATCATCCCCTGCATAGTTGATATTTCAGAGAACATCCGTTACTATGTGTTAATGACAACTAGCTTTTTTGGTGGTCAAAAACATTCCATACCATTTTTATATATGACATGCTGGAAAATATATTGCATGTTATCGTGATTGGCAGGCTTTGATCAACCTCAATCAATCAAATCTGAATAGGAATGTGGGCTCTTATGTTTCTATGTCCGCCAAGCCACTGATATGCCCTTCAATGAACTCGAAAATGGGAAGACACCAGCTAGAATGGATATGAATTGAGATAAGGAGGAAATGGAAGGACCTCAAGGAGCTGTTCAATTTTGGCTTGTCATTATTTGCCCCCAATTCTCAGAAACTGGCTGGCTGCGCTCTAGCCCAAGACCAGTCCTGGTAAATGTAAAATGGATTTGATTCACTACATTGGATACAGCAACGTCGTTTGGTTTCTAATCATTTCTTTTTATGTTTCATACGAACTTCCACGATATTAGCTAGGAATACAGGATTTCAATTGGGTCCTATCTTACTTAGATTACCCTCCATCAATATTATCGTAACTTTTTTTTTGTGGGCATGTGCGGCACCAGAATGTGGCCTTCCCTGATATCTAAATCTCTACTGTTGGAATTATTATATGGACCACTAACTGATCTCGTTATTAAACGTAATCTAAACATAAAGAGCCTACGTTCTGTTGTAATTAATTACTAAACTTGAATCACCTGGACCTATTTCCCTTTCCTATTTCGGGCATGCGCCAGGATTTAACCCTAAAGTTTTGTTAATAAGAAGGAATGAATTTTCAGAAAAAAAAAAAGCATCCGCCCAGGAGAGATACCGCTGCTTTCGCTGTCGATGGCAACGCCGGGAGAGGGGAGACACCACCGTCGTCGGTCGCCGCCGCCGCTGCATGTCGGTAGGAGCAGAGCCCCCACCCGCACTGGATCCAGCCGGCTGCCAGCCGATGGCCGCCCCAGCACACCTCTGCGCCGGATCCAGGAACCCACCCACACATATCCTTAATCCTTCTAACCCCCGCTCCCCGCTTTTGCATGCTGCCTCCCCAGTCGCCATAGACCGAGAATAGATGGAGGAACTCGAACCAGGTCTCATTATAGATGGCCATATGGCCCGAGGGCCGACAGCCAGGCTCATGGCAAGGTGCTTTGGCCCAGCCCAGGCATGGCATGGCCCGATTGATGACGGGCCCGAGAGTTGGGCTGTGCCTGGGCTGCTGTCTTGGCACGGTGGGTTGACCCGGCACGAACGTGAGGGATGCTAGATAGACTTACTTTCAGACATACTCCCTCCATTCCAAATTGATTTACATATAGTTTTTTTTTAGTTTATTCCTAAATGATCTATATATTTGTGTTTATTCATTAAGTCTATTCGTTATTTGTGCATTGGAGTAAATGGACATTGATGCATACATCCATGAAGACAAGTATTTATAACCCACATGCAATATATTGATTTGCTATTGGCTAGGAAATAGTGGGGATGATGCATGCATCGAGTTTGTCGCTAAAGTAAATATAGTATGGGAGAGTTATTAACTTTTCTTGGTCTTGGTGTACCTATGAAATATGTAGATCAATTTGGAATGGAGGGAGTATATAAGGCACTACCCAAAGCACAGGAAGGAAAAATAGACTTATTTCATCCATACATAAGGCATAGCCCAAAGCGGAGGGATGCAAAATAGACTTATTACATGGCCCAAAGCAAGGGGATGAAAAATAGACTTATTTTTAAAAAGGCACGATGAACTGCCATGCCTTTGAGCAAGCCCAACACTTAGGCCTTGTTCAATTACACAAGGATTCGTTCCAAGCCAGGAATGATAGGTATAACAAAAAATTTATAATAGGTACAACAAGAGACTGGAATTTATTCTGGGTCGAGAACCAATTTACTCATATTAGGTACAACAAAACATCTGGATTAGTTCCACACCTCTTGACTAGTGGATTGATTCCCGATCTCTTATTGTCCCTATCATGAGTAAATTGGTTCCCGGTCAAGAATAAATCCAAGTCTCTAGTTGTATCTATCATAAATTTCTTACTATACTTGTCATTACCGGCCCGGATTGAATTCCTGTGTAGACCTTATTGGGTCATGCCTGGGCCTAGGTGGAGCCTGTAGGCGGGCATGGCCCGGCCCGGCCGTTGAGCGGGCCGTGCCTAAGCCGTACCGGGGTGGACAGTCCATTTGGCGATCTGTAGGTCTGATGGACATTTTGGATGGAATATATGAAACAGGCGCGTGTATTTATCGCAACACAAAACAAAACATGGGGAAAACCACCCCAAATGTCATTATAGTTTTACATGATTCATCGTAAATACCTATTCACCTTGATTTGAGATTCTCTAATTACCATTACTCGTTCATTCTCATAGTCATAAACCACACACGTGCTCATACAAGTACTAATACGTGAGTAGCCCTGGTCGTCACTCATATCGGCCAGACCCGATGACACAACCTCACTCATAACGTCTTGTTGGCGAGTACATTGTTGGGTGGTTCGCTCCTGAACATTGGTGCCACTCACGATAAATTGTTGTGCTTGTCTTATGGGATTAGGTGGCAGCTGGTTTCTTTGGCAAATTCAAAATGAGATAGATGAGTCCGATACGATTATGTTGTTTGGGGGCCATGTTCTAGACAGATACGCTAAGTCATGTAACACATAAGGAAGAGGCACAAGGAACATATGAACATCGGCAATTGGAGAGAAATATCAAACAAATGTGATTTAAGATGGAGGTATTTGCAATGAATCGTCTTACAGAGGGAATCGACATCTGGGGTGGTTTTTATAATTTTTCCAAAAACTTGAGCTTCCAAAATCAACCACGAGATATACCAATTAGTAACTATACAAGAGATATAACTAGTTTATTCATCCAAAAGAATATATCAATTTTGTTCAAAATATAGTACGCCACTGTAAATACATGGTAGACTCTCAATTTAGAATTTTATATTGGTTTAATTCTAAAATTAATAATTAACAAGTTATAATTGGCGCATATAATTTTCTTTTATACTAGAGGAAACCACGTGCGTTCTTGCATGAATTTAATGTAGTAATAGTAGAAATAACATGTAACATAGCTAGACGTAAATTTGTATTTTTTTTTATTGATCATTGAAAAGGCTACAAATAGTTATATTGATCATTGAAAAGGCTACAAATAGTTAAGTTGATGTGGTTTATGATAATTTAAATGTAATATAGATTGATAATACTTCCTCCGTTTCACAATGTAAGTCATTTTAACATTTAATTTAAATGTAATATGTCTAGATTCATTAGCATTAATATAAATATATGTCTAGATTCATTAGCATCAATATGAATGTGAAAAATGTTAGAATGGCTTACATTGTGAAACGGAGGGAGTAGAAAAGTAAAAGTAATGTGATGTGTCTTCTTAAATGAAGAAAATGAGAAAAATAATTTAGACTACGGATTAATCATTCATAACTATAAACAATTGAGATAATATAGTTTATATAAGAGAAAATTGAAAGCATTAATTATGTAGGAAAACATTAACTAAGTATGAATGAGCTATATAGATACATAGAAATGAACCCTCGATTTTGGTGGCCAAAGCTCCAGACGAGTATCTGGCCAACGTGGGAACGTGTTTAATGACTAATCAAATCAATGTGCTTAGCGGCGGCTGGTCCGGTGCTAGTCTTCTCCCGGATCTATGTGTTGGCGCTGTCAGTGTGTGGGTGGTGTTTTCCTTTTTTCTGGTTACGACCTTTCAGGGTTGCAATCTTGTAAATTTTTCCTGCTCTATCAATGGAACATCGTTAAAAAAAAATCAACATGGTAAATACGCTTGTATTTGTCCATCTTTAGACCTGGGAATAATTCAATAATTTCTGTTAACATTTTTTTTCGGACAAGAGATGCAATTAATTTGATGGTAATTATCTATCCATTTAATTAGTATCTAATTAACAATACATGCTACAGTAATTACAATAAGTTTAACCGATGAGTATTGGTCAGGCATATTTCAGCAACCAAACAGACTATGCTTCAGGCAGGCTGCCTGACCAGGCTAAATTCACTGGTTTCTCAAGTACCCTAAGTAGGGGTGAAAATGGAGCGGATAGTTTTCGTCCGCTCCGGACAAAAACGGATACGGATACCTTTCAGATCGGATAATTCTCGAATAGTTTAGATACGGATACGAATACGGATATTTTCTCCCGGATACGAATACGGATATGGTATCGGGGTTTCCGTCGGATATGGATAATAATTCGGATATCTGGTGAATAGTGCTATTCGGATATCCGCAGAAGCTATGAGACATACCCAATTTCTTTCTAACTCTATAACCTTCAATATACCTTTATAGATTTTTAATAGTAGTTTATCTCTTAACACTAGTCCATACTATTAATATTATTTAAATTTTTAAAAATATTTATAAATTATACTTCATTTTATATAAAATGAGCTAATTATATATGTTGGTATTTGTTTCAATTAGAAGTTGAGTTGGTTTTCGTGTTCCAAGAAAAAATTTGTTTCCGTATTCGTGTCCGATCATATTCGATTCTTATTCGTATTCGAGATAATCCGTATTTATTTCCGTATTTGAGCTATCCGTATTCGTTTTTGTATCCAGTAAAAAAAAATGAAAACGAATATGGCATGAGCATTATCCGTTCGTATCCGCTTTTTTTTCATCCCTACCCCTAAGGCACACAAAATCTCAGGCAGGCTACTAAGCTGTGTTATTTGGTGAGGGTTAGGAACCCTCACCTCTTACACGGAAAACAGAGCAATGGATTAATACATGATTAATTAATTAATTAATTATTAGCTTAAGAAACTTCAAAGATGATTAATATAATTTTTAAAGTAATTTTTCTATAGAAATTTTTTGCAAAACATGTACCATTTAGCATTTTGAAAAGTGTGTGTGTGCAGTAAACGAGAGAGTGAGGTTGTGAACTTGGACTTAAGAACCCAGGCACCAACCAAACAAACTTGAGTGTTACGATCCAAACTAAGTAACCACAAATTAAATCAAGAATAAGAGAAATACCAACAATTCAACACAAATATTCAGGTATATGAGATACAATACAGGATTGGGAAGAAGATAGACTAGAAAGAGGCATATGGGATTGGAGAACTAGAGAAATAGAATCAAGAGTAGGGGAAGAAGCATTTGGAAGGAGGAGAGCTGAGGCTTCACCCTTCTATTTAACTACTAGTTGATACCCCGCGTTTTGTTGCGTAATATATGTATGAATATATATTATATATTATAAAAATGATAGAGGTATATATTTAAATAAAATAAAAATGATATGAAGATAATAATTTGATATTGCTTACATATTAAGTTCTAAAAATATAACAAAATTGGAAATGACATGTCATGCTTGCCTGAATTTAAAATATTCTATAAAATAATTATAAGTGGGTGATGATGTGGCACACTTACCTATGATTTCAAATACTAGAATATTTTTTGTGAGTGATAATATGACACACTTGCATGTTGAACTTTATAAATTATTGGGTATTAACTATATAGTATAAATTGTTCATCCATACATAGCATTTTTTTGGTTGCTTTGCCTCTTTTCTAGTAGTCTCCTTTTTCCTAGCCAAGTGGGCCCACGTGACACCGCGTGGGAGAAAAATGAAATATATATCTATGTAAAAATAGGGTTGTCAAAATCTGCATCTTCCTCCATATAATTCTAGCCTTTTTGCTTTTAAAAATCATTCGGATGGAATAATTGTATATTTGAAACAACTCAAGGGGAGCAGCTGTTTTGGATCAGGATGACTGAGCTGGAAAGTCAGAACACTTTACGTGCTTCCTGACTTTAGCGAGGTTAGTTTGTCACTCAACCATCTCATAATATAATAATCTAAACCATATGAGATATTTGATAGTATAACATCCTTTTATCCAGATTAGTTGTACTACATCCGTTTCAAAATACTTACGTTTTGAGTTTTTTTTTAACGTTTGATCATTCGTCTTATAAAAAATTATAGAATTATTATTTATTTTGTTTGTGACTTACTTTATTATCAAGAGTATTTTAAGTACTTCCTCCGTTCCACAGTGTAAGACTTTCTAGCATTGCCTATATTCATTTATGCATGTGCTTAGATTTATTAACATCTATATGTATGTGGACAATGCTAAAAAAATCTTACATTATGAAACGGAGGGAGTATGACTTATCTTTTTGTATTTACACTAATTTTTCAAATAAGATGAATGGTCAAATGTTGCAAGAAAAAGTCAAAGCGACCACTAATTTAGGACGGAGGTAGTAATATGAAATGTCATATCCGATGTTAGGTTACCATATTAGGGACAGAGGGAGTATCTCGATATCGCTTTGATTTTGCAGCAACCTCGTTACTCCCTTCATCGTAAAATATAGTGGATTTAAGTTAGATGGAACGCATGCTAGTACTATGAACGTGGACACACTTAGGACTACAAATCTCAACAGGAGAAAGTATATTTTAGCTAAGGAAAAGACCTTATATTTAGGAAAAAGTATATTTTTGCCGTAATCAGCTGAAATTGCAATTATCCTCAAATCGAAATAGCCCTTGCCCCTTTAAGATGCTTCACAAAGCCAGAACATATGGCTACCTTTATCTAACTGGAATTCTCGAGAGACAAGGATAAAAAAATACGAAAAAATAGATTGTATTGAAACTTTTACAGAGGAAAACAGCGGAACATGTAAATGTTTAGCCAAGATTCTGTTGATGGTTATTCCTTATGCAATTATCAGTGGAAGTTAATCTTTAGAACATGAGTGATTAAGGCAAACTAAGCGCGAGATGTACCTCCGATATACCGTCAAGAAATTTCACGGAAACTCTGGCGCGCTGGGGCAGATCAGCATAAAACTGCCGATGATCACTAGTACTAGTTCACTTTTCAGCATCAAGATCTTATGTAATTATTATATTGTACACACATGAAATAAATAGAAACTTTAATTTGGAGTTGAAACGTGAAAAACATTACCTCAATCCCAGGGCTGATATATACTCCATGAGATTAATCAGATGATCCTCCTTTCGCATCTCTCAAATCATTCCCTCTTGTAATCCTATCCTACGGCAATTGCAGCTCGAAACTATATATACTAGCGCTCCGTGTTGACGCACTATTGCTAGTCTTGATGAGCACATAGTTATATTACGCGTGACTACCTCTCTGCTTAAATATATATGAAATTATTGATTTTATTTGATTGTTAAAGTGCAAGTGTGCAACTTTGGACGAGAATATGTGCTCCATCAGTCCCAAAATACTAGCTAAAATAGTCAGCAATGATTGTATCTTGCAACGAATGGAGTAACAAAATTATAATATAATAAAAGTACTTATAAAGAAAAATCTAATCAAATGGTTTTTTTTATTTTCAACCTAAATATTTTGAGAGTTACAGTTCTTCAAAATGATAACTTTTTTCTAGATAATGGACATATCATTAAACAATTAAATACATCTGGGCATTGCATCAGAACGTAAAATTCGAACACTTTGACTATTGGTTTCTCACATGATGTGTTGCCCTTTACACCCTCCGTAAAAAAAAAAATCTCTAGCTATGAACCTGAATACGTGCGTCTTCAGATTCATAGCTAGAACAAAAAAAATGATAATAGGCTACAACACGGTTGATAAGAATGGGCAGAAATGATCGTAAAGATTTTGAACAAATAATAACTGTATAAATTTCAGGTGAAGTGATGTGACATAATAATATTTATGCATATACATGCACATAATTTGACTCATTGTGTATCAAATTCTCTGAAGTCTAAACCTTCTGCAAATTCCTGCTTCTTCATTGCATTCAACGGGCTGCCTCGCCGTCAAAGTTGAGCATGATTTATTGGTTGGGGAGAGGGAAATGTTGGTAATGGACATATTGTTTGTTGGTAAAAAAAAGGGTGAAAATCTAATTGTTGTTTGGACGTAATGTTAAAAGCTGGAACAAAGACGAATCGCGTGTTGCTAATAAATGACACGCACACAAAAAAATGACAAACTTGCAGAAAACTATAGAAGAGGGCTACAAAAGCCACCCGGAGGAAACAAAACAAAAAGGGCTTAGATCAGCCTTTTTACTCACAGCCTGGGAAATCTGGAAAGAGTGAAATGCAAGAATACTAGTCCGCATCCAAAACGAGCTGGGATGCTGGGGCTTGGCCGGTGCGAAACACATTGGAAGATTATTGCTATGAGGATCATGGAAAACGGATGCTGGGGCTTGGCCGGTGCGAAACACATTGGAAGATTATTGCTATGAGGATCATGGAAAACTGACGTGCAAGCATGTTTGCATTCAGGCATGTACAGTTTTTTTCCTCTCTTTCAGCCTCTGGCTGTGTAACTTTTCCCTCTATTGATATAACGCCAGTCAATCTGATTGGCCGTTCGAAAAAAACAAAAGATCTATTGATGTATGTATATTTTTCATCAAATCCTAGTGGGATCATGCCCATGGGTACCAACCAGGGTTTCCCAAACCGCCGGGGCTGGGGTTACCGCACCCCGGCGGTAAGCACGGTTACCGCGCGGTAACCGCGGTAACCGTGAAAAACCGTGCAAAATTTATCAAAAATTCAAATTATTTTTTAAATTTATTTGAATTTAAGGAGGTTACCGCGGTATTTATATTACCGTACCTCGCGGTAAGCCCGGTAACCGCTCGGTAAGGTAAACCCTGGTACCAGCACAATCCGCAAGCAAAAAAAGAAAAAAAAAGGGGTCTTAGTCCACGGTTCTTCAACAATCCAACCTTAGCTTGTCTTCTGCTCCAATGCCTTCAAATGCAGCATCTGCACAGAAGAATTAGATCTTGTGCATAAAAAGAGAGCAACTCACGGAACAGCGAAAGAAGACTAGTATCTGCACAAGATCTACCGATGTATATATTTTTCATCGAATTCTGGACTCCTTGTGGGATCATGTCCATGGGCACCAGCACTGTCTGGAAGCAATGATAACAATAACAAAAATCTTCGCCCACGGCTCTTCAACAATCCAATCCAGCTTGAGTGCTCAGTGCTCACTCGTTTGCTCCAATGACTTCCATTGATACATAAAACATGTGCAAAAAAATTGCAATGAGAAGCGATGACATAGTATACAAAACCCAAAGTCATTCTGAGTTACTATAATGCCAAACAAACAGCCCCGCTAATTTGCAGTAAAACGATTAGATTATTGTCCAGTTCTATGAACAAATCGACTATAACAATACTCAAGGTCCAACTTGTAGGAATCCCACTGGAAAATGTCTTTCAAAACAAGCCAGAGTAAGTTTGATAAAACATAATAGGTTGGGTTACTTAATCTGCCCGCAAAGCATACAATATGCATGTTTCCAACCCATTTTATCCTAACCGATTGATCTGCCAACTGAATCTGGTTACAGAATAACATTAACATGAATATCTGAATTTTCATCTGTGTTTTCTGCGACTCACAGATGTTTCATTCAAACATCTGCCATCCATACAAAAGTTAGTCTCGCTAACTAAAAGTGATGGAAACTAACAAACAGAAAGCAACGAACTTTCATGTATTTTATTTAAACATAGCCAGTTTTACATAATGATTTTATACCTACAGCCGTACATAAAACTATATTTAGTTATAACGTAAAACATTACAGGGCTATATATGCATTAATCTAACAACAAAGTGAACGGAGACCAAGTTAAATTAGTTAGACAACAGTTTAATATCATACTGTAATAAAGGCATTCCAGCAACTAAGTACATGAAAACAACTAGATCTTTTTATGCTAATGTAACATTAAAACGAGGACTACCTGCAGTGTAGAAACTTGTGAAGGGATGACAGCAGGTGATGACATTGCAATCAAAGAGTTTCTTGAACTGCATTGAGTCAACTTGGACCATGTAGAAAGCCATATCCACCACTAAAATAAACGCATTAAGATCCTCAGCATATCCCACAATATCTATTTTCTCTCTCTGCACAGCAGAACTCAGCCCAAGAATGCCATGCAGCTTGACAGTCTTCCGTAGCACCCATTTCGCGGCACCTCCAAGAGTGACCTTCCTCTCCCACATTTGGAATCCGCTGTACGACAGAATGGCAAGGCTGACATTATCATCCTCCCTACGCATGATACAATAGCGGCAATCGCTAGAAAAATTCGTCTCTGGCCAATTGCCATCGGTCACAGCTAGGGTCAACGTTTCGAGATTGAACTCAAGAATGTGATGCCCGGACACAGATAGCAACCAATAGAGGGCATTGCCAACAAGTATGGCAGGTGAACCAAAATGGTAGATGGTGGATACAGGCCCTGTGAAAATGGCATCACCCCATTCGCCGGTCACCAATGAGTAAACGGAGGCAAAGATTCGCCTATCCATCTTGCTGGCGCAGATCAGGACCAAGTTGAAGACCAACTTTAGATGCACTACTGAAATTAGTACAAGGAATGATGTGCAATGGAGCAGTTGGAGAGAAAGCAAAGCTTGCTATGTCTATGCGACGACCTTGTTCAAGTAGTAGCTTTGGATTCTGACCATACAAGGAGATTTTTTTTTTCAGTCAGTGTAATGCACATTTTTAATCTGCCAAGCCAGAAATTGACATCCAAATTCCCTCTCAATGCATCTGCAGTAGCATTTGCTGCGGCAAGTGTCCCTATGAACTGCATCTGCATGGCAATTTTCTTCAGATATTTGTACTAATCGTGGATGGTCCTTAGGGTTCGCACTTCCAAATGCGAGCATTTTGAAGAGGTAGCTCAATTCTTCATCTGAATGGTTGTTAAGAAACATTGGCTTTACAGTTCCAAGTTTCTCTGATTTTCTAAGTCTGCTTATGGTTACCACCTTGCTTCCCTCATTCATTTGTGCCACGGATTTATAGAATTCCTCCCAATTCATCTCATTCACATCTGAAACAAACTCCACAACCATCAAAATGTTCCCTGCCAAGAGAGTATGATTGTGTGCTATTCCCAAAAGATCACCTTCATTCAAATGCAAAATGGAAGAAAACTGTGATTGAACCCTCTCGTCGGCGCATACATGCGCAACCAGAGTTTTCTTCCCAACTCCAAGAGCACCAATGATTGGAAGAACAGCAGGCTGCACACCAGGAGGGTTGTATTCCAATAGGAAATTCAGGAGCCTCTGCTTTTCAGAATGACGGCCAAACATGAAGTTATCTATGTAAAGATAGGTATCATATGGTCTCCTTGACATCCGATCGCATCCACCCAAAAGAACAACAAATTCTGCCATGTGATCAACAGCAGTTTCTAATATTTCCAAAGTTCTGTGCAACTCAAGGTGCCTGGCCTTGTCCTTTCCAGAAGCATCAACAATTTTGCAAAAACGTTTGAGGGGAGGAAATGGGTTGCTAACCTCCTTGATGGGATCCTCCTGAATTAGGGTCCTGCACCTGAACATGTCCAGGACATGGTGGCCTCTGTACATGGCATCAGCAAGTGCCTTCAGCTGCATCAGCATCCCGGAGTTGGTGATGTATCGCCCATCTGCCTCCTCGACAACCATGGAAACTCGTAGGAGAAGCTGCTGCAGTCTTTTCAGCTGCTTCTCCTCTGAGATTTCATGTCTTCTTGAGTACTTGCTCATGAGGTAGGAGATGAACCGGGTGACCAGTTCACCGGTTACTGCTGATACGACATGCTCCATATCCAAACCTCGAAATTTAACAGAGAGATGAGAGATCAAATTTAGCTGTTGTGTGTGACTGAAATTTCAGGGAAGATTGTTTGCTTAAATTGGTAGTCATCTTTGTCAGGTCCGTCAAAATTGTTGGCTTCTATTTGTGATATTTTGGCCCTCGGAGCAACTATTTAGAAGAATCTTAAAAAAAAACATCTGGATGTCCTGACAAACTAGCCTGGCAGAGCAAGTGATTTTCCTAGGCAGACATAGGATATCTCATGATTGGCATACTGTTTAACTTAAATATTTAGTAGTACATTACTATTTTCTATTTTTTTGTCACAATGCCACACATAGTTGATATTTTATAGAACTTCATCTATCAACTGTTTCTGTGGGGAGTGAATTTCCCGAAGAATGAACAAAAATAGGCATTTAGGTCTTGGCCTGTTTGAAACCTCAGCTCAACCATGCGAAATAATTAACATTGCCAAAATAAATTACACCTATTTGGTGAGAGACCTAAGAAATTGGTGCTACAAAATTATCTGGCATCACTTTGAAAGCTATACAAATTTTAGGCCTAGTCATTCTTGCCAAAAAAAATACTCCCTCCGTTTCAAGTTATAAGACGTTTTGACTTTGGTCAAAGTCAAACTATTTTAAGTTTGACCAAGTTTGTTGGAAAAAGTAGTAATATTTTCATCCCAAGACAAATTTATTATAAAAATATATTCAATTATTGATTTGATGAAACTAATTTAGTATTATAAATATTACTATATTTATCTACAAGCTTAGTTAAATTTAAAACGGTTTGACTTTGACCAAAGTCAAAACGTCTTATAACCTAAAACGAAGGGAGTAGCAACAATTCAGACAACTTGCCAAATGTTGACCATGGCCAAATATTTTCATAGCCAGAATAATTGGTAAGGCTAATACTGGCATAGAACCAAACAGGCTCTTACTCTAGTATTCACTTCTTTCATCTACCACTGTTCCTCCGGGTACAAAAGCAAAATCAAGAATGGTAGGGTAGCATCTTATCTTGGCGACTATAATTTTAGTCATATAGCATTGAAAGTTATTGGTTTCAGTATTTTTCTTCTCATCTTTGTCACATTGAAGCCAGATTCTATTAGCCATAATGCCCTTATTTTGCTCGCATTGGAGGCGTCAGCAATGATAGTGAGGGTGATGGATAAGGCAAGGAGCCACACACATGTTTGAACTCTTTCTCCATTGCCTTTGACAGGCTGCCTGCCAGCCCTAGCAATCCATCAAGATTGAGCTAAAATGGACAGAGAGGGCAATGTTAGTAATGTGCATATTGATTTTTGGACAAAAAAATCGGAGGAAATCTAACGGTTGTTTGGACGGAATGTTATAAGAGGGAGCAAAGACAACTTTAGCTGCTAATAATGTAAATCCATGTCCTTCAGTGTCTCAATAGAAGTTCAAGTATAATTCTTTGAAAGTATAGACCATAAGTATCCTGCTTACATTGGTAACAACAGAATGTACATAAAACTGTTACCAGTTTAGCCATATGCCCATATACGACTAAAGGCAATAACCAGAATTTGTATTCAGACCCAACTCAGCTAACAGCTCTATTGATACAAAGAGATAGAAACTCGAAAAACACTCTTAAAGGAGACTAGTAGACTACTGTTTTTACACAAGATCTATTGATGCATATTTTTCACATCCATGACCCATGGGCACCAGATATGTCTAGAAGCAAAAACAAGAAGAAAACACCTTTTTTCACAGCTCTTCAACAATGCAATCCAGCTTATTGAGCTCACTCGTCTGGTCCAATGGCTTCCATTGCTGCATAAAAGATTGGATCTTGTTGTATAAAATCGCAATGCAGAGGAGGTAACATTGTACTGAACACACAATTTTCCTGAGTTACAATATTTGCAGTAAAAACGATAGGATTCCTATCCAGTTCTACGAGCGAAATGATTCAACTACAGGAAAGCGCATTCGAAAACACCCAAAGTTTGACAAAACATAATAGGTTAGGTGACTTGATCTGTCTTCAAAGCATGCTTCCAACCCATTTTCTCTTATAGCCAATTTGGTTTTCCGAATGACTCTAGTTACAGAATAATATCAAAATGAATATCTGAAATTTTCATCTGCATTTTTTTTGTGACCCATAGATCTTTCATTTAAACTTCTACCATCCCTCCAAAAGTTAGACTTGGTAACATGCTACTGTACTAAAAGCATATTTTTAGTTTTTCTGTAGACAATCTCCACTTTCTACGCAACGAAATGCTGAAAAGACTTCTAACATAGCTACATGCTTGTAGAAACTTTAACAAATTATACTGTAAGAAAACAGAAATTGACATAAAGCAACAAACTTTCATGTATCTTCTTTAAATGTGGACATCCATAAAACTACATTTAGTTATAACATAAAAGAATAACACGCTATAATTATGAATGCATCAGTCTAACAAAAAAGTGAACAGAAAGCAAGTTAAATTGGTCAGCCAACAGATTAAAATCACAGTAAGGACATTCCAACAACTAAGTACATGGAAATAATTAGATCTTTTTATGCTAATGTTACATAAAAACAAGGAACTACCTGCAGTGTAGAAACTTGTGAAGGGATGACAGCGGGTGACGACATTGCAATCAAAAAGTTTCTTGGACTGCATTGAGTCAACTCGGAACATGTAGAAATCCGTATCCACCACTAAAATAAACGCATTAGGATCCTCGGAATATCCCACGATATCTGTTTTCTCTCTCTGCACAGCAGAACTCAGCCCAAGAATGTCATGCAGCTTGACAGTCTTCCACAGCACCCATTTCGCGGCACCTCCAAGAGTGACCTTCCTCTCCCACATTTGGAATCCGCGGTACGACAGAATGGCAAGGCCGACATTACCATCCTCCCCACGCATGATACAATAGTGGCAATCGCTAGAAAAATTCATCTGTGGCCAATTGCCATCGATCACAGCTAGGGTCGACGTCTCGAGATTGAACTCAAGAATGTGAGGCCCCCACACAGATAGCAACCAATAGAGTGAGTTGCCAACAAGTATGGCAGGTGAACCAAAATAGTAGATGGTGGATACAGGCCCTGTGAAGATGGCATCACCCCATTCGCCGGTCACCGATGAGTAAATTGAGGCGAAGATTCGCCCATCCATCTTGCTGGCGCCGATCAAGACCACCTTGAAGTGGCAGGACCGGAAGCCGCCGCCGTGCACGTGGCCGTCGTCGCCGGCGGCACAAAGCACCGCGCCGTTCATGACGGATCTCTCCCCACCGTCGAGCTCCTGCGGAACGGCCACGCGGCGGCGATCGCCGGAAACGGGATCCCACACGAGGAACTCGCAGGTGTTGTAGTTGAAGATGAGGACGAGGCCGTGGCGGCAGCCGAGGAGGCTCGCGGCGCGGTAGTCGTCGAGCCGCAGCGCGAAGCGGTCGGGCGGGATGAGATCCGGCGGGTCGAGGACGGATCTGAAGACGGGGTGGTGGAGCTCGTCCTTGAAGACGCCGAGGAGGGGGGGATCCCGGTGGCGGGCGCGGAAGCGGCGGAGGAAGGCGGGGTCGGAGACGAGGCGGCGCCACTGCTTGCAGACGAGGGAGGCGCGGGGGAGGGAGGAGGGATGCGAGGGGAGGCGGAGGAGGATCTCCTGGATGAGGTCGTCGTTGTCCGGCGGAAGCACCGGCGGCGGCGCCGGCGCCGCCGGGGATGTCCGCCGCCGCCGCCGCTGCCGGCGGCAGGTCATTTCGTCGCCATGGTCACTCATGGGAATCTCTGTCTCGTTTGTTCACTCTGGTTTAGTTTTTCTCCCACAAATTCGGGTAAAATTTAAAAACTCGGATGAAATATGTCTCTCAACTTAAAAAATGGACGTGTCAACAGAGACCGTTCTCTGTATGGTCATAACCAACTACCTCAATCTCATATCTAGTTGCTACTAGTATACTTCCTTCGTCCCAAAAAAAGATAAACACTGGGTTTCCGTGTCCAACATTTGACCGTCCGTCTTATTTGAAAAAATTATGAAAAATTAAAAAGACAAGTCACGCATAAAGTATTAATCATGTTTTATCATCTAACAACAACGAAAATACTAATTATAAAAAAATTTCATATAAGACGGACAGTCAAACGTTGGACATAGAAACCTAGGGTTTGTCTTTTTTTTGACGGAGGGAGTACTCAAAAGTGCATGTATTTTTTTTTCTTCTTATGGAATTTTATCTTAGATTACTTATCCGATTTACGATCCGATTACACCATTATGTTCATAACAATTAAATATTTATAACAAGATCTCATATGACTATATTTTTATGAAAAAAATATAAATTACTTTTATAATATATCTAAGAGTAAATTTCAGAAAACTGCAACTTTAGTGACAAAACTATCAGTTTGATGCAACATTAGCGATATGTTTCAGTTTGCTACAACAATAGCGTGAAAAATTATCACAAAACTGCAACTACTGTAGCAACATAACATATAAGTTACAGTTTTGTGATAATTTTCTACGCTATCGTTGTAGCAAACTGAAACATGTCGCTAATGTTGCAGGAAACTAATACTTTTATCAATAAAATTGCAGTTTTCTTAAATTTACTCTATATCTAAATTACTTTTAGATTTTATTAAATTACTTCTTAGTCATAAAAGTAATTTAATAAAGCTTGAAAGTAATTTACCTATATTATAGAAGGAACTTAAAACAAAAGGTAACTTGTTACGGCATTAAAAGAAATCTATACATTCATGTTGTGAGTTGTTTATTTTATAATCATTTTTAGTCAATGACGTAATTTGTGCTGATTAAATTTAATTTCTATATAGACTCATGTTTTTACCTCTATAACGAATTTACTTTTAATGTCGTGATAAAGTTACTTTCTTTTTTTTTCTAAGTTACTTCTATAATATATGAAATTACTTTTAGGCTTTATTGAATTTACTTTTATGAGTCTAAAAAGTAATTTAGTGAAATCTAAAAGTAATTTAGATATATTATAAAAGTAATTTATAATTTTTCATCAAAATATAATCATGTGAGATTTTGTTATAAAGATTCAATTCTTACGAACACAATAGTGTAATCGGATCGTAGATCGGATGATTAGTTTAAGACAAAATTATTTTTGACGCCGGCGTAGCATAGAGCATCACATGGCTTCCAATTTGGATTCCTCTTGATGATGCCATGTCCGTAAATCACCAGGCCATGTACGGAGGCACCAGCGCTTGTGGGATCGGACGGCCGATGAACATGTCGCATGATAGGGCAAAACAGAGAGCGCGCGCGAATTAGATTTTGCCTTAAAAATTGGTGAAATTTAGGATTTGCTGCAGTCTCTTGGAATTTGTAACCTTCATAGAACTGTTGGTTTCAGTTGGTTGTGAACTAATATTACCACATATTTTTTATTAAGGTAGCTAAGCTTAGTTTTACCATACTTTTGTGGCAAACAAAATAACAAACTAAGTTTAGGCAAAGTTAGACAAGAAAATAGAGTGTATGACATGTGGCCTAGGTGGCTAAGAGTTAGGCAAAGTAGACTTGTGTCATGAACCAATCACTACATGTTAAAGTATGGTTTACCTAAGGTTAGATGTGACAAATTTAGTTGCCGACCAAACATGCCGTCTCTTGGAGTTTTGCTTTCCCCTGCTTGTCACCTAAATTATTAGGGTGTGGTCATTTTCACTGTAATGTGTGAGCTTCATTTGTAAAGTTGTAACCCTAGCAAACATGGCTTTCTATAAATTGGTCCTCGTGGCTCGTGACCTTTTATCTAAAAAATTACCGTATTCGAGAAATGGTATTACTAAAGTTGACATAGAATATGTGCTATTAATACTTCTCTAAATTTTAGCCATACCAATACCATTAATATTTATGTCAACTTCCATCTCTCCTCTGTTATTTCTTCTCTAGCTTCAACGTGGATGCCATCACTCATTCAATCTAGCTTCGACGTTGATGGAATACGACGCCAGGGGTGGGGAAGACAATGGATGTGGAGGAGAAGAGTAGCGGTGTGTCAATCACCAGTAATTGAGGGGGCACCTTGCAAGGCAACGATTCCTGAGCTCAAGCAGCCAAGGGTGATGGTGGTGCGGCTTAGGGAGATGACGCAGCTTGGCAGTGGCGAGGAAAAGCGATGGTGGTTGCTAGGGCGTTGGAGATGGGCAGAAAAGGGGCCTGCTAGTGGATCCCGTCACGCTTTGCCTCCTTCGGCCACCATTGTATCCTCTCCAACCACATTTCCTCATGCTGCCGCTGAATCTTCTCCAGTCACTGTCCCCGAAGGAAATGTGACTGAAATATTTTGGCCAGAGCAATTTTGTAATGGTATGGATAAAATTAACACTAAAATTTATTAATTTCCTTGTTTTTCATCCTTCTTGGCCAAAATAGGTAGCTGGGTTATCTGACACCATAGAACCAAATTATCTATGATGTGTATTAGCATAGGGGATCATAGTTGGTTATCTAAAAATAGCCATTCTTTAGTCAGGTTTATTATGTGGATATAGGTTCACCTTTTATTCTATTTCCATCTCTATATAGCCTGTGCTCCTCACTCGTAACATATGTCGTTGTAAATGTAAATGTTGCGAGTGTGTGGATTTCTGTCTCTGGTTTTTTAATATATGGTGCCGTTAACTTTTGAATATGTATTTTGACCATTCATTTGATTCAAAATTTTTATGCAAACATAGAAAAATATAAGTCACGCTTAACGAAACTTTAGTGATAAATCAAATAAAAAACAAATAATGATTATATGATTTTTTAATAAAATAAACAGTGAAGCGCGTATAAGAAAAAAATCAACAACGTGAGATGTTAAAAATTAAAGGGAGTAGTGCAGTAGAGAAAACGTCCTTGCTAAATATTTTCCTTCTTTTATACAGACCACATGCTTGATCGGACCATATTATACTCCTTTAATATATTGGTGACCGGAGTGATCTAGCTTTAAAAAATGATCACGCATAGTCACATATAAAATCAAATTAAGGGGAATATTCCCTATACAAAAATAATAGGTAACACATTGCATGAAATATATAGATATTATTATAATATATTTTCGTTTATCTGCATCAATGCACATGTATTCAGCTAGTATAATAAAACATTAATTATATGTATTTTTTTATGAAATTTAACTCCATTTGATTGAGAGGAATGGTTCATTACACAGTAGAACATGCAGCTCATCTTAACAAAATGAAATCAAAAGTTATCTTGCACTTGGATCAGTAATTAATGGTCACATCATTGATAGTACTACATGTTCCTACAGTGGATGATTCATCATTTTTTGTCACCCTTACATGGAAATATGCTGGATGCTTAGGCTCATCAAGGACCATACTCTCACTACTTAGCATTGCAACAACATTTGACATGGTCGGTCGATCAACTGCATTCTCTTGTACACACAACAACGCAATGTTAATGCACCTCAACATACACGATGACTGCCAATTTGTAACCAATGATGCATCAAGAAGTTCAAGCCATCTTTCCTCTGACCACAACTTCCATGCCTATTTCAATATTTCAACAGACAGTATAGGTAAGATACCAAATAAACAAAACAATCTACACACTTTACATGTGTCCAAGAACTCACATATCCAAGGAGATTGATGAAGTCTTCACATTGATCTAAACTGGCATTTCTTTTTCCGCTAATGATCTCGAGAATTATAACGCCAAAGCTGAATACATCAGATTTTGGAGAGAAGAGGCCCTCGGAAGAATACTCTGGAGCCATGTAACCACTAAAAATGATATACAATATTTGTCAAATTTTGTTCGTGCTTGAATTATAATGAAAAATATGTTCAAATTTCTATGATACTTACTAGGTCCCAACCACTCTTCTTGTAGTTCCTTCATTGCTATTTGAGCCAAATATTTTTGCTAGCCCGAAATCTGAAATTTTGGGGTTCATTTCGCTGTCCAAGAGAATGTTACTTGGCTTAAGGTCTCGATGAATCACACGCAATCGGGAGTGCTTATGTAGATAAAGCAGTCCTTGTGCTATTCCTTCGATTATCACTAGACGTTTGTTCCAATCTAGTAAATCTTTTTTCCTTTCATCTGCACAAAAATTATATATTAGTACAACAGGAAAAGGAGATAGACACCTCAACAAAATACTGATGGGAAAATTTTCCAAATTTTCCTCAATAAATAAACCTAAGTTCAGGAATCTAGATATATACCGAAAATATAGAAGTCCAAACTTTTGTTTGGCAAGTATTCATAGACCAATATTTTCTCCTCTCCTTGAGAGCAGCATCCCAAGAGCCTAACTAAATTCCTGTGCTGGAGTTTGGCAATTAGTTGGACTTCATTTTTGAACTCTAGGAAACCTTGTCCTGAATGTGAAGCAAGTCTCTTAACTGCTATCTCCAATCCCTCAGAAAACAGGCCCTGAAACAAATATTCAGAAATTTTTCATTGTGATTATCATGGGATCTATGGTAGTATGCAGTTTTTTTTATACGAATCTATATAATGAGAATTTGCATATCATTCTTTTGTATTATTAATCAGACAATGAAAGATTATACTCCACATGTGTCTTATTTACCTTATATACAGGGCCAAATCCACCTTCTCCAAGTTTGTTTTCTTCAGAAAAGTTATCTGTAGCCTTGATAACCTCACGAAACTCGAAAACCGAAAACTCTGAAATCTCTCCCTCCATTTCGCAAATTAGTTCATCTCCTCGGAACCTGCGACTACGCTTTTCTCGCAATCTCACTCTATCTGGATAATTGAGAATTAGTGCAGATTCATTACTCTTAGTTAACAATATAACGAACATAACAATTTGAGATGAACATTTCAGCGGCAATAAACACACCTTTTCTGAACCTTCTTGACCAACGACAGTAGTAACAGACGATCAAGCAGAGAACTACTGCCGCTACAGGAGCTGCAATAGCAGCAATTACCCATGATTTGCTCTTCTTTCCTAAATTAAAGAACCCACGATCAAATTTAACATGTCAATTAACGGCATATTTGCAAATAAAAAATAATTTGTGAATAAAAAATGTATATACGTGTTCTTAGCAATCTAAAAACAAAGGCTGAAAAATAAACTTCGATAAAAAAAACTCTAAAATCAATTCTAAATTTACGGTTGAAAATTTAAATTTTGGCTGGTAAGCATAGCATAAGTATTCAGAGTGAAAATCATATATTTACAGAGGAAAAAAAAGCAGAATTTTCAGATACTGAAAAAGAGGGGGAGTTTTTACGCACTGTTTTTGGTCGGAGCGATGGAATCCGGCGCCGGAGTTGAGCCCGGCGGGCTGACACGCCGCGTGGGCTCGCCGGCGTAGAAGACAAAGGCCTCGAACCTGAGATTGCACCGGAGCAAGAGGACGCGTCCTCCCAAGCGCACGGAGGTGGTGGAGTTCACCATGGCGATGAGGCGCTGGAGGCAAGCCAGGCAGTCGCCGGCGGCCAAGTCCGGCGTGCACTGCGCCAGCGAGTAGAGCGTCTGCTTCGACTCGCTGCTTCCGTCCATGAAGCCTGTGGCGAACCGCCTCGCCGCCGCCGCCGCCGTCCGGGCCGTCACCGTCAGCAGCTCGCGGACGTTGGCGGCGGCGACGGCGGCGTCGCCGGTGATGTTCTGCTGGTTCCATGCCTGGAAGAGCGTGGCGTTCTCCGTGATGTTGGGCGCGGCGAGGAAGTCGTCGCCGGCGAAGCGGAGGAGGCAGTCGTCGTAGTAGATGGTCGCCGACTTGTCGCTCGGGCACGTCCGCCGCGCGTCCTGGAACGAGGCCGCGACGCAGTCGCCGCAGGCGGTGGCGTTGGCGACGTCGCCGCGGCAGAGCGCGAGCGCGTACGCCGCGTCGGGGGCCTGGCCGGCGGTGGCCGTGGCGAAGTGGTCCGGGGAGGAGGAGGCGTTGCTCGGGAGGGCGGCGGCGAGGCGCGCGAGGTTGGACTGGTAGGTGCCGTTGGCCGTGTAGTTGCCGCCGTTGCCGCAGAGCTGCGCCAGTAGTTCGCCGGCGGCGAGCGGCATGATGCTAAGGAGGAGCAGGACGCCGACCATGGCGAACGACGGTTTACCTGTAGTTGCATGCTTGGTGTTTTATCCGGAATCAACCTGTAGAGATTTTTTTTTTCAAAAAAGAAATAAATAAAATGGTAATGAAACAATACTCCCAGTCTAAGATCCGCGGGTGAAAATGATTAAGTCCCTCAATTCAAAAGTCTAAGATCCACTGGTAAAAATGATTAAGGTGAACCAAACAATACTTTAAAAATTTATAGAAAATTCATTTCAAGTCCGATTAAGGTGAACCAAAGTTTCTCCACGATCCTTACAATATTCTCTTTAATATGACTGGTTCATATTTACTTAAAACAACCATTTTCAGTATGATTGTTTACTTATATATATCTTACGTAGTCTCCATGTAAGTTGATATTAGTAAGTGACCATACTAAAAATTACTGAAATTGCCATATTATAGGAAATACTATAAGAAATCTCATAGAACTTTGGTTTACCTCAATCATGTTTAATATGTTTTTTTTCTATTTTTCTTAAGTTTGGACTTTCTAGAGGTAAAAATATAGACCAACAAATTTAACGCATATTTAAACCCCCCCCTAATGATCTCAAATGAACGACCTTTCAACTATTAAGTTGTAGATCTTATTCGAAGGTTACAAATTTTTTTTAGAACATACCTTCGTCTGAAGACTTTTGCAAATACATATAAAAAGAACAAATTCAAAAATAGATCTTAGATTGGAAAAAAATATTTGAACCCCTAAAAGATATCAAATAATGAATAAACATTCAACTACAAAGTTGTATATCTCGTTGAGGGCAACATATTTTATGCACATAAGCTTCCCGTGCACACCAACTAGCAAATGCCACAGAAAATTCTAGAAAAAAAATTAGATACATACTTCCAATAGTATTACACCAACGTGTGAAATATTTTCTTCAAATTCATTATATTTTAGCCACAACAAAAAAGACAAAATTCTAACAGATTTTTACCCAAAAACTGTTAGATTTTTCATTTTTTTTTGTTACGGCTAAAATATATTGAATTTGAATATGAGACTTTACAAATATGTGTAATGCTATTAGGAGTATGTGTCTTATTTTTCCATCAAAGATGATAAATAAACTTTTTTTCCATCAAGACGATGCAGAGTAAGCCAGAGCAGTCGTGTTGAGACGCTCCCCAAAAACCTTATTGCCCGCCTACCTGTGCAGGCACTCAAGCGGATAGGATTCCGGAGGCTCCGCTCGTCCCGTACACCTGTGCGTGTAGGTGAACGGAACCGGGAAAGGATCTTGCAGCGCAAGAACAGAGGGAGGTACAGGAGGAAGAACCGAAGTGCAAGAGTCGGGTAGAACTGAAGAACCTTCCGTACTTCTGTTCGTTCCTATGGCGGTGTATATGCGAGCGCGGGAGTAATGTTAATCAATCACCGTGTTTAATACCGTCCGTTACAAAAAGAGAGAGAGAGAGAGAGAGAAGCAGCCGCCGTCTGCCTCGCCACGCCCACGGCCTGGCCTGGCGCACGCACGCGTGTGGCTGTTCGCCCACCATCTCAACCGGTCAACAAAGACTCTCCACTAGCTCTATCGAAGATTACAATTTTTTATAGAACATATCTCCATGTGAAGTCTTTTGCAAATATAAGAAAAACAAATTCAAAAATAGATCTGAGATTGGAAAAAATATTTGAACCCCTAAATGATATCAAATGAACAAACATTCAACTACAATTCGGTTAACTGAGACCCATGACCGACCGAATTAATTTAGGTCTTTCGCTGTTTGAGACTGAACTACTGATCGAATATCTTTTCTGTTCAGTCTTACTCTACCCACTCCTATTTAGTGGTGCTCTTATTTTTAACGGTGATTTTCTTACGTATAACCACATGTGAAATTCAGTTTTTACATGCTAATGTCGTAGGGAATAATTATTTTCGCAGTGGATTTGTTAGAGATCCAAAAAAAAAAGGTTTTCTTAGTTAGTCTATGACCTGAGACAACCTTAACTATTTTTGCAAGTGCTATTTGTTTTAGCCGCCCGTGACGTTGAGACATTTTTACCCATTTGTGCGAGAATTATATAGCAGTGCCACCGTTCTTTTCTATTGTTCAAGTACTTCTACTACCTGATCAGCCAAGGGGGAGAAATATCTTGATCCTGCAGTTTTTCCTTATTGTTGTGGACGTACTCCCTCCGTACTCGTAAAGGAAGTCGTTTAGGATAATATTTAAGTCAAACCTTGCGAATATGAATCATGAATAACTCTCAAGTTATTGAGTTTGAAAATATAAAAATTATATAAATAGATTTGTCTTGAAAAGTCATAAAAGTATACATATATCACTTTTCAATAAATATTTTTATAAAAACAAGAAGTCAAAGTTGTGTTTTGAAGACCGTATCGTTGTCCAAAATGACTTCCTTTACGAGTACGGAGGGAGTACACTCGTACAGGACGAAGGTATGGATCTATGTTAGTCTGACCTATATAACCAACACGTCTAACAAAGTATTAAAATTTTAATATTTATAATATAGTAATAATAGTCTATGCAACATTCGAGTTAACGACTAGTTAATATAATGGCCCATTAATACATAATTAGCTAGATGCTACTCCCTCCATTCTATATTATAAATTGTTTTATTTTTTCTTAATTTAACTAAGTTTATAAAATAATTTAGTAATATTTACTTTCATTAAAACTAAATTTTAATAAATTTAAAAAATATATTTATTTTGTGTTGAGAATATTTTAATATTTTTTTATAAACTTAGTCAATTTTTGAAAAAAGTTAAAGCACTAATAATATAAAAACAGAAAGACTAATTAAGACTTTTGGGTGTGCCGGTCTCCAGCCGGCACCCTGTCCATGTCTGCCTCTCCTTATCAATCACCATTTGTTCATTTCACCTGTCATTTTGAGAGATAAAAAAATTTCTCGATTCATTTATATTTATCGTACGTTAGTTGCTTTCAACATTACTTCCTAAATTAATTTTAGGCCTTCACACACGCTTTCTAGTATGAAATGTTAACAATTAACTTGACTAAATACTCTCTCTGTGTCCACAAATATAAATATTTTCTTAAAGACATTAAGGATAAAACAAAAAAGGCTATAAAATAGAGTTTAGGATTAGTTGAAAATTAAATGAGATATGGTTAAGTGAGGGAAGTAGTACCAAGTAATCGCGTGTATTTATATATGGAAAAAATTCAAATGCTATAATTTCTTATATTTGTGATGAAATGAGTATTAGACAATAATGCACTTCCTTTCTTTTCCCTGAAATCCTATGGACTGACGTGAAGGGCACGAGACCAGCAAAAAACTCACCGTTAATAAAATGAAATACTTGTAAACCATCACTCTCGATGGTCTTTGAATTATTCAATGGACGCGCCTTCTTGAATTTAAAGACAATGTGTACTATATGGGATAGCTCGATAGGTCCTGAAGTTTGACAAATTCTTCATTTAGCTTGTTGCTATCAATCAATAAACGGTCCCTCTTTAATTTAGATATATATATAGAGACAGGATAACAGGAAGAAAGGAAGTGTCTTATTGTCCACAAATACTCCCTCCGTCCTTAAATATTTAACGCTGTTGACTTTTTTTTAAACATGTTTGACCGTTCATCTTATTCAAATTTTTTTGTGAAATATGTAAAACTATATGTAAACATAAAAATATATTTAACAATGAATCAAATGATAGAAAAAAAATTAAGAATTACTTAAATTTTTTTGAATAATATGAACGGTCAAACATATTTAAAAAAATCAACGATGTCAAAATGTTTAGAGACGGAGGGAGTATAAAAGAGTGAAGTGTATAAAAAGTTCTAGCACAAGGGACTAAAAAATAATTTTCATATATACTTGAGGTATCAAAAGTTGTGATAGCTCTCGTCGTACCTATCGAAGGACGTAAAATCGCTCAAGATTTTTAGACCTTGGTTTGAGATGTGTGTAGTCAAGTATGAGATCAATTTCCTGGGTCTGCCAACCTGAGTAGAAACAAAAATAAGCAGAAGATGACCGGCCAGCCCGGCACATCAATCAAATTTAATTAAACTTATATTTATATTTTGTGTGCATAAAGATTTTTTTTTACCTTCTCTCTTGAGATATTTGTAGCCACATATATGAAAAAAAATCACTCGATCCGCAACCATAGATTGATACTCTCTTCGTTCATATTATAAATTTATTTTAACTTTTTTTAATTATTATGTTTTAAGTTCTGAACAAATTTATAGATAAATTAGCAACATCTGCAATATTAACTTAGTTCCATTAAGACTACCATTTAATATATTTTGATAATATATTTATTATGTGTTAGAAATATTGCTATATTTTTTATAAAAAATCAAATCTACTTATAATATGAAACCGGAAATGCCAGCGATCGGGCGCTCGATCAGCTGCAGAAAAATCATGCGCCCACCGCTTCCCGCGCCTATGCACGCGCGCTCCCGCGCCTCCGTGCCGTCCCCACCACGCGTCCTACCATACGCGCCGTTGCAACAAATCACCCACATATTACGGAAACGCTCTGTTAAGGGAATCCGTTTCATTTTTTGTTCCACCAACAATGTTTCACCAATTGTACTTGTAATGTTTTACTATATATGAATCAAATGTTGCAGTGAATTGAAACATCCTTTCGCTATTTGCTGAAACATTGTTTTTATGTAGGGTGAAACAACACTCGATTTTTTTGGAAAATGTTGTTTCGTACGTTGTAGCAAAATGTTTCACGAGGTGATTTAATTTGGTTGTGTTTCAGCTTTTTAAAATATTGAAACAATTTCGATCTGCTTGGTGAAACAATTTCGATATACTTGGTGAAACAATGTCTGATTTTTTTTTAAAAAAATTGGACGTCCGATTTATAGGTGGCCCCATATGAAACGGTAACGGAGGGGTAGTATAACAAAGGGGTGTAGCTATATTTATGGCGCCATATTTTTCATCAAAAAATAGTCGGCATGTATTTACATTGTAAGTCCCTAAATTACATATGTAATTTTAGTGTATTTACAATGTAAGTCTCAAAATTACATATGTAAGTACTAAAATTACATATGTAAATTCGAAAATTACATACTAATTACATATGTAAGTGAGGTGTAAATGATATGTAACTACTGTGTAAGTGGCTGAAAAAAATCAACTAGCATATAGCGCCATATTTCTAGCAACTCCGTAACAAAGAGGGTACTGATCGGGAATAAAAAGGGGAAGCAGCTGACTGGCCGGCCGGCTGCGAGGCAGTTAGCTAGCTTAGACGCCATGGACATCGTCGTCGGCGTCCTGCTCATACTGGGCCTCATGCCGATGCCGTTCGAGGTCATCATGGCCGCCGCCGACGATGGTGGCGGCGTGTTCTGCGACAACCTCAAGTTCGTGTCCGCAACCCTCCCCAACAAAACCTCCTCCTCCCCGCACCACTACGCCACCGCCGCCGCCGGCCAAGCCCCCGACGTGGTCTACGTCCTCGCGCTCTGCCGCGGCGACCTCAACGACACAGCTTGCGGCGAATCCGTCGCCTACACGTTCGCGAGACTGATCAACGAGTCGTGCGTCGCCAACTACACGGCCGGGGCTTACTACGGCGACTGCACCGGCGTCTACTCCTTCCAGAACTTTCTCGATCCTTCCGACGCCACAGAAGACGAGGAGCCCTTCGAGAGGTGGAACGTCAACAACATCACCGGCGACGGCGAGAACGTGCGGTTCATCGCCGGCCTCATCCAACAGCTTCTGTCGGAAACGGTGGAGAGGGCGGCCGGCGCCGCGGGGCGGTTTGCGACGGGCGTCGTGGACACCGGCAGGACGTTCCCGCTGGTGTACTCGCTGGCGCAATGCACGCCGGACCTGTCCGCCGGCGACTGCCTGGCGTGCCTCCGCCGCCTCACCGGCATGATCAACTCCACCATGGCCGTGCGCATGGGTGCGCAGATACATGTCACACGGTGCTACTTCAGGTATGAGGCGTACGTGTTCTACGACAGCAAGCCTATGCTGCATCTCACCGGCGCGCCGGCTCCGGCCATCCCCAAAAGTAAGACTATTCTTGGATTCTCAATTAGACCTCGTTCGGTTATTCCCTACAACTGTGGAATTAATCCTCTGGGTGGGCTTGTTCGGTTATTCTCCACGACTATAGATGGCCAAAATAGGCGCCACGGCCGGGCCCGGGCCGAGATCACTTGCCCATGTCCACTTGCTGCACCATCGGTCTAGGCACGGCTCAATAAAACTTGGGCCTTACCAAGCCAGCCCAAAGGCATGAAAGCCATCATGCTAAAAGTTTATTTGAAGTCCCTAATCTCTTTCGGCAGTCTCTTAATGGCTGGGATAAGTCTATTTGCATCCCTCGTTTCTTTGGGCCATATCCTATATATAGATGGCCATATGGCTTGAGGCCCATGGCCCGGCCTAAGACACGCCATTTTGGCCCGCCCAAGCACGGCACAGCCCGACTCGGGGTCATGCCGGTGCCGGCCTGGCCCGATAGCCGGGCCGTGCCTCGGCCGCACCCTCGGCACGGTGGGCCGGCCCGGCACCCAACCAAATAAAAAAAGTCGTGGGATGCAAAATATACTTGATGAACCATATCAGACAGGACCCAAAGAGAAGAGGAATACATAATAGACTTATTTTCCAGCCATATAGACCTAGCCCACAGAGTTGAGGGACCAAAAACAGATTTATTATGTGAAAATCACAATAAGTCGTGCCTTCAAGCCGGCCCGGCACAACCCGAGTCGTGTTGGGCCATGCCTGGGCCATGTGTGCGGCCCGTGGGCTGGCACGGCATGGCCCGGAGTGTAGGTCGGGCCGTGCCGGCCCAATTAACCTCGGTCCAGGCATGGCCAGGCCTGGGCCGTGCCGCCCGTTTGGCCATCTATAGTCCTATATGGCTAGAATAAGTCTATTTAACTCCCTGATCATTTGACCGGGCCATGCTGGGTCGGCCCATCGTGCCGAGGGTGAGGCCCAAGCACGGCCCAAAAATCGGGCAATGCCATACTTTAATTTGGTCAGGCCAAAACCCCGTGCCATGGGCCAAGCCGTCGGGCCTCTGGCCTTTTGGCCAACTATATCCACGACGGAGGCAATGGAGGGGATTGAGAGGGAATATATAATCCCTATGTAAATCTCTCTCAACTCTCTTGTGGGTGGGATTAACCACTAAATAAGTCCTTAATCACGTCCAATTTCTTTCTCATAAAGATCAACCGAACAAGCTTTAGAGATTACAAATTCCGTAAAATTAATTTAATCATATATATACTCTTCAGATCCCACATGTCAGTCACCTTAGATGACGTCACATGACACTAGTATAGCAGAGTAAATCTTTATTGTTCGATTAAAAGGAAGGACATATGGTCAAACCTCACACCAAATGTTTTGAATTTGTTTGAGTTTAGTTAAAATAAATTAACTTCAGCAAAATCAGATTCAACCTTTTTCTTTCTGAAATTTGGAATTCACCAAAATTATTATGTATTCAGATTTTCAACCTCCTGACCCACATGTCAGTTACTTTAGATGACCCCACATGTCATTGGGAACATGAGAGTAAATTCTTAAATTTTGATCTAAAGGAACAGTATATGATCAAATCGCCTGCTATGATTTAAATTCCTTTCTTGTTAGTTTTGAAGTGAAAAATGTTCATTGCCTTGAACAATTTCGAATTTGTTTGACTTTAGGTAAAGTTATTTCAAATTCAGCAAAATCTGTTCAAATTATTTTTTTTGAATTTCCTGAAATTTGTAATTCACCAAATTATTTCATATTCACGTTGTGAACCTGTCCCAATGCACTATAGTTATGAATGATTTGCAAAATAATATCCAATGTGTACTATTAATATATTTTCCATGTATACAAATTAGCTTCTATCTACTTTTGTTTAGACAAAAGATTGTTATGTCATGTTTTAGGGCATAAGAGCAAGCTCTGGGTAATTCCCATTGTCATAATTCCTGTGGTGGCATTTTTCTGCTTCATTGTTTACTGCGGCTGGCGGAGGGGGCACAGAAAAGGTAGGTTACTAATTTATAAAATATTTCATATTGTTTAAATTACTTACCGATGTCATGGTCAGTTTTTTACTGAGGTACAGATACTAGGAGATTCTACATTACTAATTAATTAAAATCAGAGAAAATGACACTAGCTAGTTAACATTAGGTGGTCTCAGACCATAAAAGGTACCTAGTATAGTGTTGTGTTCATTAGATATAACTGAACATTGAAGATTGATATTCTTGATTATTCAGGTATAATGGGATTACAAGCAAGGAGAACTGATAACTTGCAGGGAGAGGAAGAATTAGTTTGGGACCTAGAAGGAAAAAATCCAGAGTTTTCAGTATTTGAGTTTGATCAGGTACTGGAGGCTACAAGTAATTTTTCTGAAGTAAACAAGCTTGGAGAAGGTGGCTTTGGCGCCGTGTACAAGGTAAAAATCCAAAACACATAGTTCCTTCGTTAACTTTTAAACATATATTTGATCGTTTGTCTAATTAAAAGAACTAGTACAAATATGTAAAAATATAGGCCATGTTTAAGGTACTAGTAATGATAAAACAAATTACAAGAAATAAATAATAATTACATAATATATTTTGTATAAGATGAATGGACGAACATGTTCATAAAAGTCAACAGCGTCAAAGGAGTATGTGATTATAAGTAATGGGAAACCTTTCTAGTTTAACCTCAGTAGACAATATACAATAAACATGCAACTATTATTTAAAACGGGTTCAATTTTGGCTTGATGATAATTATCAGGAATTGAACTTTCGGTCTAAAGTTTTATGAGACCTAAACCACACCACCCTCATCTCCAAATATGCATCCAAATTAGCTACTGGTTTCCTGGGGACTTTTCATGGATCAACTAGATTTTGCACCACAAAAACCACTGAAGGACTTCTATTTTTTTGCAGGGCCATTTTCCTGATGGAATAGAGATAGCAGTCAAGAGACTTGCTTCACATTCAGGACAAGGTTTCATAGAGTTCAAAAATGAAGTCCAGCTCATAGCCAAACTACAGCACAGGAATTTGGTTAGGCTCTTGGGGTGTTGCTCTCATGAAGAGGAGAAAATTTTGGTCTATGAATTCTTGCCAAACAAAAGCTTGGACTTATTTATCTTTGGTATATAATTTGTATTATATTTCTCAGTATAGGTTACATATTTTGATAAAAAAAATAATTGTTATGTTCTTTTTCCTATCATACTGATACTTTACTGATGTGCAGATGAAAATAAAAGAGCTTTGCTGGATTGGTACAAACGTCTAGAAATAATTGAAGGAATAGCACATGGACTTCTTTACCTACATAAGCACTCCCGATTGAGTGTCATACATCGAGATCTTAAACCGAGTAACATTCTCTTGGATAGCGAAATGAACCCTAAAATTTCAGACTTTGGGTTAGCAAGAATATTTAGCTCAAATAACACAGAAGGAAACACAACAAGAAGAGTGGTTGGTACATAGTAAGTTTCATGTAAATTAGTCCACTTATGAAATTTATGTTATAACTCAACTGCACATACAATATATAATTTTTACTTGCATGTATCATTTTAGCGGCTACATGGCTCCGGAGTATGCTTCTGTGGGCCTCTTCTCTATCAAATCCGACGTATTCAGCTTTGGTGTTCTATTTCTTGAGATTATCAGTGGAAAAAAGAATTCTGGTTCCCATCATAGTGGAGACTTTATCAATCTCCTTGGATTTGTGAGTTTACAAACACATATACAATATTTTAAAATTGTCTTTTCTGTCTAAGTGGTGTTTTTCCTACATTAACCTACCTATATTGTTCTCGAAATTTCATACAGGCATGGTCACTATGGGGAGAGGGAAGATGGCTTGAACTCATCGATGAATCATTAGTTTCCAAATATCCTCCTGCAGAAAATGAAATCATGAGGTGCATTAACATAGCATTGCTGTGTGTACAAGAGAATGCAGCTGATCGACCAACCATGTCAGATGTTGTTGCAATGCTAAGCAGCAAGACGATGGTCCTGGCTGAACCTAAGCACCCGGGATATTTCAATGTGAGAGTGGCAAATGAAGAGCAATCTGTTCTTACTGAGCCATGTAGTGTTAATGATATGACCATATCTGCCATAAGTGCTAGATAGTTTATTCTTCATGTGTCATGTGGCTTTCGTTGATCCAATGTACGTAGTATTTGAAGATATCATAACAGAATTATAATGCTGTGGTATTTCAGGTGTCGGAGTATGTACTCCCCAAAGAGTGATCCTAGATTTTTGTATACAAACAAATGGCTTTTGTATTTATTTGGTGGGTAGCAAATCAATACCATAACTATCGTTGGTGCCAATTTTGAAAACAAAGTGAAAATATTGGGTATGGCCTAGTAAAAAATGAAGAACATTGGTTACAAGACTCTGTTCGTGATGGGTTTTAGGCTGAGCTTATGGTTTGCACGACAAAACGAGACAATTGATTAGGGATATGATTAATTAAGTATTAATCTCTACTATTATAAATATTGAAGATGTTTGTGCCGGTATTTTGGTATGTTATCCGTGTTTGAGTCAGTTTTTAAAGTTTATTCGCTTTTGAAAATACAGATCCGTGTTTAAGTCAGATTTTAAATTTGTTTGCTTTTAGAAATAAAAAATAGTCGTATAAGAAATCTCTTTAAAAAACTCGCATGCAGACTTCTAATTGTAGCTCCTGATTTTCTAAAAAAAATATCCAAGCAAATTCCCACAATCAATTTTACCTTAGCTAAACCGTATAACAATAATAAGATTAAAATAGTTTTCACTCGTTGTAATGCATGGATATTTTTTTAAGCTATATTATAAACTTGAAAAATGGGTTTAACCAAAGAAATGAAACGCAGCTGACATTGGCATTTGCCCCAGTTGCTGCCTGTCTCTGATGAGTAAACGCAGGCGCATATGTGTATCCCTATCCAGCCACTATGGCTGCCACCTCACGGGACTAGAGTGGCAAGCCACACTGTTCGCCGTCGTGGGTACTAGTCATTGTACAAACCGGCAGCAATCGATGTACTCCCTCCAGCCCATAAAAACTAACATAATACTGGATGTGACATATCTTAATACTATAAATCTGGATGGAGGGAGTATAAAATAATGCACTTCAGAATTTCAACCTCCCGACTCACATATTAGTGACTTTAGATGACCCCACATGTCATTGGGTACATGAGAGGTGTAGAATCGAATCACAGTAACTAAACCAACCAGAGGAGGGGTGAATGGTTGGTATACCCAAAAATCAAAAACTTTTAGCGGAAATAAAAGTTACCCTCGAATTCAATGAGATCGGTCTGACCGGAGTAGATTAGCCGGTCTGACCGAAGCGTAGCCGTTAGTCTGACCGGTGTAGATCGATCGGTCCGACCGCCAAAACTTGTTGCCGCCTCCTATCGCCGAAGCCGGTCTGACCGCAGGTCACCCGCCGGTCTGACCGCCGCGATGCCGCCGGTTAGACCGCCGAAACCCGGTGAAACACAAATCGAAGAACTCTTAAAGTAGATGACGACTTTATTGATTCTCTCTGTGTTTACAAAGTGCACCAACAGCACTCCTTATAAAAATTTCGACTAAACTCGAAACCTTAACTCAAAACTTAACTCAATTGCTCTCAAAAGCGATACCGGGAAGCCTCACGCTCCCCCTCTATTTATACGCGAGGTAGGCAGCCTAAAGCCATGAACCAAACTCATACTAGGAGTCCTAAACACCTTAGGAAACCCTCTAGTACAAGAAACAAACTTTACATAACCAATCATACCAAATTTGGACTCCTTCCAAATTCAACTCCGCATCCCATACGCACACAATAACTCCATCGTATGCCATATGGAATCTCCATCAACCACGTGCATCAACTGTAGCCTAAGTATCCCGCATGATCTTTGACCACCACGGACGTTGTCTTATCCCCAAGCCGACTCCCAGTCCATTACCGCAAATACTCTCCCGAGGCATCGAGTCACCTACACATGAAATAAACAAAGAAACTATCTTCCGAGACCAAGCTATCTCCAACTTGACTCATCAGTAGCAAACAACAGTATTACATATATATAGTATCCATCTAGAAGCCATAATCATGAAATAATCACGGATATCCAAACAAACAACCCGAAACAGAAACCGACACAGCGTCGGCCGGTCAGACCGTGAGCTGCGCCGGTCTGACCGCGCAATACACGCCGGTCTAACCGGCATCCACGGCCCGGTTTGACCGGTCACATGAAATAACAGCAGTATCCTATAGATTCACCTATGAAATCCAATCATCTCCAAAACCACTTCGTGAATAAATTCCAAATATCAAAACCAATAATTTCCGATGCCAATTGTTCATCACAAAATAATAATAAAAAACCTTTGATTTTACAATCTCCCCCTTGATGAACACATTGGCAAACCCATCAGAAATGTTTTGGTATTTGGAAAAATAAAAACATAAGTGGTAAAAAAAGTATACTTCGTACAAACGTACACATCGTGCTCGAAAATCTAAAAGAAAACTTCTCTCACTTTTGAAAAGAAAGATATTCCCTCATGAACCAAAAACAACATGCTCTTCTCTTCAACTCATTTGTTTCTCCAAAAATTTTCATCTTGCTTCTCCCAAAAAAATCCAAAAATTTTACTTGCTTCTCCCCCTTTTGACAATGATTTCATCAAGCATAGGAATTACGTTTATTAATGTATAAGAGCTTAGCATACATATTGCATATCAAGTCATGTGTTGCAATAAAAAGAAGATGAACCCATCTATAACATAACAAGCATGCATTAAGTATAACCATGAACCAAAGATTTTACAATTAAGCTTGAATCAACAATCAAAATTCATAATTTTATACGATTTATAATGCAACAACTTAACAAGCACATAGGTTGAAGAATAAACACTAAACACATATACCTATTGTATTTATCACTCTTTCTCAAATAACCTTTAGCACAAAATAACAAAGAGATTTTTTTGACTTTTTCTTTTCTTGAGCCTTTTTGCTCATATTTTTCTCTTTTATTCTGGGTACGTCCCTGTCGTCAAGACTGTTTTCAGGGATTCGGCACCCATTATTTTGCTCACATCGAATACGTCCTTGTCGTCAAGACTGTTTCCAAGGATTCGGTATTCATTTTTTTTCATATTTTTTATTCTCTTTTCACAATGAGCAATTAAAGCTATTTGAGGAATAACAATTCAATAAAGCATATATATAGAGCATTTATAAATCAAACCATATGCTAGCATCAACATTGCATATTTGCTTAATTCAAGTAGAATTTAAATGTCATGCATCATCGCCCTTAAAAGCAAAATCTAAATCTCATGAAAAGACTATAATACATACAAGCTATGCTAGAGACAAATAAACCTTCAAAGTATTGCTAACATGCACAAGAAAATACCATATGTATAAACAAAGCTCTCTTTTCTCAATTTTTCTCATTGTCATATTTTTGCTTGATAAAACCATAAGGTACAAACTCCCCCTCAAACCATGCCAAAAGGATGAATTATGCCCAATTCACTACGAAGAAAAGCAAAACGATTATAATCTAAAGGTTTAGTGAAAATGTCAGCAAGTTGCAACTTTGTGTCCAAAAACTGCAATTCGACATCTCCCTTCTCAACATGATCCCTCAAAAAGTAAAAACAAATTATCACAAAAGATTCTTAGCAATGTTAATAGCACTAATATTATCACAAAAGAGAGGTACTTTCTCAAAAGTAAGACCATAATCTTTCAAAGTAGATAAAAGCCAAAAAATATGTGAACAACAACTAGCAGCAGCAACATATTCAGATTCAGCAGTTGATTGAGCAACACTAGATTGTTTCCTAGAAGACCATACAATCAATGATGTACCAAGAAAATGACATGTTCCACTAGTATTTTTCCTATCAATTCTACAACCACCAAAATCAGCATCGAAATATCCACTTAAGCATATAGAAGATGAAGTAGAATACCAAATTCCAAACTCAAGTGTATGATTCAAATACCTCATTATTTGCTTGACCGGTTGACGATGTGAAGCACGAGGAGAAGCTTGAAAGCGCGCACACAAACATACAACAAATTGTATGTCTGGCCTAGAAGCAGTTAGATACAACAAAGTTCCAATCATACTTCTATACTCCTTTTGATCAACAGCTTCACCATCTTCATCAGGATCCAACACAGCTGTAGAACCAATTGGTGTTGAAATTGGCTTGCATTTCTCCATCTTGAACCGTCTCAAGAGATCCTTCGTATACTTCGTTTGATGCACAAAAGTACCTTGAGGTGTTTGCTTAATTTGCAATCCCAAAAAGTACAATAACTCACCCATCATGCTCATCTCAAATTCCCTGCGCATAGTCTCAGCAAAGTCCACAACCAAAGCGTGAGTTGAACAACCAAAGATGATATTATCAACATAAATCTGAACAAATAGTTGATTATCACCATGCTTAAGAACAAAAAGCGTTTTGTCAACCTTTCCCTTTGTAAAACCTTTCGCAAGCAACAAGTTTTAAGCCTATCATACCATGCTCTCGGTGCTTGTTTCAAACCATACAAAGCTATAGACAATTTAAAAACATGGTTGGGAAAATCAGGATTTTCAAAACCTGGTGGTTGTTTGACATAAACTTCCTCCTGTATAGAACCATTTAGAAAAGCACTTTTCACATCCATTTGATACAATTTAAAACCTTTTGAAGCAGCAAAAGCTAACAAAAGTCTAATTGCCTCAATTCTAGCAACAGCAGCAAAAGTTTCATCAAAATCCAAACCCTCCACCTGAGTAAAACCTTGAGCAACAAGTCTAGCTTTATTTCTCACAATCAAACCATCCTCATTTTTTTTTATTTTTGAAAACCCACTTGGTTCCAAAAATATTAGGCAAAATTGGTTATATAGCATCGAAAGTTCACGTTTTTGGTTTTATAGCACCGAAAGATACCGATTCACTTTAATAGCACCCAAAGTTCACCATGTTCCCATTTTTAACACTACCGTCAATTCTCGATCGTTTTCCGTCCGTCTTGATCCTGCCATACACACGATATGACGTTTCTACCCCTCACAAGTACAAGTAGAATGCATGTCAATGAGGGGTAGAAACGTCATATCGTGTGCGTGGCTGGGTCAATAGCGATAAAGACAGACGGAAAAATTGACGGAAGTGTTAAAAATGGGAACGGGGTGAACTTTGGGTGCTATTAAAGTGAACCGGTATCTTTCGGTGCTATAAAACTAAAAACGTGAACTTTCAATGCCACATAACCAATTTTGCCATAATATTATGTCCAGAAGGTGGTTCAACTAAAGTCCAAACTT